ATTTTTTCCAATTATTATGAACACTCCTTGGAAAATCAAAAAATATCCAATTGTTCAATGCACTAACTAACTAGACAAAATTTCTTTTCAAAAAAGATGCTACATTCCATACATCAAAGCAAGAATTCTTTTCGAAAAGTTATTTGCAGACAGGAAAAAAAAATACACACATTATTGTAAAACCAATTGATCCCTCGCTACGTTTTGAATCTAAAAAAAAAAACACAAATTATAGTAAAACAATAGATCCCTCAGCTACACTTGGAATCTAAATTATAGATACTTTATTTTTGATTAATTAAATATGTTTAGTAATTTATTATTATATATTTATTATTAATAATATAAAAAAACTTATAAACACGCATAAACCTATATGTTTAGGTATGAAACACGTGGTCATAATAAAAATGTTCACGTATTTTCATCAACTATTAATAAAACTATATTTATGTAATAATAATAAAAAAAAAAAATCATATTCTCAAAAATAATCACACGTTCCTGTATAGGTAATCAGTGGAATGTGTTCAATTAATTGAGAGAAAAAATAATAATTACAAGGCAGGAACTCAGTCAGGCGACACCCCAATAAGATTATAAGTGTATAAGAACACTATGCTTTTTCTTGTAAATATAAAAATCGATAGACGATAACTCAATAAATTATTTATAATCACGTTAATGAACGCGGTGATGGGAGTGCACAAACAACACCTTTTCAAAAAAACTGAACTATGAATGCTACTAAATTATTACTAATATTGTTTTTGCATTCAACTATTTTTTTGTAATTTTTTTTATTTTTGAATATAACATTCTCGTGTTCTGAGAATATTCTCCACTTACATTGCCAAAAACAATACATGCTTTGTCGCGTTCAGAACCAAACAAATAGTATGCATTTTTGTACGACGTTTATTTAAAGATTTTCTTAAGGAGGAGGATTTTGAAATTGTATATAATTTCAGCCCCCTCCTTGAATTTCAATCAGGTATAACTACAACTGGCGTAACGCAAGTGATTTAAAATATTTAACTACCCAGGTTACAAACTATTGTAATAATAATTAAAATACTGTGCACCCCCTGGTAATTTATCCTAGTGGCATCTATAAGATCACGTTTAATAATCGGAAACAGTATTTGAAAATAAATACAAAAATTAAGCCAATCATGAAAAACTGAGATAAGTTTAATATGTAGGTATACATTATGCATTTACCAATCGTAGAGAAATTAAATAGTAATAAATGGTTTTTTTCCAGTGCACTTTTTCTCACAGGTTCATTAAAATAAACGTTTAACATTAAAAAACACACGTTCCCCGTTTTGTTTCGTCCATTTTTTTTATGCGTACATATTATCACCTTTATTTATCAACAAACTATATACGGCAGCAAATTTTGTGGGAGGTATGCAATAGGTAACAAAATATTGTATATTGTATAATTTTACTTTAGATTCAATAGAACAGCGCGTGAACACATTTGATTATGTAAAAATCCAATTCTCTTTTTATTTATTTTTGTATGAATAATTTTTCGTACGGAATATACTCAATCACCGATGTAACGAATTATCATAATTTAAACGAGTAACTTTTCCATTTTTTATATACGTTATTTATTGCTGATATTTCTCGCGTGTTTCAGCGAAACAGAATACAGAACAGCGAAATAGAAATAAATTCTAATACGTATCTAGATATTGTATCTACACAAATTATATTCATCGTTAAAAATTGCGAGGCTCGTTAATGATATTAATCGATATAGCTGTACCGTATACATAACTTCTTGAACTTCTCAAAACGTATAGAAAATTGAAGTTTAAATCACAGATTCATATATTGTGAAGTATACTCATCTAATACTAAGCATCATTGTTGTTAGATTACTGTTGGATTAGTTTAGGATACATAATATTATTATATACAGGGTGATTGTTCAATCAGTGATTTTTTACCATGAACCAGCAATTATCTCAAAGGATTTTAAGTGAATTTGATTTCTGTTATTTTTAATCATTATGGAATCATTGAAAGTTTATTTTAAATCCACTTTTAGGTTTTCACCCTACTCCAAATACCTTAAATAAGTACATACTTTTGATTTTCAAATAGGAACCCCCTTCATTTAAATATATTTAAATAGAGAATATTTTTCTAGGCATTTTAATATGCATAACACTAATATCAGATTTACTGTTATAACTCATAAACATAAACTAGGGTAAAAACTAAAAGTGGTTTTAAAATAAAGTTTAAATGATTCCATAATAATTAGAAAAAACAGAAATAAAATTCACTTAAAATCATTTTAGATAATTACCGAATTTTCTCAGATGATAACTCATGAACCAGTGTTCATGATAAAAAAAAATCGCCTTATATAACAATGTGTAAATTATTTATTATTATGATTAGTTATAATTTATGTGTGTTGATATGTATATATTATTATTTCTGATTGTGTAGAAGTATAAGTGAATAATATATTTTAAAGTTATTGATGAATACCAATATACCATACAGGTATTTAAATAATTTTAAAATGATAACAAAGAACAAATCTTCGATTTTTATTGTAATCTTCTATATTATTTATATTTAATATATTTCGTATATTTTCATATTATTTTAATTTCAATAATGTATATACTATGTGTATACGTATACGTATTTATAAAAAAATATATATTTATTATTCTCGTTACTTTTGATAGTTTAGTTAATTTTTAGATTCTGAGTATAGCAAACGATGAATGTACTGTGTTATTATATAAATAATTTTACTGTGATGTGTACAATTTATTCATTTATATTTCTCTTCTGCCCGTAAACAACTTTTCTAGTAGAAATCTTGCTCTGGTCATAAAATTTAGTGATGGTTTATGGCATTAATCTTTTTCTAGTTAAATAAGTAATTTTTTTAATTTCATTATAGTTTTCTAAATAATGAAGAAATAGGGAATATCTACGCAATAACGGTTTCCATTATTTTTGATTTCGTGTTTTTATAATTTAATGAGAAGAAATCTTAAGGACTGGACATTTTCACCGAATACATAATAATATTATTATTAATATAATTAAACCTTTCAAGACATGGTATAATATTTAAAATATTCTGACCTTTTTTGATTTATTTACAAACATTTTAAATTTACGGGGTTTTTTTTAGTTTTCATTTGGTTTTATAACTGCTTAAATAATAATATTATTAAATGTATTATAGCAAAGAATCTTTTAATTTGGAGAAAAACAAACGCATAATTATACCGATTCTCGAAGTTCAAATATCAAAGCATTCGTTCTCGAGTGGCTTTTAAACTTATTATTACACTTATATAAAGTGCGTATCTATGTAACATCGTTTATATTAAATAAGTATTAGGTAACAAATAGTATTAAAAAATTAAAAATTGAATAGGTGTTATTATTATTATTAATAAAAGTTAATTTATAATTTATAAATACATATTTAAAATGGTAATAATTATAACTGTCGATGAGGACGATTTGTTGGTACGTATTAATTAATATTTCTAAATTTATTTACTCTACTCGATTTTTGTCGACTTAAATTTTAAAATTATTCTTACGAAATGCGTACCTACTGTGTTCTTTCACATCATTAGCTTAAAATGTTAACAAACAATATAATACTTGTTTATTAAACAAAACAAGATCTTTCTTACTCAGAATATAATTAATTCACTTAGATATAGTTATATGAACTAAGTTATAATAACACTAAATGTGCCTAATTAAGCACGAAATACCTTTAAGATTGAATATAAATGAATATTATTGTTTCGGTGTGAAAAAAAAAATTAAAATAAGTCGACATAATAATATTGTAACTTAAAATCAGATTTAATTAATATGATAACTTTTTTTTAGCATAATTGGATTAATTAACACTCTTCATATTGTTTAATTTAAGATTTTAGTTTTTTTTTTTGCAAATTTCAATGTTTTATACATAATATAATATGTACAATATTATTTAATGTTGTGTTTAGAAATATTATATAATGTCATGATATAATTTCAAATATCGACATTATAATAATAAACTTTTTTATCAATTGACAATAGTTTGTATAGCATCTAATGTTTAGAAAGTAACACCACCGATTGGTAGTTCACGACCACATCATTTGAAATCGTTATCAATAATAATAAAGATTAAAAATAATGAAATAAAAAAACCAAAAATACTTGAACATTGCAAATAGCTTATTATAACGTGTACAAAATGCCAGTTTATATTGAAATTTGCATCACCAAAATTTCAAGTCTATAAAGTGAGTTTTTGCCGAATTACAAACAAAAAATCTAAATCGAAAATAACACAAACTGTTATTGCTTAAACATTCCCGGTTTTCCAACGTATCCCCGCGATAATTTTTTTCCTATTGTTTAGAAAACTTGGAGGAAAATCACAAAATTATGATTATAGTAAGATTTCTAGTAGAAAACTAATGCACGGACTTAGACAGAAAAAAAAAACAAAACCAAATGCAGTACGCCATGCTGGGAATCTAAAAAAAAAATAGAAATCAAAATTTAGGGTGTTGGGAAGCACTATACGTTTTTAACTAACGGATTTTTTTTTTGCGGAATCCTATTTTTCCAAGTCGCGGAGTGGGCCTTTCCGAAGATCTAAGTTTTGCACACATTTCTCATCGGATTTTTGCTAGTGCGATTTGTGCGCTATCGAAATCTGGTCATCAATAATGGATAACGTGATAATTATGGAGTTTAATATGGCATAAATATTTATTTAATAAAAACGAACGGATGTTATAATAATAATGTAGTGATGTTGTCACGAATTACGTTATGTTGTTACGAACGTGTGTAGATAATAAATATTATATTTTATAATGCGTGTGCGTTCGTTTTTTCAGGCGAGAATGAAAAATCGACGGGGGGTGGGGTAAAAACGGGGGTTTAAATATAGTTGACGTAAGTAGGTGGCGCGCGACTTGAATCCCGAAGAATCCCGCAATTGTTTATAGTCCCGTGCGCTGGAGAGTTTCGCGGCTTTCGAAACGTTGCCACTACCGGACGAATATTTAACCCCGGCGGCTGATCATACATTTTCTGGTCGCACACCAATGCGGTTGTATATTAAATACATTTTTCCACAAGGTTAGTACAGTGTATTACCTATTATATTTATATTTACATTTATTTATTATATATACATTTTTTTAATCGTAGTCTCTTAATTTCAATTCGTATATTTTTCTCCGTTTAACGACGACCGGCGTTGCACCTTATTGTTACATTTGTATTATACACAGTATGTATTTATGACATTATTCATTTTCGTGGAAAAAACAAACATTAGTAAAACAATTTATTACGACGACGGTATAATAATATAACATTATTATCAGATCGATTTAACGTTATCGATGTTATCGACAAATTAAACCCGATTGACAATTCTGCGGTACATCTTTCAAATCGGGAATCGAACAGAGGCGATAAAGTTCATATTACATAATATCTACATCCATAATATTATCAGTTAACGATTTTTAAACGTAAATTTCGTAAATTTTAAATGTCTCAAATTTACGTTCTACACCTGTGGTAGCCCCGTACAAGTGTCATTTTTCTCAAGTATCTAGCCATATATGCACATCATAATCTGTATTAATTAACGCTTTACTTCCGTGAAGTTCCAGTTCGAATCCTATAACGATAGATTAAACTATGACGTGTTTTTATTTTTCTCGGTAAACAAACATTTACATATATATACTGTATCAGACCTAGATTTTTCACTCGGAGGTCCCCACTTATAATTTCAAACATTTTTTTCATTACTCTCGACAATTTCGCGAACAATTTAAAAACAAAAAAAAGGAACCCCTACAGCGAATGCTGACAATATAACAAATAAATTTACTCGTCTATTTGTATTGTTTAACATTTTGTCGCACCTATAGTATAGGTACACTTTAACAAAATAAACTTGCACAAACGTGAGGTATAAAAAAAATATTTGACATTTATTTAATTTTGAACATATACGCATATAAACACGACTAACCGCACGATTTCGAGTAGTTATGTATGTTTTTTCAACCGTTGAAGTGGACCCATTTTACAAACGGATACACAAATATAATAGTGCTTCCATAGAAAAATAAAAACTTCCAGAAAACCCGTATTCCGTATTTCGGGAATAGGTGAAAAACCTACATTATTTTTTCTGAATGATCTAATTAGTTTATACTGTGAATTATTTTTCATTTTTCAACAGAAATTATATTTTTCATATTTGATATTCAAATAAGTAAAAATAAGTAATATAATAAATTATAATTATATAAAAGAGTAAAAGAGTATAATAATAAATTATTGTTTCAAAGAGTATAATATTCACTATTCACTATTCACTATAGTTACATAATATATGTTACAAACAATATCTATATCAGTATCATATATATTAGATACAATAATATTGTATCTTATTATATCGCGATACAGCTTTCGTGCATGGTGTATTGCGATACTGAAATCAATGTATCTATTTATAGTATCGATTATATGTTCATACACATTTTGAAGTATTTTTCTAGCCCTACGGTATTTCCTCCTCTAGATTTTCGAAAAATATACTAAAAACTTAAATTGGGAATAATGGATATTGTTGGTGATTTTGAAAAATGTATTTAATTAATCGAAAAATTTAATTTAAATTTAATGCTCAACAATTTTCGTTATGCGTACACTGTTAATACTTTTTAGTAATTAGTAGATTATGTTTCATTATTATACAGGTTGTTTTATGATTTTTCCGATAGCTTTAAAAGTTAAAAAAAAAAATTGTTTACATTTTACTTGTCAAAGAAAAAAATCAGACAGGAACTTTGCATGACGTCCAAATGTATTAGAATCGACATACCAATTATTTATAATTTCTACCTTCGTAAATGCGTTAAAATTTTTTTTTTAATAAAAACCTAAAGTTTAGGTATTTAAACAGATTATCCATTCGAAACAATCCGATTTCGTAATACAATTTTTACAAAGGATAAGAAATCATTAATTTAAAAAAAACAATGAAGATGTATTCGTTTCTTATCAACTTTTAGATTATTGATGTCAATATATCTACTCTTTTAGTATAAACATTTAGACGATTACATTATTAACTAAAAAAATTAACACGTACTTACCTATAAGTATATCGTGATATTGTTTAATTGAATAATTTAAAATACCTACCGTACTGATTTCTATAAGATTTAAATGGCTTTTTTTTCCCCAATATTTTAACTAGTATAACTATTCATCGAATTGCAATAATAGCACTTTTTCTGAAACGAAATCTGATTGAGGTGGTACATTAGAGAGGTCATTTTTTTATTTTCCCAGGAGTTTTCAAATAAATAAAAAAAAAATGGTAAAAAAAAACATTGGTAAAAATCGGGAAAAAAGTTACAATATTAAACAAATATTATTAAATAAAATGTTTAACGCATATTTAATTATTTTACCAAAATATGTCATATATATTGTTGATAAAGCAACACTATTAATCGAACTCCACTCACAATCGTTATTTTGTTATCAATGGTTATACTTATTGTTTATAGATAAACATTAAATTCTCGTCTATACCTACCCAACTCCTCACTTCTAACAGTGGCTGCGCTTGTCACTATTATCCTAGCACAGCTTTTTAAAGTTTATTTTCTGTTTCATATTACAATATACGTTATAATTTTACTTCTGCAATTTTTACCATTGACAGTGTCTATTTAATATGGTTTTATCATTTTTATCGAAACTTTGAAAAAATAAAACACTATAAACTTTGCTTACGCTAACATGACACACAGATGGACGTCCATTAAGAAGTAGAAAATATCGAGTCTATCTTTTTTTTGTACCTTTATTAATTTTACATTAGTTAACAATTTAACCAAAAAAAAAAAAATCAATATAATCAATCAAAAAATACAATAAAATATCCATTGTTATACCCTATAGAATTTTGAAGATAGAATCTGTATAGTGTAAATTGTATATAAAAAAAGATGGACATAATTTAAACGATGGGTGTGCCACTGTTTTTGGTGAGAAGTTAGAAAGGTAGGATATAAAGGGGAATTGAATGTGTATCTGCATGCAACGATTAATCTTTGCTGACAAAAAACGATTCTGAGCGGAATTCAGGTTTAGGCACATGTTTTTAAAAGCCGTTATATTTACAATTTTCGTTTAATTTTAATTTTAAATTCTACATTAGACTTTTTTTTACCCCAAAGTACGACTTATCAAAGACCTCTTGTTAAATTTTCGCTATTATCGTCACAGGATACTTCTTGAATGTTGTGAAAAATATAAGTATTGAAAAATATCGGCTTTAACTACACTTGAAAATTCCAAAAGTCAGAATTTGAATATAAGCAAAATTTAACCGAAAAAATGGGGTAAGCACGCTTAATGAATGACGCTGTACATTTTTTAATAATAATGTCAATTATGCTAACAGCGTGATAAATATAGGTTAGTTTTTTTGACCCATAATATTATTTAATAAGTACATGTAGCTGTTTATGACCGATTTTGTAGAAATATACGAAATTCGTTAAAGATACAAAAATATTAATAGAAACATTTTTATTTAAAAAAAAATAATAATAATAATTCTTTACAAAGCGATTATCTAGTGAAAATTTTGAGTAAATTAAATTAAATTTTCAGACATTAGAATCGTTTACGTTATTATCAGTTTTTAAAAACTTTGAAAAATAATCTCTTATTTCGCATACCATTAATCATTTTTTATTTTAATATAACAATTCATGTTTTTAAAACAGATTCGAAAAAAAAATATTCGTCTAAACAGTCCGATAACAAATTTTGATTCCGTGTCTCAAAAATAATTAGAATTTTTTGAACTCAAAAAAAAGAGATATACAAATTTTGTGATATAGTTTTTATTTCAGACCACTGTACGTCGACCAGTTGTTCCTTAGCGTTAACGTTATTCGCCTAACCTATCGAGCTATCTTTCATTGAACATTTGAAAATCAAAGTTATTTTGCAGGTAGATATATATATATAGTTAAATATAATGCATACGGTTAATTAATGTTATATCAGTGTCAACTGAGATAAAACACTTGATTTCCGACGATATTTTTAAAATTGCTTAAACTTTTTTAAATCACTATTTGCAGATATTTCAGAGGAGTTGTAGCCTCCCCATAAATACACTCGTGTAATGCCGTATTCAGGGGACACAGAGTCACGTGCTCCACAAAATTCGTTTTTATTAGTTATATAGGTTATTTTGTTATATTTTATTATTCTCAAAATAATCGGTAATAACGAAAATGATTCTTTTTACGATGTGTGCCTCTGATATCCGTATTCCTTCACATCATGATCAACATAACGTTAGACAGTCATTATCTCAAAAAGTATTAACATTTTTGTGATTTTTTTTTTTTTTAGTTTAAGAAACAAGCAGTTTTACATTACGTTACTTACCGTTCATTTTTATCACCTTTATTTTTGAGGGTGAAACTACAATACTCACATATCCAAAAATAATTGAAGTTTTAGTTTAAATACATTTTTATGAAGAAAATTAGAATATGATCTCATATTATTCCATAGTAATTCAATTGTTAAAGAAAACTGACAGAATAATATTCAATCGAAATATAACTGGACTAATCTTATTAGTTATTAATAAGATTATAAATATTATAAAATAATGTTTGCTGACTGGGTTATTTTATGATAATTTGATATACGTATATTATGCATATTTTACTCTTATTACGTTACGTGCGATGAATAATATTATAAAATTAATTGTTTTTATAGTTAACTTAACCTATCATGGATGAGAGACATGTATTACTTTTTAAATTTAACAGCCCTTCCCCTTATCCAATAACACAAACGTTGATGACAATCCGATTAAATCAGTGATTCTAGACGTGGGTACTACCGTTCCCTTGAGGACATTTTTAATTTTGAGAGGGGCGTTTAAAAATATAGGGATTCTGTTTCATATATTTGTATAGTTTATCGTATATGACTTATATTTTAATGCAATGCATGTAAATCAGCGTTGTGCTAGTTAAAAAACATTAATCAGTGTATACTGAAACTATATTATTTACCCATATATATTAATACAAGTGTCTATGTTCAGTATAATCAAAATAAAAAGTCATCAGTTTTTAGTGTGTTGAGGTTTTTGAAAATCCAAAAAACTCGCTTGTATTGGAGGTCGAGAGTTATTTATAGTGCTTATGAAGAATAACATCTTAAAAGAATAATATAATTTTAAGTAACAGCTAATAGATAATAGATAATATACGATATATCACAAAAAATTGTAAAACTAAAATAAATTAAATACAATCAACATGTACAAAAAAATATAGATAAAACACATGGAAGTCGTAAATATAATATAAGATAAAGTAGCAATAAATAGCCCACCGTCCACATAATAATAAATTATTTAGATAACCAATCATATTATTAGTAAAACTAGTTCTTAAATATTTGTCATCATTAAGATTTAGTGAATTGAACGCTTTAGGTGCTAAATAGTCCATAAATGTTTAAACTCTTTAAAAAAGTAATTAGTCGTAACTTGACTATTATTTCAAGAATCTTTGCAAAATTTCTAATCAAAGAAATTGGTCTACAATTGTTTACTGCTTGTTTATCACTATTTTTAAAAAGTGGTTCAACAATAGATATTTTAAACTGTGATGAAACTATTCCTTTTTTAGACTTAAATTATAAATAAAGGTTTTGGTTTTGTAAAAGAGATTTCTATTTGCTTGAGTTAGTTGATTGTTGCTGTCGATATTACCATTTGCCCATTCTTTATATACTTGATTTGCTGTTAATTTAAAATTTTTTGCTTCTTTCATTAAATTTCGTTTCTTTTCTCTGGAGTTTAAAATAACCACAATTTTTCTTGATTTTTTTTTTGTTACTCGAATAGGCTCTATACGCATGATGCATCGAGAGCTCAACTTTTAACTTTGATGCTATTTGCTTCATTATTTCTACGCAGTTCTCATTTTTAACTTCTGGAACGCCAACAAAGTTGCTTTCAAGCGTTTTCTATTCTATAATATTTAATCGCTTATTTAGAAACAACACATTCTCTATCAGCTTCACATTTTGAGCCTTAATAAATTTATTTTCTATTTCTGAGTTACTCAACGCTGAAAAAATATCTTTCATTTGAACTTTGAAATTATCGATCTGCTTACTCATAAAATCTACAATACTAGACTTTCAATGATAGAATCAGAAAATGAGTTAGTTTTTGCATTATTTTCAATAAGTGGTTTAATTGCTTTGCACTTAGAAAAAGTTCACGTTTCTTTAGCCGTATTTGACAATTTATGAAAAACAGCTTATCTAAAATTTGCACAACCAAAATACAAAAGTTCATTGCATTTGGTACATTTTAACTCATCATCCTCGAATATTTCTTGGTTGCAAATTAAGCAAATCATTTTAAACACTAATCATGTTAAAATTATATTCCACGGAGCAATTGATTAAAGGGGATTACGACACAACCGTATTCAACGGATACTGTTGAATAACTGAATATTGAATAAAATGAATAAACTTATTATATATAAACATACAAAAGTTATAAATATTCTGTTTTATACATTTCCAGGTTTATATTAAATATATAAAATCATCAATATCATGGTGGTTCTTTGGAGTAAGATAACTTTATTTTTGATATCGCTGTATATGATCGCATGGTGTGATTCGGCGTTTCAGAAACCTCTGGACCCTTTCACATTACTAAGATACGATAAACGGACAGCCGAGGACCAATTATCGAACAACGATAAAAACGCTTCCGTAGAATTCGATGAATACCCGGTAAGTATACATTTTAAATGTCTCCTATATTAAAATTAGTGATGTTTATTTATTATGGTGGTCTCAAACGAAAACAAAAACTCAAGGTGACTAACTATTTTACTTCGCTAATCGACAGCCCTGCAACAGTAGATATCAGTTATAATAAAATGTCTCTATTTATGGAATGTAGCTTTTACTTATTCGATATCGGCCGTTATCCGTCGGAATAACAAACCGCTTCTACGATATCACGTGAATATTTTAGATTCTGAGTGTACAAAAAAATCTATATATTATATTACCATCGTATACTTTTGTTTTTTTTTTTAATCGTTTTTTGTGATACGTATTTGACTTTCAAAAGTTGAATTTAACAAATTTACTATTGATAAACTAGATCTATCAGCTGTTGCAATCCAAGCAATTACCAATCATGGCAATCGAAGTATTTAAATGTTATAATTTATAATTACTAATAATACTATAAAAGTATAACTACTAGTATAATAGCACTAGAGTCAACTATATAACATTGTTAAAAAAAAGTATTGAGTAGTGTTTATACACAATTTTGACTAAAATAATAATGTCGAATTTAATAATTCAATTTGACTAACATGTCTCTTGTATCGATTCAATTAATTAAAAAAAAAAAATTAGATCAATAAATTTAGTCCTCTAAAAGATAATTTTTTAAATTAGTTATGAATAGTTATGTATGAGAAGCATTTAATAATAAGAATGAATATGGTTACTATAATGTGTTTTTTTTTCTGTCTATAAACGACTTTTCTACCATTAAATCTTGTTTTAATTATCAACTGTAGTATCTTTTCCAAACATATCAAAACACATCTAACTGAAATTTGCTCAAATCGGTTTTTTTTTTCATTTATATCTATACATATTTAATTAAAATAAAATAGACATTTTCCGTTGTTGTCAAATTTTATAACTAAAGAAATATTTTATTATTATTATTTTAGGTAGTTGTTCCAAAAAGGACGGCACTGTTGCTCGATAGACTGATGGTGGCTTTACAAAAAGCCGTAGATGGAAATAACGCGGGAAACATGAAAGGTTACTATCCCGAAAGATCAATCCCTGCAGCGATTGGTGGAGCTCCTAGAACAAACCCTGGAGTGAGTGATAATATAATATAAATTATTAATATCATGTACAGTATATAGTGTATATAGTGTATAGCTCAATGCATCTTTATTACTCGTGTACAGAATACTAGGAAAACTATTTACAATGATCAACTTAACTCGAAATTATTTTTAGAATACAATAATTGTCAATTTATATTTAAATTTCAAATAATTATGAACCGCTTTTCACCTTTTACAAACTTGCAATTACTGCGATGCTTATGTGTCTCCAATATCAATCCTTTTCAAACAGTTTGCACATGTGACTACGGATTTAATGTATGACTGAATTTTTCATGAAAAAATTTAAAAAAATTAATTTAAACATCCAAATTGTAAATTCATTAAATACTATGATTATAGAGTAATGTTATAATATGTTTAATAAAAATCAATAGGTGTTATGTTTTATTTAATAATATTTCATTTCTTAAGCTGCATATGCTATTGCTATATAAGGAGAGCAAACAAGAAACTATTACTTTTATCATCGGTTTTTTTTCTTTATAAGGAAAAAACTTTTTTATAGTATTAAAAACTAAAAACACTCAACAAGTTTTATTCAACTTTCTCGAGGGGTAATTGAACATGAATTATACTTTTTCCAATTTGACGGCCCGAACACCGTACAAAACTGAGGAAAAACAATATTACGCATAAAGTATAAACGTGGTAATGAAATTAAGCGGCAAAATCATTTTCTGATCGAAATGATTTATCGTTGCTGTCAACAATTTTCAAATAATAATAAAACACTCTGCCTACACATCCATGTGACCCTCGAGAAACGAAGACTCGAAATTCAAATTTCGTGTCTTGCGATTAATTTTTTTAAAATAAATATCATTAATACTTTAATACTTATCTATACATTAATCGTTATATTTTACAATTCTGATTGGTTTTAATGTACACAATTTAATGTAGATAAATATATTTGTGACATGTGTGAACGTATTAGTATAAATATATTTTTAGATTCTGTGTGAAACGAGGAATGTACCTATTGGTTTTACTATGGGTTTTTATTTTCTTTGTCTGCAAACAACTTTTTTACTATATATCTTACTCCAATCATTAACTTTGGCATCTTTTATAAAAGCAAATTGTTCCTAATTAATATACTAAGAAGATCATTTTTTGATTTTCTTTGCGGTTTTATTAATTATTAGAAAAAACGGGAAAATACATGTACGCAATAACGGTTTCTGTCATTTTCGATTATTTTGTGTATATGTGTGTTGTAATTCAGGTAAAAAATAATCGTAGATGATTAAAGTTATGATCAAATACTTGGTAAAATTAGTAACCAATTCTAAATGTGGTACAATTTTAAAATAATTTTGTAATTTTTGATTTATTTATTTCATTTGATATTTAAAATAAATATTTTAACATAATACAGAATATATTAAATTATTCTGATTTTCAAAAATGTTGTTAAAATGATTTTGGATAATATTGTACACAATGAGTGTGATATTAACATCTACTTACGAGAACTTCAATTTATTATTCATTGTCTATTTTAATTATTTAAAAATACCATGGCTTAAAACTCAATATAAACAAATATAACATAAATATCAACTCTAATATAAAAACATGTGTAGGTAAGAAATATTTTTAAAAAAAACCGAAACAATGATAATATTTCAAAGAACAAAATAAAAATAATTATTATTTAAGATAAAACTTATTTCTTGTCCGAAAAATACGAAAAATATTCTAAGCAGAGTTCATGATTAACAAACATCAAAACATTTTACATTTTCCAGGATACAAAAAATTGTATTTATCTAGTCGAATATAAGTATAAGAAATGCCAAGATGCTTAAGATTTGTATAAAAATTTAGACTTTAAACGCCTATAAAAAAAACTACTACACTACTCTCAACTTTTTTTTTATCACTAAGTACAATTTATGATGAACCTTATGTTAAATTTTTTACCATTTTTAATAAACCAAAAAACCTGTTACTACATTAATCTAAAAGAAACTAAAATATATATTAAAACGTTTAGAAAACTGTAATACATGTAGAAAATGCGAATATATATAAATATTCGGTGTACATTTCAGACCTTTAAAATAATATTTAATATAAATTTAGAAAATATCTACATTTTCCTGTTTTCCAACATTTTGTCAATTATTAAGTGAAATACTAAAAAAAAGACTGACATACTTTACACTATGGTTAAGCTACTGTTATAGGTGAGAAGTTAGAAAGGTAGGATACAGAGGGGAATTTTATTTATATTTATACGGAACAAATAATTCGAAGCGAAATTCAGTTATACATGTTTTGAAGGGCCGTAATATTTACAACACAACTATGTGAAAATTTGACATTAAAATTCTTATAAAAAAAATACTACATTGAACTCAATTTTAGATTCAAAGTGTAGCGAAGAATATATTGGTTTTACAAAGATGTTTATTTTTTTTATGTAAACACTTCTTTTACCAGTAAGTTTACTCCGATGTATACGATGTAGACTCTTTTCTGAAAGGAAATTTTCTTGGGGTGATTACTTGAGTGGTACTTTAGGGAAGTTATTTTTTGAGAGTAGAAAAACTGGAAAATCAGTACAATATTAAACAAATATTTTTAATGAACATATATAATGCCTATTTAAATATTTTACCATATTATGACATATATGTATATTGTAAAGAAAGCATCATTACCAACTGAACTCCGCTCAGAATCGTTTTTAGTAAGCAATGGTTTATCGTTGCTTACAGATACAAATTAATTTCCCTCTCTATATTCTACCTTTCCAATTTTTTACTAACAGTGGCTGCACCCATCGTACGAGGTATGTTCGTCTTTTTTATGTTTTGACCACAAAGTACGACTTATAATGAACCTATCATGTTAAATTTTCATAAATTTCTGACTAGTCTGACAATTTTATCTATTAAGTACTTAAGTACCTATCGAATAAAATTTCCGTAAAAACTCACAAAATTAAAATGTCTATAAATATCTAAAATAGCTAAAAAAAAAAAGCTAAAATGTTTTGAAAATTTAGTCACGCCTATAAAAGGTAAATATAAGTTTAATAAAAAAATTTCAAGTCTGACTATTTTCAACTGAATAACAACAAAACAATAAAATTGAAAATAATAAAAGCATTATTTTTATAATTTTTCTCGGTTTTTCTTAATTATTATGAAAAACACTTGGAAAATCAAAAAATAATCGAAAAGATTGAGTACATAGTATATATATATAAAAAAAAAATAAACAACATTGTAAACCAATATAATCCTCGTCGTCTAAAATCTAACAAAATTCAAAATAACAGAAACCGTTATTGCATAAATGTCGAAAAAGCGTATAATAGAAAACCAAAAATCACTTCCTAATTTCTATTAAGTTTCTAAGTTTTTTTTTATTTTGTAGATGGAACTAAAGAGACAAAAAGGACGGTTATACTGGAGGTGTTATTTCAATGCAGTGTCCTGTTTTAAGTAGAAGAAACACATACAATTTGTACACTAAAATTATATATTTATTTTTTCTCATAAATCAGTTGAAAATATTATACAGTTACCTTTATTCGTACCCCTTTTTTTTTTATTATTAAACATAAACTGTCTATCTAGTGTATACAATGTGCAACAAATGATTTTGTCTATTTGTATACTATTATACAGATATAGTGACAGTGGCTTATTTGAGACTTCACCTCAGAATTATTCAAACCATATGTGAAGAAGCTGGAAAATGCAGGTAATATTAAATATTATCACCCATAGTCCGTGATCATAATGTTATCTGTTATAAACATGAATATCTTCAAAAAACAATAACAAAAACTTCTTATGAAAAAAAAAAATGATTTATTTATTGATTAAATTTAGAAACGTGTATTAAAAATTCAACAAGCATGAAATATAATTTGCAAATATATCTCGGTGGGGGGGGCAATTGTCCCTAACTCTTCAATGCGTCATTGGATAGTGATGACGAATCAGCGACATTTTTGAAGGATTTTAAGTAAATTTGAATTTTTTAACCATAATGTCATCGTTTAAACGTTATTTTAGCATTGTTTTCAATTTATAACTCTAATCCTTATATCTTTAACAAGTTAATATATCATAATACATTTTTTTAATTTTCAAATAAAAATCCCTCCCTATTTTAAACAGATTCAATTAAGACATATATGTTCCTCTACTTTTTAGTATGCATAATATTCATATCGGATTTATCATTTGTGAGATTAAACAGTTTAAAGAATAAACCGAAGAAATAGGGAAAGATAAGGTATCAATACGTATCATCAAGAATAGATATAAAGTATATTACCCTCCCTTAATCCTTTAAAAATAAACTGAAATTTTATTATAACTTATAAACAGTAAATCCGATATTAGTGTTATAATTATTACAATTTGTAGACAAATATCCTCTATTTAAATCTATGTTTAAAAGTTAGAGGTGGTTACTTACAAATTCTTTAAGAGTATACTCATTTCAAGTATAAGATTAAGGAAGTAATATAATATCGATAAAACAAAGTAAACGATACGATGATTGAAAAAGAACACAAATCAAAATCTTGTGAGAAAATTGCTGGTTCATGATAAATGAATCACGTAGGTATATATAATATGTATTTGTTGTCCTCATCCTTGTGAGTAATATAAAAAAAAAAAACAGAATTTGATTATCTTTGTTATCTCCGGAGATATTCAAAGGGTATATTTTCGTGTGACAGCCAGTATGATTTTTTTTTTTTTTTATGAAAAATGCAATCCAGTGCTCCGAGTCAGTCTCCAATAAAATACTCTTCATTAAAACGAAATAAGAATATAACATTGATACAAATAATGATGTTTAAAACTATTTTTATTCACACGATTTTCATGCTCATTTTGTATAGTTAATTATATTACTATATAAATCTATTGTTCGTTCAGGGCTTCAAGGTAGATAATATTAACACAATAAACGAATCATGCAAGAACTATCTTTTTGTGTTTTTTTTTAAACAATAAATGTACTTAGCATAATCAGATTATATAAGAATGATTACCTATCTAATATCTATACCATCCTAGGTATCTATATATATTATAATACTAGAAGTATTTTAAATTACCTACTTGTTTCGTATAAAGATAATTAAATCCTTATGAGCACACATTATTCATATACTAATACTGTAATACAAATAATAAGAAAAGTAAATAAACTATTATATCATAACATATCCTATAGACATTTTTACAATAATTATAATTTTACCGAAAACCGCTGTGATTTTTAAGAGTATTATTGTTATTATTAAAAAGTTATACCCAAATAAAAATACCTAACGTGGCCTAATGAGAACGATTTTCTACGTATTCGTGTGTAGGTATGCATTATAATTGTGAAAATAAACATAAAAATCACATTAAAAACGCTTCTCGTATACAGGATTTTTGTGTGCAAAAATGTGTGCCTTAGCCCATAGCCCATAAAAACATATGTTTTCTCACCTATAGTACTTATATTTAATGAAGAACTAATAATGGGTTTTTATTGAGTTTTAGAGGAGGAATGACTGTTTCACTCTTTCTGCAAATACCCTCACACAATAAATTAATCCCGCATGTCCCACTCGTCACTGATATATTGATGCAAATTAAAAAAAATTACAGCAGTAGATCAAAAATTTGTTTTGAGGTGGTGGCTATAGAGTGGTCCTTATTTATAATTCTTTACATTTTTGTGGCCGATTTCTTTGGTTAGGTTCCAATGTGTATAAAAATTATGTAGACAAAATTTGAACATAATCAGATAACTTAATCCGTGCCCCAAATCCCTCAAAACTTTAACATATTGGATAAACAATTTAACACATTTGAAAAAAATTATTTTTTTTTTATTGATATTTTTGTACAATTAAGTAATACATACATGTATTAAACATATTAAACTACAAATTCATATTTCATAAGAAAAAAAAAAAATCAAATTTTAGTTTAACAAACAATATTTATTAATTTCTATGGATAGGATATCTCCTGAGGAATAATAGATGGGTAACATTTATAGTTGAAGAAAAAAACGAAGGGAAACTAGGAAGAGAAAGGCCAAGATAGTCTAATATGAAATAGATCATGTTAGATTTAAATAAAGGATTTTACAAAGAATTGAAAGAACTTCAAAGTATGACTTGTAATGAACCTCCTGTTAAATTGTTAAGCATTATATAAAAGTGTACAGTCAATTAGCCATAATAACTAAAATCAACTAGCAATACGATTACAGCATGCTGTATAATTTTAAGTACTTTTCTGAACTTTAAAAAATTATTAAAAATCACAAATTTAATGAAAGAGTTAAAAGGTCAACATTTTCAGAAAAATTAACGCTTAAATGCCTATCTTTAAATTTTTCGAAAATAATTAAATTTAAATTAATTTTTTTAAGTTTTTTACTATTCAACCAATCAATACAAATTTAATTCAAATATAAACATTTGTATTCCCTACATGAGTATTACAAAAAAAAAAAATAATAATAAAACAGAATTTGATTATCTTTATTATCACCGGAGATATTTCTACATATTCGTGAGACACTCTGTACATACTAAATATATACACATAATATACACAATATGTATGTATATATCATATATATACACTGTATATATATGATCGTATAATGATAGATACGATTGATACGAATACTGTTTAGTGAAAGATAAAACATAAAATCTACGTGGAAATGTGTCAAGACGAAGATTAAGAAGACCACGTGATTTATATATTCCAAACAACTGAATTAATAATGTATTTCAGTTGTCCAGGATATCTGATTTACACCATAATAAATATTTATGAATTTACCATTACAAAATTGTAATAAATAATAATATATTACATACGGAGTGGATGTAATTACCAATCGGGTGTTTGATTTTCAAATATTTGAAACTACATTTTCTGAAACTATATTTTTTGAAACGATTAATCTAGATTCTTGGAATCTTAAATCTCATGGTTTGAAAATATAAAACTCTGAATTGACATTATTTTAAAAATACCGTACCTTGAATCGATATTATTTTTATTTGATAACGAATATTTGATAAGAAAGTACAGTGGTTCCCAATTTTGTATATTATGATGTCTATCACAATCAAAGGTATACAGATTTGGAATCAAGGTGTTATAAAGTGAAGCACAAATCTTCTGAAAATGTCAGCTGTTCCAACTAATCACCAGCACTCGTTAATTCCCAGTATTAAAAATTATTAATTGTTATTATCATAAAACAATATTAAATAATTTTATTATATAAGATAAAAAGAACATTTATTAATATTTGTATAGTTGAAAAATTTACCAACATGAAACAATTTATGACTTTCTTAACATATATTTTATTTACAGATTTATCGTTTTAAAATAATCGTTTCAAGGTTTTATATTTTCAAGATAATTTCGATTCAAAATAATGTTAATTCAAGGTTTATATATTTCAATATAATGTCGATTCAAAGATACTTAGTTTCAAATAATTGTATATTCGAAGCCATATTTTTCAAAATGTTTACATGCATCCAAACTAGATACTCGACAAACCTGTGCTACCGAAGAACTATTCGTTTTAGTTTTTATTAAATCTGAATCCGCAGTAGATGCACTAGACAGTATTTACAGCAAAGTGTTAAGTGGCCCTCAATACTTTTCGTATGGATACATTTGTGAAAACTCGGAAAATTAAGTGGCATTATTATTTTAGAATTGTATTCAATATTATTATATTTTATATTTTACTAAATAGGTGTGTTTAAGGCATCTTAACATCTTCATATAATTTGTATAAGAAAAGTATTGAATTTGTTTAATACTTAAAAACGATGATTATAATCGATAATAATATTTAAACTATCGAACGTTTTTACACATAAAATATTTATTTAAATTTTTAATCATTTAAAATAACCGGGAATCTGTAAACACAATAATGTAACACTTAGAAATAGAATTGGTAAATAAAATAATAGGGATTATGAGACTTAAAAAGACGGATAACATTCGCATAATCGGTGTGCCACTTTTGAAGGTGAGAAGTTGGGAAGGTAGAATATAAAGGAGAATTAAATGTGTTTTTATATATAACGAATAAAAATAATTAATGAAAAACGATTCTAAGCGGAATTTGGTTTTACACGTTTAAAAGGTCATAATACTTACGATTTTTGTCAAAATGTAATATTAAAATTCTTATAAAAAAAAAATCCTACATTAAACTTTTTCTTGTTTACTACTAAATACAACTTATAATGAACCTCCTGATAAATTTTAAAGAATTTTTGTTTTGGTATAATAATTTTATCCACAGGATACATACAAATTGAATCACAAAATTAAAATTTCTATAAATATTTAAAAAATTACATATGCAATAAACATTTTCTTTAATAATATTTGTTTAATATTGTACCTATTTCCTCGTTATCCCCGTTATCCCATTCATTGGGAAAACTCTAAATAAAATCAAAAAATGACCTCCCTAAAGTATCTTCCTAGTCAGATCTTTCTTTCAGGAAAAGTGCTGCCATTGTAAATTGGAGCCAAATAGCTGGTAGATAAGTTGTTCACATGAAAAAAGAAGGCCATAATATTTTAAACAAATATCTACATTTCGTACATTTTCCCGTTTTTCCTCGGTTTTTTTTAAATATTTGAGAAAACGCCGGAGAAAATCAAAAAATTATCCTCTTAGAGTACCTTCCCAGTCTAATTCTCAACTAATTTTTCAGAAACGTAAGCGTACCTTTACTTTTTGTTAAAAGTGGGACGCATAAGGAAGCAGTGGAGGATACAAGTGGGGTGCCATAACGATCACTCCCCTTTAGGTTGCCAATGACTACCTTATTTTTAATCTTTCTATCTTTTCTAACCCAAAGAGCCATGTATAAATAAATCGGTGTTCATTACATAACTTAAGTAAGCATATAACTTTATAATAGATAATATAGATAATCGAATTATTAATTTCATATTAATATATAAATTGTCGGCATAATATAAGGTATACGCATATAAGGTATAAAAGGAACGCAGCGCCGTCTGCGAGTGACGATTATAATACGGTAAACACACGCTCTCACGCTGTCAAACGTCCCCATTTCCTGATAGGTTAGGTTACATTTCCTTTATATGGTTACCCAAACCATGGTATGTAAATTGATCAAATTTTTCAAAAATATGTCATTGTGTATCACTATAGTATTGGCTCAAATGTTGCTTGGTAATAGCTTCATTACTTTTTTTTATAATTATGTCACTAGAAATTCATGAATATAAAATATGGAAATCTGAATCAATGAAGTATCCGAATACAAAATTATTTTAATTAATTTGAATTATTTTATAGTATTATACTGGTATTAATTTCAATGGCAACGTCCGGCAGTTTGCGCTGTTACCTAACCGGGTAACACCGACGTAACCATTAATTACGGATTAGATTGATTATAAAAATAAATTATTATTTATTTGTATTAGTTATTATTAATAACTAATACAATACATCGGATTCATCAATGGAAGGTTATGCGCTTGAAGTTCGTTCCAATAAAAGAAATAAAATGTAAAAATATTCAGATAAACATATCAAAAGAATAAATGAAAATGTCTAAAAAGACAAAATGTATCGTTTGTTCAAAAATTAAAATAGTTTAGACAATTATAATAATTAGATGATAATTAGATAATCATAATAAATTAAAATATACATTAATTTATAATTTTAAATTTTTAGCGAATAGTCCGCCATATGTTTGTAATTTCAGCAGGTAACACGTCTTAGGTTAATGGGGACGGGTGCAACCAATGTTACAGATAATTTAATGTATACCTGTAAGCAATGATAAACCATTGATTACGAAAAACGATTCTAATCGCAGTTCAGTTTACGGTGATGCTTTGTAAACAATATATATATCATATTATATTAAAATAATTAAATAGGCCATTATATTTTCTTTAATAATATGTATTTAATGTTGTAACAATGTTCCCATGTTTTTTCCCGGTTTTCACATTTGCTGGATTAACTCTTGAGAAAATCAGAAAATAACCTCTCTAAAGTACCTCCTCAGTGAAATTTCCTTTCAGAAAAATTGCTATTATTAAAAGTTGGAGCAAAATTGCCGGTATAAAAGTTGTCCACAGAAAATAAAAATAAACATCTTTATAAAACCATAAGCTTCTTCGCTCCATTCAGAATCTATCGTTACTTTCAGATATACTTGAAATAACCTTATGTATACTACTTTCCCAACTTCTTACCCACAACAGTGGCCACTCCTATCCCCAGTATCAGCTCTTTTTTTTATTATTATTTCTATATTTTATTGTAACAGTTAAGCTCATTTTTTAATAGTTTAAAATTTTGATAAAAAATTGTATTTAATTTTATTGTGAATTTCAAAAAATTGGCAAATTATAGCTTCCTGAAGTCTCAATACTTATTTAATGTCAACATTTTTAATTATTACTGTACTTTGTATCCTAATAATTTATTTTTGTACCAGATAAAAGTTGGAAATACCAAATATAGCTGTTACCAACAATGGATCCACCCCCTTGTGCATTATGGTTAAACAGGATTATTTAAGACAAGGAATTTAATTCAATCAAATAAAAAAAATGGTTATAAATAATAAATTTATTAATATTCAACCCTGAACATTATATATTGTTATTATACAGTTTTTTTTTTTTTTTTTTTTTAATACATTACAGTTTTCACACAAAATAATCAAAAGGACAGTGGTGGAAAAATAATGTATACAGAAAAAGATATTAATCAAAATCAATATGTACCTATAACAATTTATATTTATATATATATAAGTATAATTCTATATATAAATATAAATGTAAATATTTAACACATATTAAGGTAGATAAAATGTTTAACTAAACAATTTTGAATTTGATTAATTAGAAAATTAGCTTAAAATATGTGGCTCTATTTAATTCAAACATACAATAAATATATAATTGTAATACATTAATGGTTTGAGATAAAACAAAATAATTATAACCTAAACAAAAAAAATTGTATATAATTCTGGTTATGTTGATTCCATTTAACAGTAAAATATATTATATTTGTTAGGAGTTATTGTTTTTCATAATTAAATGAAGAAACTAAACAAATTAATAAAATAAAACCGAACGAATAAAAAAAAACTGAAAATACTGACAATCAATTATTACAACAGTCTATAGTGGTTTTAAAGTATAACTATAATCCATACAAAGTAACAAAATAGATCAAATACACTATAATATACTTAATATTTCCTCTATGACAACATTAAATTGAAAACAAAAACCACAGAAAAAAAATGTTGACATGAGACATTAATCCTGTTTTTATAGAATAAAACATTATGTACATTTGGTTGATTAAACATATTATTCGTTCGGTTAAATAAATAAATAAATGAAATGTTTTATGTATTGTGCCACAATTTGTGCAATCCAGATCAAAAGGGAAATATATCAATTTTGTAACAAAAAAAACAATAATAACATGAAGTAACTTGGAAAAATTGTGTTTTCAAAACTTACAAGTACTGTTAAAAAAAAAAAAAAAAACAATGTATAAAATTAATAGAATTCTTGGACCCCACCAAGGTATTTAATATTTAAGCCCTTTATTTGCTACATAAAAAAAACTCCTTAATATTTGGGCCTTTAAAGTTTAATCAACACTGTGTCACTATACAATTATCTGTTGTAACAGATGAATTGATTTATAATTACGAGTATGAAATGTTTTTAATTTAGATGAGAAAAAATTCAGATTTAAAAAAAAAAAAAAAAAATGCTAAAACCATAACAGACAAATAATAACATATTTTTTTTTTACATTATACAAATACAAAATATTTAACTTGGTAAAATGTATTTAAGACAAAAATATAGCAGACACAAAAAAAAAATGAGACCCAAATGGCAATTATCTATTATTTTATACAGCATTTTTTTTTCACAGCCTGGAAAATATGGATTTTTTTCCATCTAATGTTACAAAAAATATTATAAATTTTTTTTCTTGTTTTCTATTAAATAACATTTTTTTTTTTTTAACACAATCTATTTTGAACATATTAATTGTGATTTACTCAACGGAAAATATTCTATTTAGTGGCAACCGAGCACTATATTATATATTTTATATTTATTTATATATATATATATATATAATTTTTTTTAAAAAATTGAAATCGCGAAAAGAATAATAATAATAATATTGGAAACAATAATTTGATAAATGGATTGAAAATAAAAAACTAACGACGCCCACTTCCCCAGTTTGGAAGATTGGTCTTGTCTGAAGAGGCACTACTGTTGGCAGATGTTGCAATACCAGCAAATGATGGAAAATCTCTAGTACTATTTGTGTCTGGATGAGCTTTTTCCCATGGTGCACCATTACCCATTACAAATCCTGCACTGCCTTGAGAGTTGTGATTACCGTTTGGAACAGATTTGCTGTCAGGTTTTGGGTTTAAGTTTGCTCTTGCCTCGTTCTCTAATAAGTCAGTCATCTATGTAAAAATAAAAATAATATCAATGATTGATTAGAAATATAAGGTTTATTATTGGTTTTTTTTAAGTCTAAATAAAATTACATAATCTTGTTGTATCATATCTAAATAATCCATACAATCCAAAACATCATCTTGTGTAGCATCCTCGCGTGCATACACAACAACTAAATCTGGATTACTACTATCAGATTTGGAAAATCTAATATCCACATGATATTTGTCCATTATTTGTGAAATATTACGTCCCCGAAAACCAATTAATCTTGAATGAATTCGATTGTCAATGAAAATTTCTTCTTTGTAAACATTTTTCTAAAACATGAAATTAAAATCATAAAAAAATGTTAATATTAACAAATCAATAATCATTTTTATTAATAAAAAATAATAAATCTTACAAGTTTATCGACCATTTCTTGAATTTCATCTCTAGCTTTCTCAGCATTTTCTTGATAACCAACGACTGTAACAATATCTTCATTATTACCTTCACCTCTTCTGGGCAGATTTACTTGAACACTATATTTATTACGTAAATTACGAACAGTTTCTCCTTTTTTACCAATAATCATGGGATGGAACTCTGGTTCAATATTCATCTAAATATATAATTATTAAAAATTACAATTTATATCAGAGATCAATAATTAAAATAATAGAAATATAATTTATTCAGAAAACTAAATTGTATTCATTGACAAAATGACTTTCTTTTATTAATTAAAAAGAATTTATGTTCTAGACTAAATAAATAAAACCAATATATTATGAATGTGACTAGAAAAAATACCTGAATTTCATATGAACGTAACTGTCTGTCTTCTTTATCAGCATCATATAACCTCATTTCTTCTTTTATGGCCGCAACTACTTCATCAATATCTTTTTGAACGCCAGTTATCTAAATGTCAAATAAAAACAGAATTAAATAATTGACTATTTAGTTATTTATTTCTTACAGATAAAATATACATAAGAATAACTAATTAAATTATTACAAAAAATAAATAAAATTTCATTACCTTTATAATATCAGCACTGTATTCTTGGTTTGGAACTTTAATCTGAACATTATAATCTTCACTGAGCTTTCGAATTGTAGCACCCTTGGTACCAATCAATGACCTATGATACTCCGAAGGTACATTCAGCTAAAAATAATGTTGAAAATTGTTAAAAAAAGTTAAAAAATATATTCTTGAAAAACTGTCTCACATCAATAGTCTTAGGTACATTATCGATTAATATCTGTTTAGCACTTTCACAATATTCAGGTTTTCCAAAAATTGTAACTATATCATTAACACTAGGAGTACGATTTTCATCAGGCTCTTCTCCGCCATTAATATCTTCAAGTTCACGATTATTATACTGATCTTCTACAAATGGAGCATTAAAATTAAATTATTATATCAGATAAAAAAATAATAATAATTTGAAAAATTGTTACAAGTGAATAAATAATAGTAGTAAGTTCTATACAATTTAAATAATTTTTAATAGTTCAAGGCAAGGCCTTATAATTACTTGGTTATTTTAGTACTTCATTTATTATAAAGTAATAAAAGTAGACATAAATATTGAATGAATAAAGAAAAATAATAAAGCTATTAAATCATTTACATATATTTAATGAATACACTTAATTGGAATTAACTAAAAATTACCTGAGGGTCTTTCGGGGAATTTAATCCAAACATCTAAATCTCTCCTGAGGCCTTCCAATAAATCACGATTCCTCATAAGAACTCTGTGCATCCTTTGAGGTATAATTACATCAATAGTAATACGTTGTTCCTAAAAATAAACACTTAAAACACATACAAAAAAGCAGTGGGAGTTAGTATAATAATAAAATTACCAAGTCTACAACAATATTATTAATTTTATTTTTGACTTTTTCAACAAAATCTTTGTGGCCTTTAATCAAAACTTCACTAGAATTTGAATTCATTTGTGGGAATGTTATGGTAACTCCGTTATACTCTGCGCTAATCTGATTTATGACTTCCGCTCGGCGAGCAACAAAATATCGATGATGTTTAGGCGGAACATCCATAACAATCTCAACAATATTTTCCTGAAATAAATTTGATAACTATACATTAATACGATTTTACACAATTACAAATTCAACTGTATTATCTCTCCTAAACTTTTAATAAGTAGAAATAAGACATTTTATGCCTACCAGGTCTTTAACAATTTCTTCAATTTTACGTTTTGCCTCTTCAGCATTAGTTTTGTCCCCCTTTATAATAACAATACTATCATTGGATAATAATTTAGGGAATGTTATAGACACTCCATTGCAATCATCTATAATTCGATTGATAATTTCACCACGCCTTGAGACAAAATGACGATGAAACTTAGGATCAACATTGATTTCAACTTGAATAGTATTTTCCTAAAAACATTCCAAAATATTATATTTTGATATAAAAGCAATGAAAAAAAGATTATTTAAAATTTATACAAATTTTACTCATTTTTTTTTAAAAAAAAAATAAGTATAAGAACAGAAAAATAATTTAAAGATATAACTCAATAATATATCGCTACAATACTATACACTTAATGTTTTGATATTTAGAAATCAATAGTAGAATAAAATAAACTCTATATCAAAATGTATAACATTCTACTATTTTAATTCACATTTTATTTTAATAATAATAATACAATTGATTACTATTATTTAACATTTCAATACATACAGTGACACAAAGATCTGACACCAGAAATAACTATTGTTCTGTTAAATATTTTTACTTTTTTTTCATGTAACAATTTTTAGAACATTCTTACGATTCCTCTATTTCATTGTTTCTCAAACTGGAGGTTACCAACTATTAAAGAATAGCCAAAAAAATTTAATTTAATTTAAATAATATTTAATCGTTGTATGTAAAATATACATTTAAGGATCCTTAAAAAAATTAATAATAATAGTAATTTAGTAACTTATAATGATAGCAATTTTTCTAAAAGGAAATTTCACTGGGGAGGTACTTTAAAGGGATCATTCTTCGATTTTCATCAAACAAATATTATTAATGAAAATATATAATGCCTATTTAATTGTTTTACCATAATATGACAAATACATTGTTGACAAAACATCACTATCAACTGAACTCCCGTTTTTTCGAATGGTTAATCGTTGCTACCAGATTTACATTAAATTACCTTTAACAGACATCTTTTTAATATAAAATAGACTAATCATAGTGTAAGGCTATATTATTACATAAAAAGAAAAATTAAAAATATTAAACAAAACAAGTTATTTCTGGTATCAGATCTCTGTTACAGGTAGTATATTGAAACCATAAGTCGCTTATACTAGTAGATACGATTATATCGCATTCAAATATAGAAGGTGCTTCTTAGTGACTAAATGGCTAATGTACAATAATAAAATAACGGTGTTCTCATCACATTATTTTATCCAATGTATAAAACATAATCATACATCTTTTAATTTATAAGTTTATGCTGTTTTTAGTAATAATTAATAATATCTTAAATTATTTTAAATAATAAAATTAATTAAAATTTGTGTGGGATTTTTTGGTTTATGGAACAATCAACATGTTTGAAATTTTACAAGTATGTTATAATAAAATTAAAAATGTGGAGGCATTAAAAAAAAAATAAAAAATTGTAATAAATATGAAAACAAAAATTATAACACATGCCAATAAATTCTTAATACCATACAATGGGATTATTGATTCCAATACAATAATAATTGTATTGTATTTAACATGAAGTTTTGCTGCATCACTGTCTTATGTTTGACCATAGCTTATAATGTATGTAATACAAGAATTAATCTATCAATATAAGGTCTATGATTGAAATTAAAAAAAATTATATTTAAAGAATCTCTTTTCTACTTTTATACTAGTATAGCATATTCAAATGATTTAAAGAGCATAGACTTGATACAAATGTGGAAGGCATAATACATATTAAATATAATAATTAATATATCATAATATATCTGTATTTGATAAAAATTCAAATTAATATCATAGAAAACTCATATGATATAAACATTGATTTATACATACCAAAATTTTTGCGTGGTCTAAAAGTTTTTGCTTGGCAAGAGCAACATTAGCTTTACTACCTTTAAGTACAACTTTATCACCAGCACCAGGCTTAGGGAAGGAGATTTTTACACCACCACACTCATCTTCTAGTCTATGTAAAAATTCTCCTCGTTTAGCCACAAAACTTTTGTGATATTTTTCGTTAATTTCTATGCGTTCTTCAATAACATTACTAATATCAGTAATCATCACTTCAAATTCTGCCTTTGCCTTATCAACATTTTCTTTTCTACCAACAATAGTTATATTTTCATTTGTAGAATCGGTTTCAAGTGGAAAAATTATTCTCGTATTAGTTAAATCTCGAATCTGTAATCATAAATTCAGTTATAAATGTATGTTTATATCAATGTGAATTGACATTATTTTTACAACACACCCTTTTGACATTGGCTCGTTTTTTTCCAATCAAATATTTATGAAACTCTGGCTTTACTTTTATATCAAGAACTGAACTATAAACTTCATCTACCATTGTCTGAATTTGTGAAATAGCACTGTCTACATCATCTTCAGGTCCTTTGATAACTATAGTCTATACAGAAAAATTAATTAATTATATTTAATTAAATGTTAACCACTAAAATGTTTAAATTGGATAAATAAGCTGTAATGTGAAGATCTGACACCTGAAATAAAGTTTGTTCCGTTCAATATTTACATTTTTTTTTATTCCTTGCAATAATAACTATTGGAGCCTTTCGTTATTTCTTTAATTTATATTTTTTATATTATTTTTAAAACTAAAAATTAAGTTTTATAAATACTCAAAATAGCTCTTTTATAAATATATATTATTAAAAAAATTTTAGAGTTACAATTAATATTTACAAATACTAAATCATTAATTCTCTTAAAAATTTGAAGTAGACAATAATTTAAAAATTATTTTTGTTTTCACTACTACATACTATCAAATAATTCAATACATTTTTCCAATAATTTAATTAATATTTGTGAACTTTTAATATTTTAATGTTACATTACTGATAAATATTTGTAAAACCAAAATTGATTTAAGTGATAAATTTGCTTAGATTTATAATCATTCTCATGTTTTATTTTCATAACACAAGGATCTAGAAATTATTACAAGAAAAAAGAACCTAAAATTACATTAAAAAAAATATTTGTTTTAAAAATTGACAAGCAAAAATTTATTCCAGATATTTATTAGATCTTTCCTGTTACACCCAATAGATACACCAGTTTTTAAATTATGAATAATGAGAATTATTTATCTTACATAATTAAATAATCGTATTATACTTACATTATCACCTTTAACCGCTGGCAACTTTAATGTTACATTTCCCCCGCAATCTTCTTTTATTGACTGAATAAATTTATTACCAAGATTTACCATGACATTGCGTACTTTTATATTTCCTAATACTATTTCTTTTGTTACAATATCACCCTAAACGTGTTCAATTATAATTTTTATAACTAATTATTTTAATTTACATAAACAAAAAATGAACCAACCATTTCATTTTGTATTTTTTTTATCATATCACAAGCAATTAGTACTTTTTCCTTATTTCCCATAACTTTAATAGTGTCACTATCTTCCCCTTCTCGAGGCAAATCAATTCTAGTGTCAGTTTCTTCTCTAATCTAAAAATACAAAAAAAAAATATTTTAATATTATTATTTAGAAAAAAATATTTTAATAGTTTTTTCTTTTTATTACTATTAGAAAAATATAAACTCTACACATACATTAATATAATAAGAATATAAGAATATTAATTTACAAATGATAAATGACCAGTGAATCATACGAGGGAAGAAGTCCACTAGTGGAATTAGTGAATAAATAATTAAAAACTACCTTTTTAATATTAGCTCCACCTTTTCCAACAACAAGCTTGTGAAATTGTTTAAAAACTGGAATTTCTAAAACATAATTTGCTTCATCCAACTCTTTAGCCAGTTTTGCTAATGATTTAAATGCCTTATTAACATCATCATTTAATCCTCGTATTTTGACTAAATTGCTTCTGGCTTCAACTAAAATTAAAATTAATATAAAGCTCAAAATATTATTAAAAAATATGTTATTTACCTGAACTAGGGAATGTAATTTGAACATTAAATGCTTCCTGAAGCTCTCTAACCTTTTCCCCCTTAACTCCAATTATGGCACGATGATGACGTTGATCAATTGATATTTCTTTTTCAACTTCATTCTCTAATTTGTATATCATTTCTTCCAACTCCTACAGTGAAAAATTAATTAAACAAATTAATAAGATTATAAGAACTTTTGTCTTACACTTTTTGCCGCCTCTACTCCATCTTTCCGACCTTCAATACGAATAATATTGGAATTGTTCTCAGATTCAGAAATATTGATTATAACACCTGTATCGTTCTTAACACGATTAACTGAAAAACAAATTAAATATATTTTAAAATTAATTATATAACAACCGATTACCAAATAATATAAATATTATTTTACTATTAGTTCCATTTTTGCCAATTATGTGTTTGAAAAATTTTGGATCAACAACTAGTTCTGTAGAAACATAGCATTCAATAGCTTTTTTCAATGAATCAATTACTTTTGGTATCATATCCGTAGGACCTTCAACAATTATCTTGTTATCATCAGAAAATTCAACGTGTACCTTTAAAAAAATGTTACAAAATAACTATTGTTTTTTTTTATGTATAATATAATAAGTGCAATAGTATTAATTATTAGTATTAATTTAACAAACCTTCTCATTATCTTCAATTAACTCTCTTAAATTCGAACCATTTTTTCCTATCAGAAATCTATGCATCCATCCAGGACACTCAATCGTTTCAGCAGCCATGCTATTAGCTTTTTCATACAGTTTAGTTAATCCTATAATTAAAAAATGAATCGCACTTTTATTTATTATTTTTAAAATAAGGCCATATTTAAAATATAAAAAATAAAATAAAAATTACCAGTGCCTAAATCCTTATACAATCCTCTTAAAGTCACCGTTTCTTTGTCAGAATCTTGTTGAGGCATTTCAACACTGACATAAGTCTCTGCCAATATATCTTGAATGCCATTTCCTTTTTGCGCCATCAAATATTTATGTTTCTGTTTCGGTATCTCCACAAACACTGTCGCTGACTCTTTTTCCTGGAACCAAATTGATTCAATTGTTAAAAATAATGGTATACATGCCACAATTTAAAAACTAATTAAAACCAATAATATAAAATTGTTTTTTAAATGTTATATTATTATTTATATATTTTAGATTTTGTCATAGTTTATTATGTGTGCTTTTTTCTGTTTTTGAATACAATTTCAATTAGAAAAAAAATGCTCTTATCAAATTATTATGGATATTAATTTTGAATTTTCTGTTAATTCAGTAAATTACCATGCCTTGGTACCTAGGTACTCTTAATTTCAGATTTAACTTTTACATTATCCCATACAACAACAATTCAAATTATGTTATAAAATATACACAACAAAATAATTTAATAATTGATGCAAACCAATAATTCCATACTTCATATTATACTATGCAATGTGCAAGTAGAACTAAATTATACAGATTTTTTTTTTCTTATAATAAATTTTTATTGTTTATGTATTTTTATAATACAAAATATTGTATTTTCTTAGTAAATTTTATATATATACATACTAGAGTATTTTTTATTTTAACTTTTAAGCATTAATTATCTAAACATACCATTTTTGTGTAGATCTGCTTAATACTATCAATAGCCAACTGAACTCCTTCTTTATCTCCAGCAATTGTAATTTCATCTCTATTAACTGAAGGTGGAGGAACATGAATCTTAACACCAGTCTCTTTCATTAAACTATTAAGTTTTTCGTTATGTCCACCAGTAATAAAAGGATGGAATACTTTTGGAATTTCAATCCTTTCAAATGCTTTTTTAGACTATCAAACATGTATTAGTTAGCTAGAACATTAATCAACCTAATACAAAACAAACTAACCAATTCATCAGAAATCATTCGAATTTCTTGAACAGCTTTTTCTACTGCATCTCTTGTTCCAGTAACATTGATAATGTCCGATGTATCTTGAATGCTAGGCATTTGAATACGTGCACCTGTACGTTGTTCGATTTCTTTACGGCGGGTTCCTTGTTTACCCATTACTTGACAATGATGTTCCTTTGGAACAGGCACTGCACTAGTTGCCTAAAATATTAAAATAGTTTAATATTTGTACTTTGATACAATTACAGAACTACACAGATTATAAATATTTAAGGAATTAATAATCTAATATCCACTGGGAAGGCTAAGTGCAAAAAGTATAAAATACCAAATGCATTTTCAATAGATAAGAAATATTGGGGAGGAAAATAGAGAATAGACTAATATTAATGAACAAGCAATTCACCTGAGTCTGAAAACTTGCAATAATCCTACGCTTTGCTTCAACAACATCAGCTACTTTACCCCTAACTAGAAAAGTAAGGTTCATGTTCTTTGAGGTAGAAATCTCTATCTCAGCTCCAGTTTCTCTTGTAATTTGGCTACAAATACGTTTAGATTCTCCTTCACCAAATTTTTCACTATTATCAGATTTCCGGTCTTGAACAGAAATAGTGAATACCTGAAAAAATATACATTTTTTTACTGAGAATATTTAATCAAATAAAATTTAAACACACATACTCAGCTTACAAAATCATTATTTAAACAGACACAAGATGTACTTTTATGATTTGATAAAATAATTAAACTAATTACTTGATTAACAGTTGAAAGAGTAGGCCGGGGTTTGCTCCATCCTTTTGATGGTGCATTTGAAGATGGACATTGACCATTAATTCCAACATTTTTGGGCCCTAATGTTTTTGAATCTGGTAAAGCTGGAAACACCAAATCATAGCTGTTTCCATTATTGCTTCCGTCATCTTGCCCAGTATTGTTAGATACTGTGCGTTCACTCTTTAACTTGGGGATGTCTTGTTGTTGTAACTCCAACATAATGGCTGTGGCTTCCTTACCAAACGTTAAGTCCAAATAAAACGAGTACCAAAGGTATCTCCTTATTGAAACACTTGAAATTCAAATAAAAACAATTATGAATAAATAAAATATTTAAATGTAATTACATTAAATTCAATAGAAACTTTAAAAAAGAGCTAATACTGAGAACGGGTGAATCCGCTGTTGTAGATAAAAATGGCGGAATACATAAAAGTATTTAATTTATACTTTTAAATAATGCTAACAAAAATCAATTCAAAGCGAAGTTCGGTTATAAATGTTTTGAAGGGCTGTAATATTTACAATGTTCGTCAAAATTTGATTTTAAAACTTATAAAGAAAAAATACTACATTCATTTTTTTTTTTTTTTACTGCAAAGTACAACTTATAATGAACCTATCAAATTTTCAACCAATTCTGTTAAATCTAACAATTTATCTACAGAGTACCTACCAAATAAAAATTACATAAAAAACTAGCAAAATTAAAATGTCTATAAACAATTCAAATATTCTGAAAGTTTTAACTTGTCTAGAAAAAGTAAATATAATTTTTCTGTCAACATTATAAGTCTCCACAGATATTTTAAACTGAATTATGTTGAAAAAAAAAACAAAATTAAAAATAATAAAGACATCATTTTCATACATTTTTCCATTCTTTCTATGTATTTTTTGGTTTTTCCCTCGTATTATAAAAAATACTTTAGATATCAAAAAAAAAAACACTCTAAATCAGTGGCAGAGTTATAAAAAACAAATCTCTCGTCATTTTTGAATTGGAGTAATATTTTTGATAGAAAACAATGTGTATACATAATAAAAACACTAAAAACGGTAATGCCATAAATATTTGTTGTTTTACCTATATTTTTCATAGTTATTTTGAAAATCCGAAAACCCCTAGGCAAATCAAAAATTGAAATCCCGACTCATCAACTATGAAAAATTACATTTCAGAAAAGGCGCTATAGACTATACTTCAAATCAAAGTTTCTAGTAGAAAAGTAGTTCACAGAGAGAAAAAAAACACATAATAGTAAAACCCAACGGATTTGGAGCATAGCATTAAACCAAATATTTCTTAAAAATGTATACATGGTACATGGTTAAAAAAATTATACCAAAAGGTCCAACTAAAAAATATGTAATATAAATTATATATTGGTACTTTCAGTTTTAAAATTTAACCTAAATTATACATTTCCAACTTTCCACCCATAACAAACAGTGTCCTACACAATAGTGACCCACCCATGGTATGTCCTATCCTTCTTCTATTTTATCAATATATATTTTTTTACAACAGATACCCATTTAATGTATTCAATTAAGTAGAACAAAATAGTTGTACTCATTGTTTTTTATTAACTTGATAATACTTAGAAAAATATAAAAATTAGTTTGTTTTCTCTACTACAACTAAATGCTCAATGTAAATACTAAAAATAAATTGCTTTTAAAATAAGATCTAAATTATTAAAAATGTACATTTTTTTTAAGATGTAATACCCATGTATTTTATGTATTTATAATAAAACTTAATATTAAATATTATGCAGTTGATTTAAAAGAAAATTAATTATTATCAAAGTAATTAATAGTTTTAACGTATATCTAGGTATTGCATTATACTGTAATAAAGTAATTAATTTAGGTAATCAAAATAACTATCAATACAATATCAAAATTAAAAGTGTAATCCAATATAGATTTCTGTATTATTAGTCATTGTAGAGACCAGATAAACATTTTATTAGATCTATACAATTGGTAAATAGGACTATTGTTAGCTTTCAAATCATAGTACCTATAATGAGTGTAATAAATACTATCAATAGCAACAAATATGGCAAGTACATTATATCTGATTATATATAAAAATAAAACTTAAAACTTAAACTTAACACTTGTCAAAAATTAATATTAAAAGCTATACACAACAAAAGACAAATAGCCTATAAACTATAATAATTTAAAATTCACACTACTACCTGTAAAAGTGAGTAACTAGTAACCTAGATACTAAGTGGTATTTTTAAAATGCTAAATAAATTGGTTTGGTTAAAAGGAGATAAATTATATGTTCTTTATAAAATAAACACACATCAAAATTGTAGATAACTGCTATATATTACAACCAACTATCTATAATTGTACAAAATAACAGACTTTAGTACAAACATTTGTATTATATATTGATAGATTTTGAATTTACCTACTGTGAAATAAAAATCTTACCCACTAAAAAATAAAATAAAAATAGATTTAAATAGCACAATATCAAAAAGTTGACATAATTGAAAATTAATTAAATCAATACTTTTTTAAGCACTTTATTATGTTGTATAGCTATATAGGTAAACAGATTTATGTAGTGAAATGGTGTATGTATTATAAATATATAAGTAGGTAGGTGGGTAGTGTAAGAAATGTCGGTCATAAAAGGACTTATATTAATTGGAATATTATATTCAAGGTAGCATATGCATGAGGATGAATCAAAATGGAACGAGCGCAAGAGCCCAAATACAGATGCCATTGATTTCGATTAACAAAAAAAAAGCCTAAAAAAAGTCGACGTGTCAACCACACTGCTGTGTGCAGCTGTACACAGACATAACCCCAGACGATTGCCATGAGGTTTAAATGCTGCGACGGCCATGACTTGGATTACAAAAACTTGGAAGTATAATGTAGAATACAAAACTTACTGAAATCAGGTTGTTAGGCTTCCGTGAGAATGAGACTGTTTGTTGGACGTGTAAAACGCGTGAACATAAACAAAGCAGCTAACAATTTGATGCAAAACCAAAATGATTTTAACTAGGTACGAACAAGCCGCCGCAACGCTATCAAAGTATCTAACCATTACACATGTAAAAAAAAAAGAATTTTATTTTCTCACCTTTTGCCAGTGTGGCCATATCGAACGAATTAAAAATAAAAACTCGAATGAGAATCTTTATTAAACAAAAATTGTACTAATAAAATATGCTAATGGAGACTGTGTGTACTATGTATAATATATAGTAGACCAAAAAAGGACTCTTGTTTCTCTATTGGAACGATATTTCTTGTTGAAAACATCGTACGTAAAAATTATAAATAATGAAATTGTACGCCATAAATTTGATCGTTTTTCATTTTTCGTCATTTTGCAGTTTTCTTAATTATTATAAAATCTATTTGGAAAATCTAAAAAACCACCTTCTTATTAAGCATCTAGATCCCAAATTCAATAAAAATGATCTCTAGGTATTTTTTTATTAAAATAATATTTCTGGTAGTAACACATAGTCTGCAAAAATTAAAAACATTGAAATCGGTAACACTGCGGTGCACCGTAAATATTTTCCATTTTAACTACAATTTTCCTTCCGGTTTCCCAATTATTTTGAAAACTTCTTAGAAAATCTTAAAATGATCTATCTAATTCACTAAATAGACAAAATTTCCATTCAGAAAAAGTGCTATACTCTATACATCGGAGCAAAATTTCTAGTAGTAAAGTTGTTTATATATTCATCACATTAAAAAGGGAGCGATAACGTGGATGGAGCACCTGGATGTCATATTATAACTACCACTTATTCTTATACCATAAACCCACATTTTTATACCTTACCTCACCTTACTTTACCAATTTGTATTTATTTTTTTTTTCACCAATTTTGAATTTAATTATTTATTAATCATTAATCTATGTATTTATTTATTTCCACTTAACTACCATGAATTATTTATATATGTATTATCTACCTAGTTAGTAAGATAAAATGTGTTACTCATCATATTATAATGTCATACAGAATAATAATTATTGCTAACGAAAAGCGATTCCGAGAGAAATTTAGTAGTACATAAAATGTCGTAATATTTACGATTTTTGTTGATTTTAAAACTCTCATATAGAAAAAAAAATACTACATTTTAATTAATTTTTTTTTAACACTTATTAGGTAAGATTTATAATGAACCTCTTGTCAACTTTTCTAATATTCCTAATAAGTGTAACAATTTTGTCTACAGAATACCCATCAAATAAATATTACATAAAAACTCACAGTTAAATGTCTATAAATAGCTCAAAAATAGCTCAATTATTTTGAAAATGTTACCACGTCTAGAAAAAAACAAATTTAGTTAGAAAACTATCTTCTTTCATCACTCCAATCGTCCACCTAAACATCTCTGCTACACTTACTTTCAGTTGTATTTTCCTGTTTACCACTCAAAACTCCGAACCATACAACGCATTATTGGTTTCACCACACGCTAGTAGAACTTAGGTATTTTTAATTAAGTCTCATTAGCAGTGCCAGGTTAAAGGGGGCAAAAGAAGCAATTACTCCGAGTGGCTAACTTTAAGGGATGACAATTTTTTGAAGACGAAAACAAATTTTTTGGAAGTTTTCACTTTTCTATGTGTATCAAAACTATAATACTCATTCCAAACCTAATAGTCTGATAATATTTTTTCATTGGATCTTGTTCCAAAACTCAGCGTAAACAATGCAGTTTTCATAGGATCTAATATTAAATCGACTGCTCTAATGGATATTTCTTATGTACGTGAAAAGATACCTATCATACTTGATAACAAAGGAATAATATTACAAACAAAATATCAAGTTTAATTTATTCAACTTAATCTACGCGACAACTTTTCAACAGATCTATCATTCAGTTGAGTTTTGAAAAGCACAGAAATAATATTAATTTACTGCAATACCTATTATAAATAATAATGTAGGTAACGTGATATTATATAACCTAACACAGTTATCTCGAAAGTGAGCATATTTTTAGAAATACTGTAATATTATTTTAGTTCTCGGTCCGATTTTTGTTTTTATTATTTTCAAATACAACAGAGTCGTCATTTGTTCTGTGTATCAATACATAAACACTGTTAGGAATAAATAATATACCATTGATTATAATTACTAGTATTTTAGTATTTATAATTAATATTAAAGCTTATTGGTATTATAGTACCGACTATCGAATAAAGATAATTTTGCTAAATTAAAGTGTTGAATATTTTTATGAATGTACAATAAAATAATATATGCTTACATATTTATGTATTTTATAATACTGTTGACTTTTTTACTGTTTAAATTTCAGGACATGCCTAGGTAATAGGTATACCTAATCATAATTCAATTATTTATGCTTATTTAAAATACCTATTGGTATTGTTAAGTTGCAGGGGCGTGCTCAGCTTTTTCCTATGGAGGGATGAACTGTATCTTGTTTTGTTGTTAGTCATATACACAAATTTAAAAAATGTACTTATTGGTATATACATTGATATTTTAGGAGTAGGTAGTTAGGTACAAATTACTAATGTCAATGTATATTATATACCTACATACCTATTTTTTGTATTAATATTTTAAACCTCTTATTTATTTTTTTCATTTAAAAGAAACCTAAATGTTGGCAATGATATCCATATATTTTAAAGTGCTTAAACTGTAAAAACAAAAGTTATGTACCCTAGGTAGTAAGAACTGATTTTTTTTATCTGAAATAAAGTCTAAACTTAGAGTAAATTTATCAGCATCTGATAATCTACAGTTCACAAATAAGCTTAACATATCGTTTACATACATATTTTCAGTCTTAAAAATATGAAATTATTAAAAATATTTAAGCAATTAGGCATATGTATAATATAAAAGTTTAACTACAGCATAGATAAACACTATTGATAATATATTAATATGCCGATGGTCACGTTTATAACATAGATATCGGAATGTACTTAATGGACTTAAATATTATGATAGTCCATTGATAAATACCTTTTTTTTATAATGTGTATGCATTATCTATAGATAATTACTATTTTTTTTACCTTTTTTTCTCCAAGAAACCGAAACTACCAAGGAACTTCAAATAAATGAATGAAACAAATTTTCATGAAGAAGATATGAAACCCTCATCCCCCCATGAGTACGCCTCTGTTAAGTTAATTACTTCTATGATTTAGTTTTAACCTATTTCGTTTATTAAACTTATTAGGTATACATAATAAATTGTTTGTTCTAATAATAAACTTATTAAGTAGGCATGCAATTTTAGTTAAATATAAAATAAATAATCAATATTGAAATTAATTTGAAGTATGTTTTTGAATTGTATTATACGTTTGAATAAATACTTAATGATTAAATAATAGAGTTACGAAAACGATTGATTTTGTGCTTAATATATTACATGAGCGGATTTCAAGTTGATTTTAATTTTCAGTACTTATAGGTTTTGTATCCTGTAAAAAAAAAAGTGAAATTACGCCCCTGAACGCATAAACTATAAATTGTGTACAAATAACTGATAATTCTGTAACAGTATGATTTAGTTATTTTTTATTAGTGGTGGTCTAAACTTTTTAACTGAAATAATTAAACTTTAATCACATAATTATAGATTAAAATATATTTTTATTTACAGAATTGAAAAACTGTGTAGGTAGGTACACTGTATACTCGAATAAAACAAATAATAGGATTAATAGCCAGATTATAAATACATAGAAAATCACCCTGCTGTCGATTCTATCCACATTAACCAATTAAAATTTAATTAAATTTCATTTAATAACTACGAGTAGTTGATACATTTTAACAATAATGTCGATATTAAAAACGTAGATTTTAAATTCTGAGTGGAGCGAAGAAACTTATGGTTTTACAAAAATGTTTATTTTTTTTTATCTGTGGACAATTTTTCTGTCAATTTTTCAATCAGTGTGGAGAAGTACTTTAGGACTTTACTTCAGTGACGTATTTATGGGGGGGATATAGGGGATAGATCCCCTCCCTTGCACTTTTTTTTAATTTAGGTATAAACATGGCTACATGGCTGCAGTACTGATGCTATTTATAATTTTGTTATCCTGTGGGCTGCGAATGATATTACCCAATAATAACAACAAAATTAAAATAGGACCATATTCGGGAGAAGCCGGGTAAAACCCGCTAGTACCTAATAAAGAATAAAGATAGCTCACTGCTATTATACTGTTATATACGTAGAACACGAAACTAATTGCGACAGCGGACAGAAGACGATAAGGAATTCGTAAATTTTAAAATAAATATTATTTTCTAATCATTCCGGTCGTTGTACATCGCATATTACACACTCGCAAAGTCTTACCTCAGGAATAGTATGAAAGAGGTAAATAAATAGTTTGTAATTATATCTTTCAATTTTCAATAAAAATATTTATACTAACTGTTTAAAAATGTATGTGTTTTGTTATTATAGACTAGACTTAATGGGTTGGCTATGCTTTCTTGTCACAGAGAAGTCGAAATTACAACAGATGAAGTAATTGATGAGTTGTGCTTAAAAAACAGAAAACTAGAATTTATTTTATAAATTAATAAAACAGAGTAAAATTATAATCAATATTATTGTTTTTATTGTTACCTAGCCTTACATGGAGTAACTAACAAAAGGTTGCATCAACACAAAAAAAAATTTTATATCCCCTCCTCAAGAAAATCCGTTGTTATCACACTACATTATCGCCTGCGCNTTTAAAAATGTATGTGTTTTGTTATTATAGACTAGACTTAATGGGTTGGCTATGCTTTCTTGTCACAGAGAAGTCGAAATTACAACAGATGAAGTAATTGATGAGTTGTGCTTAAAAAACAGAAAACTAGAATTTATTTTATAAATTAATAAAACAGAGTAAAATTATAATCAATATTATTGGTTTTTATTGTTACCTAGCTTTACATGGAGTAACTAACAAAAGGTTGCATCAACACAAAAAAAAATTTTATATCCTCTCCTCAAGAAAATCCTATATACGCCCCTGCTTTACTTATTAAGTTATTTTTCAATTTTCCGAAGTTTTCCCAACAAATAGGAAAAACCAGAAAAAAAACGGAAGGAAATATGTAAAATATTAAACAAATATTATTACAGAAAATATATAATGCATAATATGTAATTATTTTACCATAATATAACGTACCTACCTATATATTATTGTTGACAAAGCAATCAACTGAACTTCGCTCAGAATCGTTTCTTTCATTATCAATGGTTAATCGTTGCTTGCATATTATATGCATTAAATTAGGTGCCTATAACAGTGGACCCGTCCCTATTATCCAAGGACAGCTTTTTACCTTGGTTCCGTAAAAAAACTTGCTGTAGGGTTGGTTCTGCGTTCTGTGAACGGTTACAATATCTACACTCTACAGCCATACATGTGGCTAAACTGCAATTATTCTATCTAATAAATCGTCAGCGATAAGCCGCACTGATAAAAAACGGATATGGTATTAAATTTGTATTTTATAAAAACTTATGAGTTAATGTTAAATTTAAATTTTATGCGTTTAATCAATTTGAATTATTTTTATAATAATTAATTTAACTTAATCGTCGGGGAAGTCTAAATTATTTAAAAAAATTACTTCAAGATGCGTTTAAACACAGTGTTGAATTTTCGAGATATGCGCCGATACACAAAGAATCCTCTTGATGTTATATTTGAAGAATTATTGCCATTAAAATTGAAAGATAAAGTATCTGGTAAAGGAGATCGATCCAAAGAGCGTGCGTGTGTTCATGAAATGTCTGTTATGTTTGCTTGCTTCAAAAAAAATGAATTCGAACAAACACAATGTTCAAATGAAATAAACAAGTTTCAAGCGTGTGCAAATAAACATTATGCCGACAAGTATAAAAGAAAAAAAGATTTGCAAGAAGGGAATATTTCTTTGGGGAAAGATAATCTTACCCCTAGAGAAGTCAATTATCTATTGAAAAAATATCCAAACCCATAAAAATTTCTTTTAGAATTTCTATGTGTAGAACTTATTATTACCTAGGTATTTATATTTTTTTTAATTTGATTCTAAAAAATTGTAAAAGTAGTTTTCATTTGTTTGTATATTGGTCATAAAAAGAAATAAATTCAATACAAATCTACTGTAGTTGTATTAATTTAATTTCCTGCAAATTTTGAATTGAAATTGTAGAGAAATAAGTCTTACTATCTTTATTAAAATGATTTCAAATTTGTTTTTGTTTTTATTTTACCTATGTTTATAACTCAAAATATGTATATACAATTAGTCACAAAATACAAACATAATTTTAGATCATTAACCTTTGGATACTAACACTTTACAATGAAAGTAAGTGTGAAATTATTCTGTATTTAATGGTACATATAAGATGGGACACCTGTATAATATTAGTTGTTCATACATTTTATAATAATTATATAATATATGTTTTTAACTGTATGTTTATAAATAATAGATAATTATTTGTAGGTATACAATAGCTTTGTTCATTTAAACAAAAAATTTACATTGTTTTTACACAGAAAAAGTAACTTTATTATAGAGATATTTTATTATTCACTATGATAAAAAGTTAACCCATACTTGTTTTCAAAACAAAATTGTTAATATTTATCTTTTCCTGTAATATGTTAATAGCTATAGCCCTATAGCTATATAATATATTTATACCTATATTAAATTTATTATAATATACTTAATCTATGTATGTAATAGTTTATTCAAAATAGGTAATTTTGTTGATTACCTATAACAAATTAAATACTTCTTTCAAAAACAAAGTATTCATAAATTTGATTACTAAAAATAAATGAATAGGTAATAAATACAGTCTCTTTAAGACCATGACAGATAACAAAAATCAAATTATATAAGTTTCTTTAAAGTTTTGGCTAGTCCATTCTATTTATGGTGACCAGACATACTCTTTTTAGTATGGCAGTACTCTTTTATGAGTACTGTCATTAAGGATTAGACATCCTTAATGTGGCGGCGTTCTGTTTGGGTACAATCTTTAACAACGGAAATGTTTGTTACAAATGAAATAGACTTTTGCTTGGTTGTCAAATAAAACAATCGACATCGCAATAGTTGTGCAACATCAGTTTCATCGGTTTAGAGTTATAATTATTATAATAATATAATTATATTACAACGTTTTAATTACACCTTTTTCTTATGTTATGACTTATGGGTGTTAAAATGCACACTAGGAAAAAGTCAATTAAGTATAAATTTAATTAATAAGTCAAAAATAAAAAAATAAAAACAGTAGTTTATAATTATTATAATAATAAAATTTAAATGAATTATTTTATTCACATCAATTTTGCTCACTTGTAATTGTATACATAAATTTTGTAGACGTTTTCCTACGATAGGTACAATAGTTTGTCATTTTTTTTTTCTACTACTCGAATCTCATATAGCATCTAAAACTAATTTTACTTCATCTGCTTCATTTTAGTTCATTCCATTTTAATTTATTTTTTTTAAATATTTGGATGCTCATGTCCACAGAGTTTTGCAAATCGATTATTCCATCTTTCCGTCTCATTATTTGTTTGATGGTTCCCTGCTAAAATATGTAGTATAAACATTCCACATACATTACACACAAGGAAGTGAAAATACAGGTGTAATTTTTTAAAAACACAAAGTAGAAGCAGAACTTATTCGTCTATATATTTAGACAATAAGAAAGCATTAAATGAATAGAACAATTTTTAAAGCGAATAAATAAAGTTATTTTGTTTTTCGTTTGTTTGAGGGATAAAAAATAATAATTTAATTTTTTCTAAATCGATGTCCTCCTCGAAGACAAATCAAAAAAAAAATATGTCCTGGGATAATAGGGACGGTTGCAGCCACTGTTATAGGTACCTAATTTAATTACTTACGGAAAAAGAGTGTGAGCGGAGTTCAGTTGATAGTGATGCTTTGCAAACAATATATATGCCACATTATAGTAAAATAATTAAATAGGCTTAATATATTTTGTTTAATAATATTTGTTTAATGTTGTACCGATATTCCCGATTTTCCTACGTTTTCTCATGTTTTTTCCCGGTTTTTCACATTTACTAGGAAAACTCCCGAGAAAATCAAAAAATGACCTATCTAAAATACCTCTCCAGTGAAATTTCTTTTTAGAAAAATTGCTATTAGAAAAGTTGTCCACAGAACAAAAAAAAAATAATAATAAACATCTTTGTAAAACCATAAGCTTCTTCGCTCCTCAAAATATAAAAATTGAAAATTATTTAATATTAATAGCTCTAGAAAAATCCTTCACAAATCTTATACATTGTGAATTATTACTTTTTAAAATTTAGTTATATTACAAATATGATAATATTTCTACGGGACATTTTTCCTTGTCTGAAAATTCTTTTCCTATGACCTTTTTCTCCACATTACCCTTTCATCATAAATAAAAACGTAGAAATCACATGCATGGTTACGTGATAACCGATTTATGTAATTTGTATTCTATATTGTATTTTGCTATTTAGAATTATAACCATTATAGATAACTATTTATTCTTTTACAGTATAAAAAAACTAAATAGGTATTAATTATAAAATACTTTATCATGGATTATAATGCAATATAGTATCATAAATATAATTATTATCTATAGGTACGTATTTACGTACGATTCTATGGCGTTCACATGGAGTTTACTCTATTAATATTTTTCCGTGGGTTATATTAGCGGGCTGTGCTTACATTTTTGGGCTTTTTCTTTGTTCATTTTTCCCACCTACTATCATCATAGATAGTAAATAATTGACCATAGACCAGATCCATGATTAAACCTAAAAACATATTATCAGTGCTGTAGGTGGGTTTCTAGGTTTGGAAGTCATAGAATCTGGACCGTTCAAGTGTACGTGCATGGATCTTTTTGTCCTCTGGACGGTTAGTGATGGTTAGTGCGGTATTCTTTTAGTTCATCAAAATGTGTACGTGTGTTTATCACACGGGATACCATGTTATCATGAAGTTGGATCTAGTTCAACTATTTCCGTTCGAACGGTCTACACTGGGTGATAGTAGCAATCAAAGATATAAAAATTGAAAATATAATAATATTCATTAATATTTAATTCATTAATCTTTCTTTTCGAAAGCCAATCAAATTCAAAGTTAATTTTCACTATGAACCCGGGCTAAGCTACATTAAGTTAATATATCTATTTATGTTTAATTTGTTTAATAACTTTATACAATATATACATTTGTTTATATTTTTACATAATATTTTGTTTTTTTTTTATCATTTTCTATCTAATACGCAATCCGGGTATAAAACATTATTAACGGAGCTTACTGGAGTCTTCATCATGAGTGTATACAATACGTGTAAAATAAAAACGTGCACGTACACGTGAAGGGTTCAATAAAAACCCACCTTATGCTACTGTTCATAGAAATATTCTGTATTCTTGTGTTCACACCACGAATATACGTATATAAGTATACTTTAATTCGTGGTTCACACAAAGGCAGGAATCCAGATCTCCTACAAAATTATAAAAATTTGACTGGTGAAAATTCAAAATTTCAATGACACCAACTATGATTTGAAAAAAAAAACATCAAGAAATTTAGTGTTCGATAACTTGCATCTTTTTTTGGTAACATGTACAAATTGTGGCCTACGTGTATAGGTGTTAGGAGAAATATTAATCCATTATTAAAATGTTATTTTAAGTATATTTTACTAGGCATTATTGTGTACATTTTATCTGAAATTCTGTAGACATTCTATTATGTCTAGGAAATTCATAAATCATCTAGTATATTATTATGTTATCACGAAATGACAGAATAATACTATTTACATTTTCGAATATTTTTTAACAAGTTTCTACCGTTTCTGAACAATTATTCTTATTATATTTTTCTGTATTAATTATTATAAATTATAAATTATACATGCACAATGTACCATTTACTGGACCACAATTATATTTTATCATGTATGAATTATGAATAGTTAATATGACAATTGTTAAACCTTTTTAATGAAACACTTTTTAGTTCTCCAAGAAAATATCCACCTGAATGAATTAGATATAGATGATGATACCACTGATGTCTATAGATCTGAAGAAGAAATGGATGGTAATATAATTTATTGTATACCTAATTAATTTGATATATTTATTGATTATATTGTTTTTATTTAGAAAATGATTTTCCAGTTTCCAATGAATTTCATTGGAAAACATCAGCAAACTGCAGTTTCGTACACTAAGTTGTCTGGCATTCAGCTAAATTTTATAGTCTATATGGACAATTTAGGCTATATTTACTATAAAAATATTAGTCGTGATAATAAAATGTGAGTACCTATCATGACTATTGTGATTGTTCAAATTGAAATTATTTTTTTAAAATTAAGTCACACAATTTATAATCTGGTTCTAAATACAATTTTACCTTTATAGTTATTTAGTATGTCAAAACCAAAAAAGTAGGAATGTGTTCTGTCCATCAACAGCCAAAATTAGTGGAGATTTCAATAAAAATTGGATCAAAACTAATGGGGTTCATAACTATTTACTTCCAGTGGTTGATATACCAATTACACATTTAAGGAGAAATATTGGGATTGCAGGAACAAACTCTAGAAAATCATCCATAAGACAAGTTTACAATAATAAAATAGTATTGTAAGTAAAATGGCTTAAGGATATTATATTGATATTACAACTACATAATCATAATTTGAATTTTGTAATTCAAATTAATTTTTTGTTTGTACCCAGTATGATTGGTAGGTCATTGATTAGTGTATGAGGACATTATATCCACATTTACTGTCTTAGTCGAACTACCAGGTAACATATTATTATCATTTATTATACAGTATATTTTCTCTTCACCTTTCAATAATTTATAGTCTTTTCCTAGTATGAACCTTTTTAGAAGTGAACAAAATGGCAATTTTTTACAGAGAATCCTAGTTGGTAAAATACCTAGCTTCCTCTAATTTTGATTTGTATAACTTTGCAGGGAATTCTTATTTAGGCAAATTCTTACTATGTTATTCTGGTTTACTTGCAATTTATTGAGAACAGTATCGCCTAATTCCCCCCCTCCCATACTTATATTCCATATTGGAGTATTGTTTAATATAGAGCAAAATAAATAAATAACCCACATTGTTTGTATAGGCACTAAACCTTTTAACTTATAGAATTTATAAGTTATTGAATGTAGCTTCCAAACTAGATTTTGAATATGAAGATCCCATTGTAAATTTTTATCAAATATCATACCTAAATATCGGGTACTAGTTATTTATTTGATAGCTATACATTTATTTACATTATTACAACTGTTACCATTGATACATCAATGAATTTGTATTCGGTTAAGATTTGGAAAACTCTTATAAATTGAGGACGTAATAAACATGGTTTTTTTCTTTATTGAGTGTTAAATTTCTGTCATATAGACTTTGATAAACTTTGTTTAACATAACAGTTGCTTTTTCATGAGCCCCCTCCCAAGACTTGTCAGCAAAAAGTAGGCAGGTGTTTGCATATGGAACAACTAATCCATCTAGATGTAAATCACTAACCAAGTTTAAAAATAATAAAAATAAAATTGGGTTCAATAAACTTCCCGAGGGACTCCATATTCAACGAGAGCATTTTGATCTATAATGTTAATTATTCTAAACATTCATTTTCGATCTTTTAGGTAACTTTCAAACCATTTTAAGCTAAGTTTATTAATACTAAAATTGGGTAAAATCTGTAGTAAAATGTTGTGATTAATAGTATCAAATGCCATTTTTTAAGTCCACGATTACAGTAATCGCCTTGTTACTGCTTTCTAATTCATTAAAAATAAATTGGGTCGTTTTAAATAGAGTATCTTCAGTACCAATACCTGGTCTAAATCCATATTGATTTTATGATTACGATTTGTTTTTCCCTAGGAAAAAGATTAATCTAATTTTAATTATTTTTTCGAATATTTTGGAAAAATTATTAAGCAAGAATATTGGCCTATAATTATTTAAATATTTGCGGTCTCCACCTTAAAAAATAGGTTTAATCATTGCTATTTTAAGATTATCTGGAAAAATATTTTGCTGTATACACAAGTTATATATATAAACTAGTGGGTTGACTATAAGTTCAGTAATACATTTTAATAATTTAATAGTTATCTTATCTATACTTGCAGCTGTATCATCTTTGCAATTATTAACTATGTCGATAACATCCAGTCTTTTAGTTGAATATTTTTTGAAGTTATTTTTTTAGAAGTATTGATGTTAGTAGAAATTAGTTAATGAAACTCTGAATAACTTTTTTTCACATGTTTCTATTGTAGACTTCCGTCCATTTTTCTTTGTATAGACATTTTTTAATTTTTGTCATGAGATTTTATCTATGAGAAAAACTAATTTTTTTTATTTGTCAAAAAGTTGTATATATGTATGGAAACGCAAGTTGTGAAGTGATCGGTTTTGTCTGTCTGTATTATACCATCATTTATCTGAGTAATTAAAAATTTGTCATTATGGACAAATATATGATCAAGACATGAGTGTTTTTGACCGTTGAGTAATCTAGTATATAGGTTCATGAAAAATGCAAATCTGTTTTCCTATAATAAATTGAGATAATCATTATTCAATGCGTTGTCCCCAACTATATTAATGTTCATATCCCTGATAAGAACAGTGTAATAAAATTTTTTTTTATTTTCTATTATAATTTTACTTACCATATTATTAAAAAAATTAATATTAGTCGAGGGTGTTCTATAAATACATAATAAAATAATTGTCATACCTAAGTTAATAAGAGTAAGTTTAACAATATTGGTTTCAACAAAATCATATTAAAAAAAGTTATAATTGTATCTAACAAAAAACGAAAATATCATAATTTTGGTTCCTTTTTATTGTAGAGAAGAATAATTTATATCCTTAAATAGTAAAAATATTTTTATTTTAAGGACTGTATCAAGTTTCAGTCCATATAATTACATCTATTTTATCACTATTCGGATCATTTTCTAAAAATAATGTTAATTCATCAAAGTTGGAGTTGTCACTCCTAATATTACAACACAGAATATTTACATACTTGTTTATATTGTTATTAATATGCCAAAATTCCGTAAAAGATTCAAAGTAGTTTGTTTTGTAACTAAGATTTATGTTTATAGAATTCTCCATTTATTATGAAAAATTAAAAATATAAAAAAGTAGAAATTACCCCAATTTAGATAAGGTACATCATTTACAATAACGACTTTGCAATTTTCATTCTTTTGAATAAAAATTTTTCGAATCTCTAAACCAAACTAATCTGTACCCAGTGTCGCAAGCAAAAGCTCTAGATTTGAAAAATACATTTTTATTGAATTATGTAAGACTATCGTTAATATATATTTTCTCATCATCCCAGTTTGAGTTTACTACTTAACCTACTTTGATTTTTTGACATAATCCATCACAGTTTTCTTGTTTTGAGTTGACAGCAACTAAGCCACTATTTTTTTGGATCTATTTGTAATTTTTGATTGAACATGTAATGTTTTTGATATGGAAATGTTTGTTCTTACTGCTACCGCAATTGATTCCACTGTTTTTACACAGTCTTCATTGTCAACCTCCGTGACACCCATAATTTCAACAAATTTTTCAATCTCTTTTTGCTCAAGTGCGTTCATTCATTTGTCTAATTCAGTTCTTAATTTACAATTTTTTTCTTTTAAAAAAGAATTTTCAACTTTGATATTATTTATTGTTGTAACTAGCTCTTGTAATTGTTGACTAAAACTATCAAATTTTTCACTCATAAAATGTACAGATTTAATTAGATTATTAATAGTTTCATTATTTATGTCCATATGATCTGAGATTAATGCGCTTTTTGAAGCCAGTGGTTTAAGACATGGCTCATTCAATTTACATTTACCGCAACACCAGTTTTGTTTGGTTATTTTGGAAATTTTTCTAAAAGCAGACCCTTAACGCTGCACATTCGAAGTACAGTATGACATTGCATTTGGAACAATTAAGGTTATCTTCTTCAAAAATTTTGCAACGTTGCTTACACAGATTGGAAGACATCCCAATATCTGGGACTATTTACGTAATTACACTTTTAAATATTTGTGTTTGTGAATTTTAAAAAAAATTCTACCCATATTTTTTGTAGGTGCAAGATAATGGAAGACGTTAATTTTGTGAATAAAACAATAACCTTTTTTGACTTAACTTTCTTGAATTACTTTTGTTATGATTGAGCTATAACTAAACGAGTTGTTTGATTTCTTTTAAATTAAAATTAGAATTGGTGTTTTTAGTTTTATAATTTTTAATTTGTATAGCTATTTATGTACACATAATTTTAAATATTTGCATTTGTGATTTAATACACTTTTTGTATTGATTTTGTGTAGGATTTACAATCTTATTATGCTATAATATATAAATTATTATTTTATGTTAAAAAAAAAAATGCTACCCAGATTATTTGTAGCTGGTGGAAGATGGTCATTATGTCTTTGATTTTTATTCTTGTAGTACAAAGTATCTTTGTCGGCGCTAATATAGATGTAACATTATAAAGTTTTAGTTGATACCTATTTTTTTAATGGCTATTATTAATTATAATTTTTGTATATTTGTATATTTTTTTAAGTATTTGTATTTTTAAGACAGAATTAATTTATTGTATTATTTTTAAAATTTAATGTTTAACTTGACATTGACATCTATAACAGATTATTTAAATAGATTTTATATCTATTACATGTGCTGAAATCATATATAACGTCAGTTTTTGCCTATCAGCTCTATTCTGTGAGATATGATAATAATATAATTATATATATTATCACGTAAATTTGGCGAAGGGTATTTAGGTTTTAAATTTAAAAAAAAAACTTAATACATTGTATATATTTTAATAAATTGAAACAAATATAATAATACACTTCTTAGATTCTAAGTGCAGTGAGAAATGTATTGGTTTTACAAAAAGGTTATGTTTTATTTTATTTTTTGATCTGCTTATTATCAACTTTTCTACCAAAAATTTTGCTCTAGTTGTATACCTAGTAAGATTTTGTAAATTAGCTAAATCTCAAAAAGTAGAGTTGATAGAAAAAAAACTCCATTAAATATTTAAAATCAGCACAATAAATATAATCGTTGTCAACAAAAAATTACAGGCACAAAAAAAATGTTTCTTTATTTTCCTCTGTAATATATATATATATATATATTACATATATATATACATATAATGATATATAACAAATACAGTACAGTACAATAGTCTATTCAAAAAGTACACATTTTAGTAAAATCAATACTTATATACATAATAAAAATATTTACATTTAATAATATGTTTGTTTAATGTCCTATATTTATTGATTTATTATTATTATTTATAAAATAAAATTAACACATAGAACCATGTATTATGACTTATATTATTGACTGTGTAGTTATATAATTTAGTGTTCTGATAAATATATTTTGTTTTACATAACTAAATAAACACAAATCTATTTATTTAAATTGTTTTTTTTATTTGATTATGTTACTATTTTTATTCATATTATCAACTATTAAACATTTAACATTTATTATTTGAAATTATAATTTTATTACAAAGTCAACTTATTAGGTGTGTATCATTATAAAGAAAATTCTTTGAAACTCAATACACTGAAAATAAAAGAAATATTCTTATGTATAATTATTGAAAAAAATAAAACTTTAAATACAAAATTGCATAATATAAAAACATAGCATTTAAATTTAAAAAAAATAATACAATTTCATATAGTTATTACTATTGATAAAGACACTAGAACAATGCATCAAAAAAGAGTTTGTCTGCTCACCATACTTATACCAAATAATCGAGGTCCACGTAAATACTTGGAATGTAAAAACTTGAACGGTACTAATCTGGAGTATAAAATTTTGAAATTTATAAAAATCTGGAATATAAACTTTTGAAATCCGTAAAAATTTGGTCAGTACAAATTGATCGTTTTCTTCAAAGCTGAAAGTTTACCAGTGAGTAATAATATTTGTATTTATTACCTATAATTTTTAGTTTGTATGCCGAGTACCTAACCTAACAATATGATAACATTTAAATTTCTCATAAAAATTCTATCTTTATTTTTCAGATTCTTAATGACTTGAAATACACCAAATAAAAAATTTAGGAATGTTAATGTGGATACCATTAACCTATTATTTGTTTTAACTGTTGTTTTGAAGTCAAAGTCAAATTTTAATAAAGGTACTAATTTTTCAACACATATATATATATATATATATTAAAATAAAAAGTAATAATGATTATTTTAAGTAATACAGGATTATGTTTATAGGTAAACATAAGTTCTTACTTATCCGTTAACAGTTAAACAAATAATAGGTATATTTAACTTAGAATTTATACCTATTATATATATATTATATAATTAAAACATAATTATATATAAATATTAATTATTTTATTATGGTTGTATTGTTTTTATCACTGGGTACATATTATATATTTCTTTTAACTATTTTTTAATTATTAAAAATATTGAATAAATAGGATCTTTTATCACCTTTCTTATTATTCTGGATATTGTATTACAAAGAGAACAGTTTCAGTTTTTGAATATTAAGTACCATAAGCGATTCCTAAATATACATTTCCCTTCGTACACTTTACACAATATGCATAACAAAATTGGTAAGTGTAAACTAATAGGAATTAGGTTTTACTATTTTTGTTAAACGTACACTAAAATAAAACAATTTTTACACTCATTATTACCCTTCTTAATATTACTATTATTATTAGATGAAATAATAACTGTTTTTTGTAAAAAAAAAAAAAAAAAAAATTAACATACATTAATTCATTGTGTTGATATTGAATAGTTTTCCTACATGGTTTTCTTTTAAAAAATACCTATAATAATTATATATATTTTTCAAATTTTAATAAAGACTAATAAAATATATTGTTCTAACTTAATAATACTCAATTAAAAAAAAACTAATTTATACAAAAAAATTACTAAAATTGTATTCAGTGATCAATGTTTTATTAGACAGTACTTTAATATAAGTACCTGCTGAATAATAGGTATATATAACTTCTTATTAAATTTGTTTTTCTTATTTCTTCATATTATATGTATGTGTATTCTGTATAAATATATAAATTAGTAAGTAGGCCTCATTATATATATATATATGTATATAATATGTTTATGAAATATAGTACAATATATTTGTTAACAATTATTATTGGTTATTATTTTATTTATTACATTGCTCAGTTATCAAACCATTGTTATTTTAGCCGCCTCTAAGTAAGTATACACAAAATTAACAGATAACTACATTTTATAATATAATAATACAAAAATTTGAAGTTTCACAACTTCGTATAAGTAGATATATACTAATATCTAGACATTCACGAAATTCTTTCATAAAAATATTTTAACATTGATTAATCGTGTTGCATAATTTATTTATACGTTTATTTATTCAAGTTCATATAGATATATTATAATGAAGAGTAATAATGTATAAAATGGTTTATTTAAGTGACAATATTCTCACTTATCTTACATATCTACAAGTGACAGTACCTATATAGGAATAATCAACTTCTTAACAACGGTTAAATAAATAATAGGTATAGATAAGATTTTTTTTCATTTATATGTATATACAAAATACAGTACAATACATTATAACTATCTATTACTTACTATTAAGTAAGTATATATTATATTAATATGTACTTACATATAATATAATAATATCCAAATTTGAAGCTTCACAACTGTATACCTGCGTTGGTATGATTTCTATTAAGAGGTAATATACTGATTACCTACTCTAACAGTGAATAAATTTTTTTCCAATTTTTTAGAAATACTATTTTTGATATCTAGACATTCACCGAATCCCTTCTACCTGTTATACTATTAGGTAAATATAGATTAAATTTAAAACAAACTAATAGGTACCTACATATAATAATAATAATGTAAAAATTTGGAAGTTTCACAACTATATACCTATGGTGGGAGGTAGGATGATTTCTATTAAGTTAAAAATTAATACATAATTCTCTGCTTACAGCTATTAGTTATTATTGTATTAAATACAAAATACTGACATCTAGACATTTTTAATTGCTGTTTTCGTTCTCCCAATAATGGACAGTGTCAATAGAAATATTTGATTTTTTTCTATTTTGAATAGAAACACATTTTGATATTTTTGAAACATTGCCTATTACTTTGGTTAGTAAAAATATGTTTATATTAGAATATTTTAAGTGCCCAATTTCTACCACCATTGGTAGAAATTAACAAAACTTTTTGAATTCATCGAATTTCTTACTAATGTGCTTTCGATTTAGTAGATATCATATTAATATTATGAAAACTCGATTGTAGGGATAGATGTTATAACTTTTCCGATTTCTTTTTTTATTCGCCCCTTTTTTTTACTGTATATAAACACAAATTATTGACATTTAGATATTTCCCAAATCCCTTCATAACTCAATTTTCCCTGTTTCAAACACGTTACACTGCACCTAGTTGGCCATATGGCGGACTGCCCATCTGCCGACAATATCCTCTTCCGAAAATACTGGCATTTAAACATTTTCTTATGTCTTAATAAATAATTCGATCAGCAGCTGGACTTTTTCCGTTTTACTTTTACAATCCGATCGGTCGTTCTCCAACAACTGTTATTGGTCGTGACGGCATACGTCTTACATCACCGAGCGTACGTATCCCGGCTGTATTCGCTTCCAAAATACAGACATCTAGACGTTTCCCGAATCTTTTCGTTTTTGAATTTCCCCCGTATTCTACTCATTACAATGCACCTATCGCCTGTATACACTTCCAAGAATACTGACATCTAGACAAGCCGTATTCCCGGTAGGTATATGAATACATATACATAAAGGGGTTTTATTGCATTTAGTCATAGTGAATTCAATCCCTTCATATACCAATTTCCGCTGTACTTCTGTGTATGTGTTAAGTACTAACTGTATCCACTACGTCATCTGTATAACTTAATACTGACGTCTAGACATTCTCCGAATTCCTCTGTATTACCATTCCTATATCATAATTTCCCCTGTATCCGTTATTCTGCACTCACCAACCGAACGTATACGCTCTATAAAAATTAATTTCAAGATGTTTTTATTTGTTCACGTATCTCAACCGACTTCTCCGTTTTCTCATCCCTTAGTATTCTATCTGCTGTAGTAGATATCATTCCCGCGGTTTCAGCAGTGATGCCGACATTCGAAGCATTACTTCCGATCCCTGTATTCTGACCGACTGTTTCCGCTCCTGCGATACTGTGAGCGAAGAGAGGTGAGGCGGTCGAGCCGAGGATTTGGCGGCGGAACCCCTAACTAGGCGTGGAGCGTCTAGTACATTATAAAATGGTTGTATAAGTTGGTCACACTGGGGTATCTTTAATTACGGTAACATTGCACAATAACAAAATTGTTTAATGGCGTCCCGCGTCAGCCATTTACGAAGTTATGACGCTCTGATTCGGCATTCGGCATTTTCATTTTATTTCTTTGTTTCTGTTCGTAAGGGTGTGTTCTCTACGATCGAAATTGAAACTAATCTTTGTGTTACTTCTTTGAGTTATTCTATTAACAATTCTTAATCTTTTTAACGATTATAATCGTCCGGCTGTTTTCTTCTAACGAGTAAGTATTATTTTTAAGAATAATTCATTAAATTTCCTGTGTATTACGCCATTTTAGTTGAAGTCTGACTTTTAAAGGGAAAAAAAAAAATTCAAATTATCGAAGAACACTACATCTAAATATTTTTTATGCCTCCCGTTTTGCCAATGTTTCGTGATTGAATTTTCGATTGTTCCCTTTACTCGCATAGAATAACAGGTTTAAAAGTGCGCATTTGCAGTCTTCAAAAAATGTTGGTCTCTGAAAGGATGCCTCTTGGGGTAAAAATAAAATTTATTTGGATACTATGCTTTTTCCTATATTTTTAAGTTATGGTTTGACCCCGAGAACCAAACAGCGTCCATGAACAATACAATTCTTCCAATTATGCGAACGTGAACTTTGTGTATCTTGATGGAACATGAGAAAACCATTGGTTATTGGTCAGAAGGGGCGTACGAAAAATATGCATTTGGCGTTTTTCAATGTTTTGACTTTTTTTTACCCCAAGTTCTATACTTCAACACACCCCATTTTTAATAATGGAGGTAGGTATTTATATAAAAAAAATGTAAACTTCAACCCACATGGCATTATTTTACGAGTTGGCGTTATTACGAATTCATAATTAAAAGTCTTTGAGAAGGTAGTAGAGGGGAAATTTAATGTATATTTGTAAGCACCAATCAATCATTGCTAATGAAAAAATGATTCTGGGTGGAGTAGATGTTGATAGTGTTGCTTTGTCAACAATATATATGCTATATTATGATAAAATAATTATATTATATATTTTACTTTAATAATGTTTTATATTGTTTAGTATTGGAATAACAATGGGCAAAATCTAAAAATGGCCTCTCTAATATACCTCCCCAGTCAGATTTAATTTTAGAAAAAGTGCCATCATTGTGAAATCCGAGCATAATTGCTGGTAGAAAAGTTGTTCAAAAGAAAAAAAAAGGCCATATTTTTTCCAACTTATACCTACATAACGTTAATTTTCCCGGTTTATTCAATTTATTGTGTAAACATCTGAGAAAATAGAAAAATGACCTCTTTAAACTACCTCTCCAGTCAGATTTCCTTTTTAAAAATGTACTACCATTGTAAATTTAAGCAAATTTGCTGGTAGAAAAGTTGATCACAGAAAAAAAAAATAATCTTTATAAAACCATAAGCTTCTTTGTTCCATTCAGAATTTAAAATTTAATATCTACCACATGTCATCTTATATTATAATTGTAAATTTAATTTTTTTAAACTGGTACAATTATGATACATATCTTATTATTTGTCATTAAAATTATATTTTAATTTAAATTTCACTGATGGAGTAGCGAAATATAAAAATATTCAATAAAACAATGTGAGAATAATAAATTAATTTTTGTTATTTTATGATTTAAATTTAAGTATCATATAACATACATGAGGGGGGAGATGGTTTGTCTGGGACGTCCGGACTTGGGTTTGTAAAACAAGGATTCGATAACAGTAATCAAGATCCTTAAATTGGTAGTTTGTTATCTTTTTAATATGAAAGTAAAAATTGCAATTAAATAGTTATCTTTTAATAATTTTTCTATTATATAACTTTATTAAATAGTGATTGATCTCTGTTTTTTGGAACTGGAGAAAAAATTTCTAAAAATGCCTTTGTATTTATAAAAATTAAAAATTATAAAATAATTGTTATACTGGTTATCATTTATAAAATAATTTGCTGCCAGACATTCTACTTTTATATTTTCCGACTAACAAAATAATCTGCATATTTTGGATTTTTCTGTACTTATCATTAGAAACCAATTTATGCTCCCTTTATTAAAGAATTAAATTTAAACTTGTTTAAATTTTCGAGTTTTGATCATTTCAAACATTTGTCTAGAGTTACCTACTCAGTTAAAATTAAATTATGATGGTTGGTACTTATATTTTAATTATTAAAAATGTCTCATTTTTAATTAAAAATTGGCATCTTAGAATATTCAAATAACCAAACTATTGTCTAAGTGGGATTGTTGTTTGGTTACAAATTATACACTCTTACAATGATTGTTATTTGTTATTGTTATTAATATTTGTATGATTTTATTTAAATTTAATTTTACAGTATTATCTCATTGTATGCACATTATAAACACAGTAACTACAACCTATGACTACCCTATTACAATAATAATACAACAGACACCAGTTTAAGATTATCGTTTTATGACAATGATAAATAATACTTATACAATTTCTAATACAATAGTTGTTTTCAATAATCAACAGACAGGCTATTTTACACAATATGGTATTATTCTAAGTTATCCAAAACGTATTTTAACTGAAATATAGAAAAAGATACAGACATTTTTTGCATAGAGTGGGGGGGGGGCACTATTGTAGATGAGAAGTTAGAAATATAAAAAAGAGAAAATTTAAAGTGAAAGTTTAATGCGTATCTGTACTCAACAGTTAACCTCTGCTAATGAAGAATGATTCTGAACAAGTTGTTCTGCTCAATTAATAGTGTTACTTTCTAATATTTAAGTACTTCATCAAAATTTTATATTAAAAATTCTCATTAAAAAAAAAAACTGCAAGACTCAATTTTTTTAATTACAAAATACTACTTATAATGAATTTCTTGTTAAATTTTCTAGCATTTCTATTTGGTCTAACAATTTTATACACAAAGTATCTACCAAACAAGGTTATGTTGGATTGAAAAATCCATAAAATTAAAATGTATAAACAGCTCCAAAATGACTACAATGATAAGAAAATTGTATCACTTTCAGAACTACCAAATATAAGTTTTCTATCCAAACTTTAAGTATCTACGAATATTTTTAACTGAAAACAAAACAAAAAATTGAAACTGTAAATTTTTCCTTTCATCCCAGTTGTTCACATGTTTTTTCTCGGTTTGCCCCTATTTATAATGCCTAAATAACCTTATATAGTATCACCTTAATTAGATTTCCTTTCAGAATATGTGCTAAACTTGAAAATCTAAGCAAAATTGCTGGTAGAAAAATTATCCACAAAAAAATAAAAATATTTATCTAACCAATACATTCCTTGCTCTGTTCAGAATCTAAAATATGAATAATATTTATAGGAAAATATTATGAAATAAGTAGAGTCCGTAGTTCTATATATATTTGCATGTCAATAAGGGTTTGAAATGAGTGATTCATGTCGCACCAAATTCAAATACCAAATTTGACTACGCATATTTTACATATTCAGAGAATTATTGCATATTAGTTCAAATAACATGCATATAATGTGTATTTATTATTAATGAATCAATTTTATTGTAGAAAAAAAGTTTTTGACATTGTTTTTCAGAAGAATTTTGTTAAAATATTGTTATATTTGCCACAGTGTATAAAATCAGAGCTCTAACTCATAGCTCACAATCACATGTGGCTTGGTGTTACTATGTTATGAATTCTTTTGTCATTCTGGTTGTGTGTAATGTGTCGTTATATTTGAAAATCGTGTGTGGTAGTAAAAGGCATGTTGTGATTTTAGTTTTATTATTTTGAAATTTTATTGTTAGGTTTTCAGATTATCTTATTTCAAATAATATAATATATAAACAATTATTGCTAAGTTTATTATTATTCTTGAGATAAATATGGTGTTTTATTTTTTTAAACATATTTTATTAAGTATAATAAAATGCATATTTATCCACTTTTTGTATCCATATTTGACAATTTTTAAATGCATATAATTATTACTTGGTCTCAAAATACAAACATTGAATTTAATTACTATTTTATATTTTGAACACAGATTTGTCACCATAAAGTCAAAATGGTGATGCACGTCAATAATTGAGCGGGTCAAATTTTTTTCCCATATAGCTATAAATTACAAAAACAATGTGCCCCACCATGTTTGAAAAATTTTTGTAGTTCTGTTAATATTATATTTTTTTAGATTTTTTTTATCCGATGAATAATTTCTTTGTTATAGCTGTAGAAAATAGGCATGAAAACAATTAATATTCAATAAAATAACATGTTATGTGATGAGGAATCACAAAAAGCCCAAATAAAGAATAAAATCTTTATCTTCTATTGAATATAAGTTTTCATGCCTATTTTTTAGAAATTAAAACCGGTATAATTAAGAAACTATTAATCAGATATTTATGTATGGATACATTACAATTTTAAGAATAATAGTTTTTAAAAAATGGCCATTGAAAATTTGCATGTGAATTAATAGTTTTTTTTTTTTATTTAGGGGATGAAAATGAAAATTTATTCTTCTTCAAATCACCGTTCCACATTTTAGTTCCGCCTGAAGACAAACCGATTGAAAACAAATTTAAAATTAACAGCATTAGAAAAATCTGTTAAACATCTGTCTGGAACATACTCTACAATGAAATTTAATAAGGTACTCATTATTTATTTAGGTTCTTAAATAGCTTTTCATGAGTGATTTAAATATTATAAATACCTAACCCTGTGATATCAAAGACAAAAAGATTGGGTTCATAATTATTATAAATATATTTTTACCAGCAGTAATTTATAAAGTTATCATCTAAAATATTTTGTACAGCGTCATAGTGATAACTGATAATAATTCTAATTAAATAGTACCCATAAAATTGTCACTTGTGTTTGCTTATAAAATAGGTACATAAAGATGAATAACACAAATGTGTTTTTTAACTTTGTTATTAAATGAATCTCTTGGATAAAAAAAAAAAATATCAATTTTTTTTTATGTTGGTAATGAGTGATTTTGCCTACATTTTATAATATAATGCATTTTAATTTTGTTTTTTTTCAGGGGCCTTTTCGAAAGTTATCAATGTTGAAAATAATCATTTTAAATGATCTTTCAAAATCAAAAAGGTATTTATTAATTTATGTTAATTGTTTTGTATTTTCGATTCTGAGTTACCATTTTAGATGATTTTTTTCCTGAGAAAATACTTATTTAGTAAATATACTCAGTTTCGGAGTGTAACGAGGAATGTATTGGTTTTAAAATAATGTTGTCATTTTCTGCTAGAAATCTTGCTCCAATTTTCAAGACTAGTACCCTTTCTGGAGGAAATTTAATCTGGATGGTACTTTTGGGTGGCTATTTCTTGATTTTCCAAGTGGTATCTTTATTAATTTAAAAAACGGGAAAATGTATATACTTGTCATACATAGACAAAATTTCGCTCTGAATTGTTTTTTGTTAGTAATAGCTTATCGTTCTGTACAAATATAAATTAAATTTCTCTCTCTATATCCTAATTTCCCAACTTATCGACTATAACAGTCGCCCTCCCACCATGAAATGTGTCTTTTTATAACGTATTTTGAAAGTTGCAGAGTTTCTGCTTGATAATACTTTACTCCTTTCACTTTTCCTTATATTGGAAAATTATTAATTGTGTTGTTAATAACATTAACTATTGTAATATCTCTACTTAAAATATTTTGATTCCTATGATTTACCATTGCTTTCAGTATGTAAACCTTTTAGCCCACAACTAATTATTTTACAATTAATTTTTACTATAACGTTTAAACACATACATAATAATATAGGTAATCTGATTATATTTATTCTGAGTTAACGTTTGAGTTTAGTGTACTAATTATTTTTAGTTTATGATTTATTTATATGAAGGTTATTTTTTTAAAACCTTTATTGTACATATATTAATGTAAGATTACCAAATGCATTGGTATGTATATTATATCTCTATATCTTTAACTAATATATTATTCTGATATTATTATAATGTTATAATTTTATTATTCATTATTTTTACAGGATGTTTTTTATCAAAAACATTCGGATTCTGAAGAACCAATATCAGTAATAGCTAAAATATTGTCCAATAATGATGCAGCCAAGTAATTTTTTTATTAATTTATTGCCAGGTCTTTTTTTTTTTTTTGGTTAACACAAAGGCTTTCATCTAATACAGGGTCAACATTATTTTTGTTGTCTAGGGCCAAAAAGTAAAAACTAACTCTTCACAGACCACAATTAGAATACACATTTTATTTAACTTTCAGGTAGGCGCTAATTAAGTGCATAAATAAATGTTTCATTGACTATACTGCCCTAAAATTAGTTCTACTTTAGTCTCTCTAGTAGTAAAACGTATTTTATAATATAATGAAAAAAATATTTTTTTTTATGAAAAGTTATTAGAATATTATGGTACAAAGCCGAAAAATACGGAAAGTGTAAATGGATACTAAACATTCAAGATCAACAAAAAATTTATATCCCTCCGCCTCATGGAAAGTAAAACTGCAGTAGAAGTCTACACCCGATTGCTTAGTATTTTCCTAAAATTTGAAGCGTGTCAGGTATTTCACAGAGTAATAACGGCCGAGAGATTGTAAACTGTGTACTAGATGAATTAATACAACTTCAACTTGAGTGTGTTGTTGTATATGGACGTCCGAGGCATTCTCAGAGTAAAGGGAGTATTCGGCCAATCAAACATATTAAGAGAATGGATGAGAATATGTCCCAGAGAAGATGGTCAATCAGTCTTGAGTATTCAGTGGCAAAAAAAACTGTTCATTTTACCGTACTGTTGTTAGAAGCTCAAATAATGTGTTTTTTGGAAACTGCTTGAAAGTTGGATTAACAGTTAAAGACTTCTAATTGATTTTTTCCAGATTCCAAAATTAATGATTGTGTGGTAATGGCTGTTTCAAAAGATGATAAAGGGCTTACAGATCCACCAAATATTTTATGCTTAGCTGTTTAAAATAAGAAAAATTAATTGTATAAGCTAAGAACTAAAAATGGAATGATTGAAGGATGGTATGAAGGAGATTGCTTAAAAATTTATGAGCGATTTTTAACGGTTGATGAGATTTGTTTGACAGAGAGCAAAGAGTTAACTGTTCGTGAGACTGACAGTTACAACAGGTGAACAAGGTTTTTCTTCTTGTTGGTGTAAATCTAAAAGCCGAACATCAAGGTGTGTCTGTTTTAAAAAAAAAATAAAAATGTGTAACAGTTGTTACCATATAGCTCTCAACCAATTTAAATAAATTATAAAGTTGTCCAACAAAATAATATTTGTTTATTTATAAAATATATATATTACACAATGTGGATAAAATTAATTGTATCCATTTCATGAATAGATCAAAAAGTTGGTCATACAGTGTATAAAAACGTCATTTTCACTAAATTGATACACATCTTTTTTTGATTTTAATGAATAATTTGTATTGTAGAATGAAATTTCCATTTTTGGACTTATTTCTATTAATATTTGATTTATTTATGATTATTGTTAAAAATTCAACTATAAATGCATTATAAGTTTACTAATACATAGTTTGAATTTCAAAGATAGAAAATGGTCATAGATAAGCATTTTATTATACTCTTCCTCACTCCGGTCTAAACATTAAACTGTTATAACTCATAAATGGTAAATCTGATATTAGTGTGGTGCATTGAAAAATATTCATTCTCTATTCAAATGAATGTTCAAAAGGGTAGGGGGTTCTTATTGAAAAAATAAAAGTATGCACTTATTTAAAGTACATGGAGTATGAGTAAAAAAATAAAATTGGTTTTAAAATAAAGCTTCAACGATTCCATTATTATTAGAAAAAATAGAAATCAAATTCACTTGCAGATTCGTGATAAAAAAAAAGAAAAATCATTTTGTATAGTTTTTTACCTCTTTAAAAATTTAATTAATTTGTATACACTGTTTCTTAAAATGATTTTGTAGATTAATAGTTGATTTTTTACAGGTATGAAAAAATATTAAACAAATTTTAAACTGTTGGATTTTCATAGAGTCAAAGATTTAGCCCGAGCAACATTAGCAAAGGCCAGTTTAATGTTTTTAAACTGTGGCTCTTTGGCTAAACTCAATAGTGCAATGCAGGTAACTACTGAAATTTAAACAAATTTATTGTTTGAATACAATTTTGATTACTTGTTTTGTTTATTTACAGGCTTACGATACAATTTGTGGTAAGTTGATTTTTTTACAATTATTTTTGTTAATTTAATTTTAAAAATTACGAACTAAAGCCCAAATATAGTGATTTATGAGGACTATCCGTAAAATAAAGGTTTCCAATTTTTGTAATCCAAGAAAATACATGGTGTTGCGCATTCATCATAGACATCTGTACTTCCATTCTTAAACTCTTGGCAACATTTTCGCACACAACAAACAAATTGCAGAATATAACTCACTTAGCGGGAGTGACAAATGAAAACTTCATTATGAACGGCTACAAAATCGAAACTAAGTGTCACAAACATCTCGGAATAATATTAGTTTGTAGGAAGGAAGCACATCAGTGTGTGTTGTCAGATATTTTTTCAAACCTTCCTTATGACATTAGCGCCTCAAAAACCTAATTTTACATACAGCCTTTGTATATTTTTATTTACTTTCGCTTTTTGTCAAAATTAATATTTTTAAAAAGCTGTCCTAGGATAATGGGGGGACAGGTGCAGCCACTGTTATAAGTAATTTAATGTATATCTGTTATTAATGATTGACTAATGCTGACAAAAAAACGATTTTGAGCGGAGTTCACTTGACATGTAGTTTCTTTATTAATAATATATGTGTTGTATTATTATCAAATAATTACATATGCAATATACACATTTTTTTAAAAATATTTGGTCAATATTGTACCTATTTTACCAGATTTCTCATTTATTGGGAAAACTAGTGAGAAATTTAAAAATGGTCTCTTGAAAGTATCTCACTAGTCAGTTTTTCTTTTAGAAAAATTGCTATCATTATAAATCTGTGCAACATTGCTGGTAGAAAAGTTTTTAAAAAATCTTAATATTCTCATAAATATTAAATGATTTCCTTAATTCTTTAAATTCTTAAATTTAAAAAAAAAATTTAGTCTACCTACCCTCTTTGACTTCTATTAAGATTATTCTGCCTCTTGATGAAAACATTTATCCTGATTTATTCAAACTAAGTTCTGTTACCCTTATTTTAAATAATGGTTCTGCTTCCTTTGTGAATAATTATAGACCTATATCCATAATCTCACATCTCACTAAATTGTTTGAACCCCATATTTTAAGTGGTATCTGTTCTAAAGTAAATTCTGGTTTTATTTACGACCAATATGGTTTCCGGCCATCAAGATCATCTATTACTTGCAACCTTGTTCAATGATTATATATACAAAACATTTAATCATTGCTCTCAAGTAAAATTCATCAATATGGATTTTGCTAATTGACTGATTGTACCTTTCTTCTTAATTCACTAGTTTCATGGACAAATGATCTCTGACTTAAACTGAATATCATACAATGTTTCAGTATGTCATTATACAGAAATTAATCTTCGATACATTTTCAATATTTTATTAATAATAAGCCCTGTCCAACCAGCTGGTGACAATATTCTTGTTTTAGACTTTCATTACAGATTTAATTTGTCACTGCAGTTACATATCAATTCAGTGTGTAATAAAACTAACAAAATGTTCAGTATCACCAGACGAATTACCACTAAATTACGTCTTTAAGTGTTAAAACTCTAATATTCTTTGGTATGTTCTATTTTAAAGTATGGATCAATTATATGGGATTCCCCCCCCCCATATTGCTGAAATCAATCAATTGAAAAGGGTACAACACAAGTTTTTAAACTTTAATATTAATATCAAATGTCCCATTCATGATTATACACGTATTTTTAAAGTACTAAGTTTAAGTATTCTCTTTGAATGTAGGGCCTACATTAGTTTCCGCTTTTTACGGAACTTAATAGAACTGTAATATTGATTTCTTTCTATTACTCTCTAGGATTAATTTTTGTGTTCTATTATATGTAACACGATCTATGACTCCTATTTATGTTCCTAATTACAGCACTAACTATGTGGGATCTAGTCTTCTAAACAAACTAATGACTCTTGGTAATGAGAACCATCCCTTATATCAAGTTATTTTAATTTTGTATTTGTATATTCCACTAATTTATGTAATTTTTTCTTTAGTTGATTTTATTTGTTTTTAATTTTCTGTCATGCAACTACACTTAGGTCTATCCTGTTGTATGATGAATAAATAATATATTTCGTACAATTTCCTGTTTTTCAATTTTTTTTCGGCTCTTTACAATTTATGAAAAAACTTGAGAAAATCAACAAAATGACCTCTAAAGTATCTCCCCGTTTAAATTTCCTTTCAGAAAAGTTGCTACATTTAAAAATCTGAGCAAGATTTCTGGTAAAAAAAAGTTGTGTACAGATAAAAAAAAAAACTATCTTAGTAAAACCATAAACTTCCTTCATTTCGCTCAAAATTTAAAATATAAAGTTAAATTTAATTTTGTTACCTACTAAACTATTTACAGTCAATATTTATAAACATTTCAAGGAACAAAATAAAAAGTTGGGTATATCGAAAGTTTGTTACATCAAAATTTGTTATGTCAAGAGAAACCGATAGACAAACCTACAAATACATATGAATTTTTATTTGGTAATATTCACATACCTGAATGATGACATAAATCATATTTCTATAGATTTTATTTGGTCACTACATTTACCTTCATTTTTTCTATCTTTCCATTATAAGTTTTGGCCATAAAATTAAAATTAAGTGCAATTTAGAATTTTAGTATCAAATTTTGATGAAAATTGTTAATATATCACGGCCTTTGAAAATATATGTAAACGAACTCTGTTCAAAATCATTTTTTTTTTTTTTTCCAAAGATAAATCGTGTACAGATATATATTATATTCTTTGATTGTATTTCATTATATTCATTGTATCAACTGCCATTGCAATTCGACAAAACTTTTGAAAATATGCTTAAATTTGTCATGAAGTTAATTTAAAACAACTACCACTTTTTTGAAATTGAACTCAAACCCCCTTTAAAAAAAAAAAATATTCGAATTCTAAATTATGAATAATCTTTATAAACAAAAAGAGATGTAAAAAATCTCAACATCATGGCTTATTGATGTTTTTTTTATATATATATAGGATAGTCATTATAATTTGCAAAATATATTATTATTTATAAATACAAATACTACAGAAATATAAGTGTACTTTTTTGAGCAAGCTCAGGTGGGGCCCTAGGTTCGTTCTTATCTTTTACAATAAATTTCTCCTTAAATCTAAAATTAATTTAACACTGGTATTTACAAAATAAAGACGTTCTAAAATAATGGGGTCGGTTGCATCCACTGTTATAAGTAATTTAATGTACACCTGTACACCCGGAGTTTAGTTAATAGTGCTGCTTTGTTCACTTTATATATGCCATATTATGGTAAAATTCCTATTATGTCAGTTCTAAAATTAAAATGGTTCCCGTTTTTTATCGGTTTTTCTCATTTGTTAAGAAAATCGAAAAATTTCCTCCCTTATGTACCTTTACACAAAGATTTCCTTTCAGAAATTGTGCTACACATTAAAAACAGATCTTTGGAAGATGTCTGGTAGAAAAGTTGTCCACAGAACAAAAAAATTAAAAACATTGTAAAATCATTAGCTTCTTCGTTTCACTCTGAATCTAAAAGCATCTTGTTTGTATCTGTCCTCTATAATGGATATTGATCAGTAGATTAGTGGAAAAGTCTTATCATAAAGTTATTCATTAAAATTTAATGAAAAAAATGTTTAAATATGTTAAACCAGCACTTATTAAAAAATAATTCTAACATTACTGAAATTACCAAGAATTCAGATTATATGCTATTTATTTGTGAGCATATATGGAAATAATTAAATTTAATCACTATGCATATGACAACTGTATTTTAAAGACAACTTACGTTAGCTATCTAGTATTATCTATGATAAAACTGTAATTATTAGTTTTATATTCTTCAATTACACATATTTTTAACTAAAGTATTTTCTCATTATCCGCTTTAATTTTGTAATTCTCTGTCTACTTTATCTTCAGGTAAAATAAAACCCTTATTTAAATTGTATGATTGAATTTATAAAGTGGTGTCCCATAAAGATTCTACAAATGTAATTGTTTCGTTCAATATTTTAAATATTACTTTTTTGTATTACTAAAACCTTGTTTGTGCTATGATTTCTCTGTCATATATCAAACAAGAATCTAAAATTATTTTTGGTTGAAAAATTGGTGACTCAATTGATATTAATTAGTAGTGGCCATTAAAACAATTTTAATTATCTTTTAAAAACTTCAAACTTTTAACTTTAGTAAATAATATCAATTTTTCCATTCTGAGCTAAGTGAGGAATATATTAGTTTTTATGTTTTTTCTAATGTATACATTTTTAAACAATAATATATATTAAATGTTTCAGTTACCATTAATGTATATCTGGATGAATATTTTTTTATTGTTGCTAATCAAAACTTTTTGTTTTCAGCTGAAAGATTTAAATCTGCCAAATCATTATATGATGAAGGGAATTATGCAAGTTCCCAAGAAGCGTGTGAAAGTCTTAATTTGCTTCAACCTAACAATATGAACATTATAATTTTACTATCAGCATGTCATTTTATGCAGGGGAAATATGACGAATCTTTAGAAGTTTTACAAAAAGTTCCAGATAAATATCGTGGATGTGTGGAAGTAATAAATAATTTAGCAGCAAATTATTATAAAAAAGAAAATTATTTAGAAGCCTTTTATAATTATCATATGACAGCATGCAAAAAACCAGAGTTTGTTGAATATTGGTTAGCTTATGTTATATCATCAATCGCAACGAACAATGATCTAAATGCTTTTCGAGCTCTTAACATGATTCTTCATTATAGTCCTAGTTCACTTCAAACACATATTTTATATGCCCGATTACTAAAGAGATCAAAAAGGTTTGACCTAGCAATTGCCTCTTTACGACATGCTATAAGATTGAACCCTACATCAGATACAATTTGGGTAGAATTGGGAAATAGCTTTGCACTTAATAATAAATTTAATAGTGCAATTATATGTTACGAAAAAGCAATAGAATGTAACAAGTTTTCGATAAAACCTTACATAAATTTAGGAATTATGTATTATCAACTAAAACAATTTAATAAATCAAGTTTTTATTTTAAAACTTCTGTTCAGATGTCTCCAACATTAAATTTTGATATTTTACATATATTGGGTCATGCATATTTTTATAATGGAAATATTTTGCCCGCTGTCCAAACTTACTCTTTGTATTTAAAACATTTCAATAATCCAGTTGTATTGAATGATATGGGTTTGATATATTTAAATAACCTTCATGATGCAACAGCTGCTGAATCGTACTTTAAATTGTGCATTGACTTGGATAAAAAAAACTTTTTATATTTTAAATGTCTTGCAATTGCACATCAACAACTAGATAAAACAAGCTCTGCTTTTAAAATGGCTATAAAGTGGGCTGAAGCACACATCTATGAAAACGATATATTCAATGCGATTATTGCATTAGATTATGCTGGCAACATGTTTCCAAAAAATTATTATCCTCATTGGAAATTAGGACTTCTGTTCAATAAGTTGAATCTTAACCATAAAGCATTATTGAGGTAAATAATCTTATACAATATTGTTATAATTATATCATCTTTTGTAATATTTTTAATTGAGATTTTCATTCTTAAAGTAAATCACTCAAGGAATGAAAATCACACTTTTAAACATGCACTATTTTAAAACCACCAAATGAAAATACCAATAAAAAAATATAAATATTTCTAGTTTTTAATAATTTAAATCTTATGTATTTTCACATTCAATTTAACATTTGTATGCACTTTTGAATCACTAGCATAAATGTATATTAATTTCTTTTAAATTCCATTTAACAGGTTTGAGAATGCAAGAAGATTGAAACCCAACTTTTTTTTAAATTTTGTTAATATTGCATTAATATATGAAAAACAAAATCGATTAAAAGATGCTGAAGAATTTTACGAAAAAGCTTTACAGTTAAATCCAAACCATTGTAATACTATTTATAATCTAATACTCCTTAAAAAACAAATGGGCCTTATTGACGATGTTATTGTACTTTATGATCTTTTGCTAAATTATTCTGGATCTGAAAGTTTTGGAATACATAAAGAATTTGCAAATTATTTTTATCATGAAGTTGGAAATATTAAAGAAGCTTATAATCATTTTTTAAAAGCTTCAGAGATCTGTGATACCGATTGTGAAACTTATTTAGCTTTGGGAATACTGTCACTTGAATTAAGTTATAAGACTGCTGCTCTTAATTATTTTCAAAAAGTACTTGAACTTGATCCAGATAGCATAATAGCTTATACATATAAAGGATATATTTTTAATAAAAATAAACAATTTAAAGAAGCGATCAATGCATTTGAAAAAGTATTAAATCTTGAACCAGATAATATTAATGCATTCTGTCACTTAATTCAATGCCAACGGTATGTTTGTAAGTTTAGAAACTTGGATGTGATTCACCTAAACATGTATAAAACTATTATTTTCGAACAATTGGCAAATAATGAAGTGCCAATTATTACACTACAACACTCTTTGCTATTTAATTTTGAATCCAAAGTGACCACACAAATTGCATCAGCATTTGCAAAACAATTTGTTGATAAGCTGTATATACAAAAAAAATCAATTACCAGTTTTGTACACGATACACCTATATCTGATAATAAAATCCGTATAGGATATGTATACATGGATTTTTGTAACCATCCTTCATCAGAGTTGGTAAAGTCTTTAAAAAAATTACATGATCGGAACAGATTTGAAGTATTTTGTTATTCTCTATCACCAATAAATAGATTCAGGTAAATGTTTTATTGAGTATATCTAATATAATTAAGTGTTTGCATATGTGTATTTATACCATTGATAATATGCTCATATAACTATAAATTAATGTGCTTTAATCACTTGTATGTAATGTAATAAAATTGAATTTGTAGAATTCAAATAAAAGATAATCTTTTGAGGGAAAAAAAATGATTATATAAATTTTTGAATTTATTAGTATTTTTACATGTGAGAATAATCAATTTTATAAACTTCAACATTATGATTAGTAGATGTTTTTACTTCATTATTTGTGAATCTTAAACAACTTTTTTACCCTGATTTTCAAATTTAGCACTTTTTCTAAAAGAAAATTTGATTAGAGTAGTGTTACTTAAAGGAGATCAACTTGTGTTTGGTCTAGGGGTTTTCAATAATAAATAGGGAAAAATTGGACAATTTATGTGAAATGTATTATTTTCAAATTGTAAAGATTACAAAGTTTCAAATTATGTGTAACCAAATTCTGCTTAGAATTGTTTTTCATTTGCAAAGATTAATTGTTATGTTTAGATATAATACATTAAATTCCCCTATATTCTACCTTTCCAAATTTTCATTATTACAATGGTCCACCCATCGTGCTAAGTATGTCTTTTTTACAAATCTGGGTTAGTACCAATTTACAAAAGCACATACAAATCAGGAAAATATTTGTTCGGAATGTAAAAAGCAAACAGTTTAATCAATAATAATTTAGGAAAGCCTACTTTACAAGTAAGCTATGTTCCCAGTTTCTAAGCATAACTTTAATTTCTAGTATCGTACACAATGCACTTATTTTATTACTTAGTATTTTTAATATTGGCTATTATAAATATGGATTTAATGCTCATATTTAAATTAAGATTAATAATAATACTAATGTTACGAATAATATATTTATCTCTTTGTTAACCAAATCAACAATTGTTACTATGGACAGGGTTATAAGCATAAGCGTATATATAGAGATACTGGAGAGGCTGTCTCCTAAATATTGAACAGTTCGAAATTATTCAAAGAGAAACTAAATAATTTCCTATAGTATTATCCTACAGAATATCTACAAGTTAAGTTAGTTCTAAATACGTTTCATGGAAATACCAATTCAAATTTAAAAGTTTTAAGTGCAAGTTTTTGGAATTATTAAATTTTATTGTGATTCTGTTAATTCACTCATTTATACAACTATTTTAACTGTAGTCAAAATTTGCATTTATAGGATTATACTATAATTCTTTTAATATTAACTAATATTTTTAGCATAAAAATTGAAATTCTTCAATAAAAAGCACTAAATATTTTTAATCAAACCGCTCTACTCTCTTGCTAATCAACTAATTGATCCAAAATTTTAAATTAATCACAAAATATTCCCATAAATTATAATCAAATGTAGGACTTTTTGCCAGTAAATATTGGTTTCCATCACACTGTGTGCCTTTTAAATACAATTATGGTTGAAATGATAATGATAATATATATTATTAATTTTTAGTAACTTTTTTAACATTTAACGCTGATATTGATGCATCGTTGACAACTAGTCATAATATTCTTAGCTCCTAATAATATCAGATTATAACAAGTCATTTGTTCTTGCGCCTCCACATAGGTAAGACTTCTTACATTGTTTGAAAATCTAGCTATTGGGCTTGGGGTTGCCCAAATTAACCCATGTTGCAGTTAATGTGTAAATATATTTCTGCTTTAATTCTCTTCCAATTTATAAGAATCTTCACATTTTTATATTTAGTCTACAATTCACTGCCTCTATGTTTGGTTTATGCCATCATTAAAATTAAAATTAAATTGATATATACATTTTGATATAATTTATGTAAATAAATATATTTTTTTCACATTCAAAACAGGTAGGTCACACCCCAAATTAAATTTCCAACATTTTGTATATTTTCTCGGGTTTTTCTGTTTGTTATAAAAAAATCTTGGGAAAATCAAAAAATAACCTTGAAGTTCAATTTTATTTTAGGAAAGGTCCTACAATTGAAAATTTGAGCAAAATTGTTGGTAGAAAAGTTTCTCACAAAAAAAAAAATTAAACATTGTTTTTCCTCTGCTTAGAATCTAAAAGAAATTAGTACCAAAATACATAATCTAAAATTGTTTACATTATTATAAACTTAATTATCAAAATATTTTTTTTTAGGTCAAATAATTTATCTGAATCTGATTGGTGTGTTGATATTTCCAACCTCGGTTCAATTGATGCAGCCAAAAGAATAAATGCAGATGGAATTAATATTTTAATTGATGTGGGCGATTCTACAAAAGATCTCGAATATGAAATGTTTGTATTGAAACCAGCACCAATTCAAGTTAAATTACTTGGACATCCTGGAACTAGTGGTGCTACTTTTGTAGATTTTTTAATAACAGATGAAATATGTTCTCCGCCTAACCTAGATTATTTGTATACTGAGAAGTTGGCTTACTTGAATCGAACTGTTTTTTTTGGTGATCACAGCTTACTAAATAATGACCTAAGTCAACGGAATTCTCAAAGCGGAATAACCAACACGAATAATACCAATGACACAAACTTGACTGAGAGTTCTACTTCAATATTACATGTTCAGATATTTCTTAAGGATTATCAAAAATGCTATACAAGAAAAATATACAATTTACCAGAAAACTCCATAGTTTATTGTAATTTTGGTCAACATTATAAAATAAATCAAAGTACTTTGAATCTGTGGATAACCATTTTAAAGCTTGTTAAAAATTCTGTGTTATGGCTTTTACGGTTTGGTGATGATACCATAAATGACATTCATGAATATATTGCACTGAAGGGTATTAATCCAACGCGAGTAATTTTCAGTAACATAGTACCTAAGGATGAACATCTGAAAAGAATTCAGCTGGCTGATATATTTTTAGATACACCATTATACAATGGTCATAAATGTTGCTTAGATGCATTATGGGCAGGAACGCCAATAGTAACGTTATCTGGAGATACTTATGCATCCCGCATAGCTACTTCACAATTAATTGCGTTAAATTGTACAGAAACAATTGCTGAGACTGAAAATGACTATATCAAATTAGCAGTACAATTAGGGAAGCACCCCCATTTATTGGACCGAATAAGACAACAAATTTGGCAATCGAAATCAACAAGTTCACTGTTTGACTGTAAATCTTATTCTAAAGAATTAGAAAAACTTTACTTAAATATGTGGAAACAATATTTTAATCGGTGTTAATGAGTTTCTACAATATTGGAATGATAAACAGATATTGGTTTTTATATTAAAGATTTTAAATACAATTGTATATTAAAAAAAATATATATATCTACATACAGTTTGACAATTCTCTACAAACACCAATACTTTTTTTAGTTACTAAACCATAAAATTATATTAAATTTTAATAATAATAATTTTTATTTATTTATTCAAATTTGTAAATTAGTAATTGTAAATATGCATTATTTATTTTATCCTTAAGAAAATATTGATTAGTAGTATGTTTTATGAAACATGTAATAAGTAATAAGTAATAATTTTTTATAATTATTTAAATATTTAAACCCTCCTCATGTTTGTTTTATTATTTTTTTAATTAGACATAGTTACTCATAAACTAAAAAACTTATTTATAATGATTATGTTTTTTTTTTTTTTTTTCTGCTACCGAAAAAAGATTGTGTTGTGTGTATTCATTTATTATTGTATTTATATTACTCCAATATTTCAATAAAGAGTTTGTAATTACATTTTTCTTAATCTCAAGTGTCATAGGTGACATCGTAAATGAATTTGGGGTGGAGCAAAATAGTCATAACCGCTAGATAATTAATTTCTCCTCTTGCTGTAAATGTTAAAAAAATATGCTTATCGTTATTTTTATGCAGCCATTTTCATCCCTAAAAAAGTCATACTCTTTCCCACTATTGGGATATCTTTCTATAAATTAATAGAAGTGGTGATTCAGTTTTTGAATATCTGCCTTGAGCCCTTTAAGAAAATTCTTTATAGGAACAATTCCACTGAATCAAAGATAACATATATATATATATATATATATATATATAACAATTTAAAAAAGAGGAATTGTAGCGTTTACAATTAATCGTGTGTGATAATTATAAACATAGTTTGGAATTTGAACGAGTACATTTAATTTTTGAATTTTGCATTCTTAGTCATACATTCAAAATAGGTTTTCAAATTTTCAATTTAAAAAATTAAGCTAAACATTAGTCATCTTCATAAGTTAATCACTATCACCGGTTGACTACTATTTACAGTTAGTGTACCTACTATAATTGTCAAAATAGCTTGTTAGCTGATGTGATAGGATAATAGAGACGGGTGCAGCTACACTGTTAAGCCTCCCATACACAGTCAGTCAAGACTGACAATCTTCAGTCATTAGGTTATTTTATATTAGTCAATAATTGTTATTCTAGAAATATGATAATTTGATCTTAATGTGTTGATTTTTTAAAATTTATTAGTTAATTATGTGTAGCGTTTTATTCATCACTATTTTCCATGTAGCACAGGTAAACTACCATATAAATTTTTAAATTCGCGCCAAAATTCTTCATTATTTACCTTATTTGCCATTTTTGTATGAAGATATAAAATTTAGAAAAGACGACTGGCTTCACACAATTCAACTTGATTGACTGATAAATTGTACATTCATAGACATATACGTTCAGTTATGAATGTCAATGTTCAAACATGTTAGAACTTCATTAGTCATAAAATCTGATCGTGTAATGTGTTTGACCTACAACACATACACGATCAGTCTTAAATGACAATCAACGTGATTGAACGTGTATGGGGGACTTTATAGGTAATTAGATAATTAAATGTATATCTGTAAGTAATAATATTTTGCTAACAAAAAACCGTTTTGAGTGCAGGTCAGTTGATAGTGATGCTTTGTCAACAATATATAATTATGTCATATTATGGTAAAATAAATAGGCATTGTATATTTTGTTTAATATTATACCGATTTTCGGGTGTTTTCATATTTTTTTGGGAAAATCGAAAAATTATCTTCCTAAATACCTCCGCAGTCAGTTTTTCTTTTAGAAAAACTGCTATCTTTGTAAATCTGAGCAAAATTGTTGGTAGAAAAGTTGTCTACAAAAAAAAGAAGGCTACAATATTTTTTTACTAATACTTATATTTTCCGACATTTTATTCTGATTTTTCCCAGATACTATGAAAACTAGTTGAAAAAAAAATTGTCATGGAGATAAAATTTCCTTTCAGAAAATAAGATAAAAAATTTCTTTTAGAAAAGTTTTTACAACAAATCGAGGGGTATTTTGCGATTAAAATAGTCCGAGCGAGCGATGATTTGGGTCTCTCGGTACACCTAGAATGCATTTGGTTTTTCCTTGTTTAGGTAAAAGGGGAAAAAAATGCAAAACATTTTGTTCGAAACCAAGGGGGGTTTTGAACTCGTGATCCCTATTTTTTTAATGTTTTAGGTGGGAAGAAAAATATATTGCATATAATATTTTTATAAATTCATCTCTTAATTCAGAAGATTGATGCAAGTTGAGGTCGATTAGCAACGCTCTTCTGTTATTGCATTGGAAAATGTTGGTTAGTCTTATAGCGTTTTCCATCTGACTGCATCGACTGTACTAGTAAACATTTTTATGTTCCATATGGTATATTGATGCAGGTTTTTATGTTTCACATGCGCGCATTCTACCATTTTCTTATTTAAGAACGATCATATATACTAAATACAAAAACATTTTGTCAAACATCTATCATAGCGCCCATCTCCCCGTTAGCCTTATCATTAGTGTGAATAATATATTAGACAATCCATTATTTCAGCCTTTGTATTATTGTGTTCAACAATTTTCATCAGATTCCCAATCTTTCTCTTCAATTATTTTATCAACATTGACATATAAATTTTCAACTAAATTTGACTTTTTTTGTTTATAGATACTTTTTTTCTACATAAACCTATCCGCACCTGCATGCCAAATATAATATTTACTGAGCAAATAACATTTCCTAATTTATCAACAGTATTCTTTGATCTTATTATTAGGTCATCCAGAAAATGTTTTTCACAAAAAACCTCGTTAGCATTAAAATGATCTATCCCTAAATATTGTAGCCATTTCTCCTTTAAATGTTTATCTTTTGGGATAATAAAAATGGATAGTTTTTGTGATTAAAATAGTCCAAGTGAGCGATGGTTCTAGGTGTAACAAAAATGCACTTGTTTTTTCCTTGTTTAGGTAAAGAGGGAAAAAAATGCAAATAATTTTGTTCGATGACTTGATTTGAACTCGCGACCCCCATTAGGATGACAAGAAGTTTTTAAAACCAGTAAATCACAAGCATTCTTTAAAAAGGACAATATTGAGTTATTCTATATAACATCTAATATCCGCTTAATATCAGAACTTCAAAAAGCTATAATTTCGAAGCTTCATAGTCCGCTCAATTTTGACTTCACCATTATTCAAAAATTGGCAATATACATATGAGTAAAAAAAAAAAATTGAAAAATTAGATTTGTTTCACATCATTTTTTACATAAATGATTTTGAATTTATAATTTCATAAAAACGTTTAAATGTATTTGTTCTATTGTCATTTGGTATGACATACTTAATCATATAAATCCAATCAGTAAATTAATGCGAAAACCAAATTTTAACATATCTTTAGCTTTGGGTATTTTAGAAATTTTATTGAAACATTTAAAGGAATTAAGATCAGAAGAATCTTTTGAGAAAATTATTATAAATTCAACAGCATTTGCAACGGAAATGGGAGCAGAGTCTTACAATTCTCAATAAACTTAACTTTAAGGTATTTTAATTAAGCCAGTATAAGATTTTCTCAAGATTTTTCCCAGCAAATGTGCCTAGCTATTAAACTCAAGTAATTTGATGGACAACTATGGATACTATTAAGATAATTAAAAACATTTTTAGAGCCATTCGACTTTGATCTATGGTAATATATTTATTCTCACAAATATTACCTGTAATATAAATTTCATCATACATAATATTATAATATAGATAAAAATGAAACTGTTAATTATTATTATCGAATTATTTATACCTTTGTAATATACCTACATAACATATTATCCGATCCAAACTCAAACTCAATCAATGTTGTTTTTTGTAGATAAAATTTGATATTGCTACTAGATGAGTGCCTATTATTATTTTAATGAATGCGTGACGTATTATTTGTTTAACTACCTAATTTTTATCTGTTAATATTTCAACATTTAAAGATTATTCATTTTTTTTATTATTCAATAATGAGATTGGCTATAATACTACCGCCTTTGTTAACGCAGTATATTAATGAGTTCACTGAAAAAAAAATATCTATGGTTAACCAGCATTTTATTCAGTATAGATAGCCACGGGATACTGATGAACGCCACGTATTGCTTACCTGGTTATTTTTGTATTTCCGTACGATGAATATAATAACGATAATTAAAAATAAATGCAAAAAACAAGAGTTGACCAACGACGAATTGAATTTTTTCGTAAAATGCACTGTGGATGGATGTATAGATCAATACCAAATCGGTAAACACATTTTTATTACCAATCTATATAGTTTGAATTGTACCGGCCTATAGGTATATTATTATTTACTTATACGTATATCGTATACATATTTAATTGACTATTTATATTGTTTATCAAATATATCTCTTAAATTTTTTGTTTTCTGATTCGAAATTTAATATTTTAGGAGCGATGTTGATGGCATTGTATTTAAACAACATGACCAACGCTGAAGTGCTCGGCATGACCGTCGCTATGGCGAATTCGGGTAAAATGTTACAATTTAGATCGTCAGACACTGTTGTGGACAAACACAGCACCGGAGGCGTCGGCGATAAGGTTTCCATACCGCTGGTACCCGCGTTAAAAGCCGCACAAGAAGATTTAATTATACCCATGATATCAGGCAGAGGACTTGGGTTCACCGGCGGAACGTTGGATAAACTCGAAAGTATTCCTGGTAATACCTATGTAATAATAATTAACGTTACTAACAAAAAAAAAATGCAATAGGACAATTTTTTTACGCCTGCGACTGTATAATACGTACTTTAAACGCAATTTTAGGTTCTAAATGTAACAAAGAAGATCTATTAAATTTTTATTAAAATGTGTGTATTTGTGTGTGTGTGTGTGTGTGTGTGCGTGCGTTTGTGTGGTTTTCTCAAAAAAAAAATATTTTTCGGTTAGTAAAAGAAATTAGATTTTTTCATGGCATATCCTAAAAAATTGAGATTTATTGCTCGATGGTATACATTTTCGAAATTACCAATAACTTTTTCAAAAAATTGCTTTTTATGTTTTTTTTCACGTTTGGTTATAATTAAATACACTATTTTATTCACGTCAAAGTATGTCGAAAGATGCGAAATTACTTCCCGCTGGTACTTTATTTGAAATATTTGTCAACATTTTCAGCAATTTCGTCCTCCTAGGTCCTATTTTTAGTTTTGAATTTTATTGGTCTTATGGTACATGTTCCTACGTACTCAGAATTTACTATTGTTGATTAAATATACGCAATACACATGCATACCACAACTTTTTGTTTTCTTATACTACAACTACCCATTTGAACTATTCATATTTTTATTTTTTTTCTTGAATTTCATAATATTGTCAAATCACTTTTCTAATTCTAAGTACGAAATTCATATGAAGTATGAAAAAGCACGAAGCTGTGACGCGGTAGTCAATTTATTATTTATTAAATATATTCGATGCTATTTAGTAGGTGATGATTATCTTAATGACAGTAAGTTTAAAATGTTCGATAAAATACGATAAATGTCTCTGGCGGATCCAGGAGGGAACAGTAGGGTCATTTTTCACCTCCCAAAATACCATAGTATAGTATGCTTTTTACTTGTATTGTGATAAAATATATACTGAAATTTACACCGTTGTAAATAGTTTTGCTCCCCTCCTACCAAAAAATTAAGGTCTGGGTCCGCCAATAATAAATGGTAGAGAATAATGATACCTAAGTTATTTGCGTTCTTATTATAATTTATTTTAGTAATTATTGCAAACATATTGAATAGGTATACCTATCGAAATCAATGGTTCGATGAAGAATGCCGGAATTTGATCACAGAACGTAACATACGTAGAATGAATATGCCACAGGTTCCTACAGAGGGAAACATTAAAGAATACAGTAAATCAAGATCACTTAAAAATAAGACTCTAATATAAAAAAAAGAAAATAGAAGAGATTTAAACATATAAAATAAACCCTAGACTATTTAAGAACCCACGTCCCACGTAATGATAATGATAATTTACCTACCTGGCCGCAGAGCTGGAGATGAATGAACCAGACCCAGAGAAAATTAAAAATATTATACAATCGTTAAAGAATAATAAAGGCCCAGGTGAAGTTAATATAATTTAAGAACTGATAAAAATTGGAGGTGATTAATTAATAACACAAATTCACCGATTAGTACAAAGGATATGGGTAAATGAACAAATGTACTAAAAGATTGGAAACTGGAAATTGTATGCCCAATCTTCAAAAATGGTGATCCAACCAGAATTGAGAATTATCGAGGAATTTCTCTCTTAGATGTTATGTACAAAGTACTATCTATATCAATTCTGAATAGACTTAGGAAATATGGAGTGGACATCGTCGGAGAGTATCAGTATAAACCTATATTAAGTAGCTAATAACAAGTAACCAACCAGCTTTTATTGGGTATAAAAACTAATTAAAATAAGAGAATTTATACTACTGATGGGTGTGCCACTGTTATAGATGGGAATTCTGGAAAGTAGGATACATAAAGTTATTTAAATTAAATTTCTAAGCAACGATAAACCTTTACTAATGAATTATGATACTGAGTGAAATTCAGTTAGAGTACATGTTTTAAAATGCGGTAATTTTAAAGATTTTTGTAAAAATCAACAAAAAACAATTCTGAATGGAGTTCGGCTATACATGTTTTGAAAAGCTGTAATATTTACAATTTGAAAATAATACAACATAATTACAATAATACAATAATAATGCGTACATTCTCCCGTTTTTTCTACGTTTTTCCAATATATTATGAAAACTCCTGGAAAAATCAAAAAATGACCTTCCTAAACTACCATTGTAGGGTCTAGATTTCCCTTCATAAAAAGTGTTAAACTTGAAAATCGAAGCAAAATTTCTGGTACAAAAGTTGTATAAAGATAAAAAAAAAATAAACATAATTTTTACAATAATTTATAATGACTAATACATTTGTTGCTCCGCTCAGAATCTAAAATATACCTAACAGTACTACATCTTTTTTTTGACCATTAAGTACAACTCATAATAAACCTCGTGTTAAATTATCACACAATTTTATACATATTAATGTATTATTATTATTCTGTGCAGGATTCTCTGCGAACTGTCTTGATTACGAACAACTATTGAGCATCGGAAACAGTTTCGGGTGTTTTATCATCGGATCGAGCGACTTGTCGCCAGCAGATTCTATTCTTTATAAAGCCCGAGATGTCACCTCCACAATAGACAATAATGGATTAATTATAAGTAAGTATTCTTTATCATATAAATGAAATATCATTATTTGAATTTATAAGTAGCTTACTTTATATTATTTTGTAATATATTGTTTGAGTTTTGTTTCTGTTTTAAAGCGTCTATAATATCTAAAAAACTAGCCGCGGGCATTAAGTATTTAGTACTAGATTTAAAAGTAGGATCAGCGAGTTTTTTCCATTCCATCGAAGAAGCAAAAGTATTTGGAAAACAATTCGTAAGTAATCTAAACTAACCTAATATATTTTCTTAATCATTTCAAATGTACTTAATCATTTCTTGCCTCCTTCCTGAAACGTATTTTATCTCGGAAAACTATTTTTCGGTTATTTAGTAAAAATGTTCCGATTATTTTTATGGCGTAACATAAATTATGCGGATTTTTTATTCGATGGTATGTCATTTGAAATATTTTTCTAAATTTTTAACATTTTTTTCTAAAAATTAAAAAAAACTAACAGTAAATGATAATACACCTGCAGTTTTATATTTATTTCATTTATTTGTTTTTAATTTCTATGTTCAAACCACGACTAATATAACCTCTTTATCAGCTTATCGAGTTGCGCTCAATCTGTTTTTAATTGCAATTATTTGTTGTTACTTTCAATACACAAACTAAATTACACCTTATATCCTTTAGGTACCTTTTTAACTTCCCACCAAAAATAGTAACCTAACCATGGTGCGAAGTATAGCCAGGTTTTTCTCTAATTTATAGTGTAAAGGCAGAAAATTATTATGATATCTTGTGCCCATAAATTTGTAATATAGGTAACTATTACAAGTCTATGCTCTTGATATATCATATTTAAATTACATTAATATACTTAACAGAGCGTTATACCCGAATGTGTTATTCCAGTCTTGTAACTGCTCGACATACCAAATTTTCGTTTAGCAGGGACAAATCTGTGTTATTATTTGTAATATAAGAGTGAATTGACCTATTATCAAACTTATATTTAAGAACATTCTTGTGTCATATCGTCATTGTTTTTCTCGATTTTTAATTTTTAAGCGAGATATAAGTATTTTTATATTGTGATATTTCACATTCATATTTCGCTTAAAAATTAAAATCACGAAAAAAACGACACAGTTCATGTTCTTAACTTTATGTTTGATAATACTTAATTCATTCTTACATTAAAAATAACAGTGTTGTCTCTGCTGAACGAAAATTTGCTATGTCGCACGGTTGTAAGACGGAGACAGCACATGCAGGAACAACGTTATTTTAATTATTACTTAACATTATAAAATACTTATGTTATTCACAGGTAATTGTGGCCAAGTTATTGGGTATTGAATCTAGAGTACTAATGACTAGAATGTCGTCTCCGATTGGTAATTATGTCGGTAATTCATTGGAAATATTAGAATCGATAAATTGTTTAAAAGGAAAAGGGCCGAGTGATTTGCACACTCTCGTCGAAACTATCGGTATTTATAATTTATTTAATTATCCACATTATAATATATTATATTATATAACATCGATCTACTGGCCGCTGTACTCTGCATATCGTCTAATCAAACTATATAGGTGGACATTTACTCGAAATGACACATAAAGTAAAATCCGTGAAAGAAGGCCGTAACCGTATAGTAAAGTCTTTGAATGACGGAACTGCTTTAGAGAAATTCAAGCAAATGTTAATCAAACAAAAAGTCGACGAAAATATAGCCGACGAACTGTGTTACGGTAACACGGCTGCAGTCTTGCCAATGGCCAAATACGTAATCGAAATCAAGTCTCCGACTTCAGGTAACACAAAATACAAAACTCGAGGTTTCGATTTTTTTTTTATACATAGCCAGTTACACGAATGACTGTTAAATTATTACAGAAAGTAAGATATACGTACATTTAGAAAGAGATTCATAATTCCAAGAATTTCTAGTGAACTATGATATTTAACTGTAAATATAGTAAATAGATTCGTGGTTTTGGAATAAAAGTCGTATGCTTGAATATCCATTAAATATATATATATATTTTTTATTTGAAAAAGAGAAATTAGATATTATTTATACATAATGCGTGCAATTAAAAACAAAAAAAAAAAAAAAATACAGAAATCAATTTACGTTATGGCGTTTGTAACTGGCTCACATTTTTATGAACTTTCTCGAATATGTAAAACGCGTATCTATATAGTATACATATTACCATACACACTATATGTACATGAAGACTACATTTTTTTCATAATAACCTTTCTTTTCAGGTTACGTAAAAAGTATAAATGGTATAATGATTGCCGAAGTTTGCCAGAAATTGGGTGCTGGAAGACAATTTTTTCATCAAGATATCGATCCAGCGGTCGGTGTTCACTTGTTCGTGAAAATAGGAGATTACATTAAAAGGGACAACGTTTATATGGTTTTGTATCATAACGAGATCGACTTAAATAAATTATTTTTAACTTTATTACAAAATTCTATAGAACTAACAAATGAAATTGTAAAACCAGAAAATATTATAATCGGAGTTATTGATTGTAATAATTCATAAAATATATCAATAAGTAACGATTATAATTTTTAAATTTTTACAAGTTTGACTATAAAATACTTTTTTGTTTTTTTAAAAAAAAAAACCATTTTAAGGATTTTTTTTTATAAAATATAGATTCCTGTATTGATCCATACTATTTTTCAAATGAGAACGCACGGCGTTGGGCTTTGCGCATCGTTATCGGTGGCGGAACAATATGCCACTACCAGAGAATGAGTATTAATTGTTCTATAATTCTCTAAAGGGTTCAAACTCTTTTATTAAAATAAAATAAAATAATTGGTAGTCATTGTTGTGTATACAGAATATTGAATTAATTTAATTATTGACAACGTATCAGAGATGGGGAAAAATTGTTGATAGTGTGAGTTTTCGAGAAAAACATCGATATTTTTCGGCGTTGATAATATACTCATCTATGAAACGACCATTAATTAATGTTGTGTTAATATAGCTCACTCACTTTTGCTGTATACCTACTTAGTGGTGCGATCGACGGCGGCTGAAACTGCGGGAAATGAGACGGCCATGCGCGAGTTTTGACCGGTTTTCGTCTGTCGGTGCTTTCTCATTTGAAAAATAGTATAGTTAGATGACTCATTGGTTTGATATAATGTGATGGTTGTTTTGATAGGTATTATTGATAGGATTAAAAAATTCAATACAAAATACATTCTGAATTTGAATAATCATTTTCAAATACCTAATAACATTATAAGTATACAATAGTAATATTGAAGCCATTGCGGTTTCTACATGTATTCCATTTAAAACAAGTACCTATTAGTACAAATTGGATAGGTATAATACATAGTTAGCCGTACTCTGTAATACATTTTAGTATTTAATTGTAAATTATATACTTTGACCATATTTCATTGTCAAATATTCTTATTGAAATGTAAACATATGGAGTTTGTTGGTAGATAGTAGGTCATATTTGCACAGTAACTAAAATCATATTAGACCATGCATATATTTTGAATATCTATGATTATGGAATCAGATAATTAATTATAGTCAATAATTATTGTGATTGTACAGACATTTTAATTTGATTAAGTTTAAAATTTAACATACATTATGATTTTGTAACAAACAAAAAAAAAAATATACCTATATACAATCAAACAGATATCGGCTATTATTGCATCTGATACTAAAATACAATTTAATAATTAATTATATTAGAATTATAATAACGAAATACAATAGTGAATTTGCATAAAATAGTCAATAGATTTATGCGTATTTTTTTCCAAACAATAAAATAATAAATAAATTCATATTTATTTATACACATGTATTATTTGTAGTTTGTATACATTTTTTGATTGATTCAAAAGTGTTATTAAGGTTCTTTGTTTGTGTCCTTACACACTAAATTATACATATATATTTTTTTAAATATATTATAAATATCACATTTTTCTATAGTTTTATGAATGTGGTACTTATTACAATAAATGTATAATAAAATATTGCCTATCTTACTATACCATGTATGATGTAATATTACCTATTCACTAAATATCATATTGATCCCAAATTTTATCACTTTGACTAATTTCGTTTTATTTACATGCTTTAAATTTAATTTATATAATAGGCAGTCTAAATTTAAATTAAATATAATATATAACATGAATAACATGTTTACAAAGTAATATTATACAATGATTATCTCAAGGGCTCTTCAAAAATGAGCAGGTTACAAAGTGAATACATATATAATGTATATTATTATAATATAATAGGAAACATTAGATACCAAAATAATACATTTTAAACGCAAAATGTAAAATATTAAATTTGATTTAACAACAATATAATAAAATTTAAATATAAATTTCTTACAAACAGAGAAACATTACTTTATCTAAATACCCTTGTATAGTGGAGATTGTTAATTCTAAATATTTAAAAATTTAATTAGACAATAAGATAACAGAAAAAGTTGTGTCATACAATTTAATCATGAGGTGTGATAAAAAAGTTTCAGGACTGTTTGAATTGTGCGTTTAAGAGTAGTAGGATTGATATCACTGGCTTCTGTGACTTCTGAGCACAAATGTTTTTATAGATTCTTTGTATCTTCTTTGTTTTAATGTCATTGATATTTTTTTCGTATTTGGCGACTTATAATGAAATTGTACAATTATTATTATGGGAGGAGTTGGTTAGAGAGAATTTTTCTTTCAGTTTTGTTGTCAGAAACTTGCTTGGTTAAGTAATATAACGTTTTATATAATTTATGCCAATAAATTGTGACTGAAAAACTGCAGGTATGTCGAATGAAAGTTTGTCTAGAGAATGTTGAGGAAATGTCGAAAATTAAAAAGAAATCTAAGTTCAGGTTTGTCAGGAATTTTTTCATATGATGAAAAACAATAAAAACTTTTTATAATATTTATATAATTTTGAGATTCTATAATAATCATTATGTAATCATTAAAATGAAAGAAAAATTGTCTGTAATCTTTCTCTCCCCCAGAAATAGTTGTCAAGTTGATATTTAGAATTTATTATAAAAATCGCCAAATAAAAAAAAACATCAATAACATCAAAACAATGAAAGTTATAGAGAATCTACAAATACAGACGTATTGGGAAGAAGTCACAGAAACTAGTGATATCAATCCTACTGTTCTTGAATGATCTGTTGGCCTGCAATTTAAACAATCTTAAAACTTTTTAAACAGACCTTGTATATTGGTGTTAGATAACAATAATAAATTCAAGATCTGAGCATTTGCGTTTTAATATTGGTCCTAAAACCCTAATTATACTAGTGGAAGTTATAGAATTTTACCATATATTTAAAAAAAGTATAATAGTAATTTATTGTGTATAATAATCACGGTTATCTCAGGAGAACAATGATAAAAATTACCTATATAATAAAAATTACTTGCTTCCACTGCAATTTTCAAATAGAGAGAAATCTATACTAAACACATTTATGAACAACATAACTAATATACAAAACTATAGAATTGAGATGATGTGAAGAATTAACAATTCATGAGCATATAACAATAATATTTTATAATGTCTAAGTAAATAAGATTAATACTTATGAGCTAAATTTTTCAAAACATCTTAAAGAGAAAAATATTAATTATATTTTTAATTTAAATAAAATACCATCACAATGGAAGCATAAATTTAAAAACAATTAAAAAAAAAACCCAAGAACAACTTTTATATCTGAGTGAGCAGTTGTTCTCTGCAGGGTAACTTGGGTAATCCTAAAAAATTATCTTTAGCATATACAGTACTCCTACAAATATGTGTTTTAGGACGGCAGTCTTGAGCAGATTGTGCGATAAATATACTAGTTGATTCTTGTATATTTTTTGTAGTTTCCAGTGGCGTCATTTGCTTTTTTTTGTAACTAGACTAAATTAAAAAATAACATGTGGAATTATTTTGATTTTTTCTTAAATATGTAGGTACTCAAGACAAAATAAAATAGAAAATTAATAATGGTTTTGAAAAAAAAAAAAAAAATCATAAAACTAAGTTCAATATAGTATTACAATATTATGTGCAGTTTCAAAATTTCTGAAATACCTACCATGCATTCTTATATTTATATTTTACTATAGATTAATCATCAATAATAAAATTAACCAAGCATATAATCAGTAAATATATATGTAACATAGTATAATACATTATAATATATTTATTAAATCATTTATAATGTAATAATTAATACCTTTGATGATTTTTTCCTTCCTAAAATATTAATATTTTTAAAAAGATGTCTCCTCTTATTTGAATTCTTCCTTTTACGTAATTCTCGAAGTAAAATTGAATATTCCGCTTTGATTTTATTAATATGTCTTTGCCCATCATTGTTATAGCAGCTACCTAATTCGTTTGCCATTTGAACTTGTAATTGAATATTTTTCATTTTCTCTATAAGCTATAATTATGTTTAAAGTTAACTATAAAAACATTAATACCACAGATAGCCATAATTAATGCCTATATATTTTTATTACAAAATTTACCTCTTTAATATCAATCAATGATAAATCTTTACAATTATTAGATACTGAAATACCATTCTTTAATTCTTTAGGTATTCTCCTGCATCTTAACAAATCATACACCTGGTCAATTTGCTGTTCTATATTGAGCAATAAAGTTTCACTGAATCCTTCGCTAATTGCACTATCGGCTGTAACACTAATAAATATATCATCAGTGTAAGTAAACACTGAAATTGAAACACCTATAGTTTTTTGAGATGGCAGTATAGAATAAACTGTTTTTAATGGAGATCCTTTTATTATTATTCTTGACCTTGGACCAGACAACCAACTAAATTGCAAATAAGCCTGAACAAATAATGTATTATATTGACACATATTTTAAACAATTTATATTCTTTAAAACCTAATATGTACAAATAATGATCTACCAAATTGTCTGTAAGTTCAGATAACAGGGTTCTGGTGCCCGAAGAATGAAGTGGCATTAACAAGGAAACAATTGCTGGTAATAAAGCTTGATCCGATTGATACATGTTTTGCATTGCTGTTTTAGTATACCATAACCTTGGAATGGCACCTTCAATACCTATTGGTAGACGAATGAGAACTGGAGACGAGTGGTCCGTGCTCCCAGTTTGCACAGGGTACACAATCTTTATATTTAATAAATATAATAACAGTTTGAATTGAAAAAAAAAATTTAATTTTAAAATAATATTACTAAATTATTACATTCATGTTATCCAATTGTTGTACTCCAATAGCCTTCATCATAATTTGCAACGATCCAGCAACAGCAGATAATACCACATAACTACTAGGGGTTTTAGTCACTTGATTGATTCTATTTACTTTAGAGAGAGCACCTTGTAAACAAGACCAACGCACATTATAGTTCAAAGACAAGGGATCTGGAGCCACTATATCGTTTTCTTTTATGGGAGTTATCATTTTCCACAATAATTCTGCTGGACCGGTCATTATAGTCCTCATTACACTTGCCCAATACCTCATTTTGGTCGGGTTCTAAAATACAAATATGTATTTCAATTATCATAATTGTCATATTATTATGACAAGGTGAAATTTTACTTCAGAAATATGGTAATATGGTTTTGTATCCGATAAACAAGTACACAATAATTTGACCAATGATGTCCAATCTGCTAAACATCTATGAGCAAGAAATACAACCACAGCGTCACGTTTTCCAGGCATTAATTCATCGTATTGAGTTAGTAAGTGCAATTCCCAAGGCGGTTTCTCTGTTGATAAACCATCAGAAACTAATTTCCCAATATATCTCTAAAATAATATAATAATCAATATAAACTAATTACTCATACATTACATGACATGATAGTATGATACATAGTATTATTTGTTTTAAGAGTATTAAAAATTTTAAAAATGAATTAACGACTAAAATACAGGGTAAGTACAGTACAATATTTACTTGAAGTTCGAATTTTTCCATCGGGTCGCCGTATAATTTGAAAACGTGCTGATTAATGTCAAATGAATTACGATCGGACATCCAACAATACGAATTTCCAAATAGGTTCTTTAACACAACTGGTTTTTCAGTTAATCTAGGACATTGCGGCAATACTTTATTGATGATAAGCTGTTGTATAAACCGTAATTCGATTTCGGAGTCTAGGATAAAAATTGCGAACACTGTAGAATGACGCCAATAATCACCCAGCCACCGAATCTCGTTGTTCGTCATTAAATTTCCTAAAACTTTAATACAAATAAATATAAATTTAGTTAGTAAAGTAGATAGGTATAGTTAGATAGGTAGGTATCAAAATACTAATAACTACATGAATATTTTACGAAATATTAATTATTTCTCTTCATTCAACTTTTTCCGAGCTTCCCTTGCCCACATTTTAGTGGATAAATAACATGACTTCTACCCGGGAATGATCAACACCTACATGCAATGTCATCCTAACGTCATACATATATAATTCCTTCCACACCCACGGACAAATAGACTAGATCTATACAGACTTCTCCAAAACTTTTGATTGCGTCGACCCGTTCCTCCTGACAAAGATCTTCGACCTCTTAGCTATCGGTAATTTTTAACTATTCTGGTTACATATTCATAAATTACTAATCAGATACTCTCTGTAACTGTCTATGGCTCCAATTCTTCTCTTTTTTTCTTTTTCTTCCAGAGTCCCACTAAAGTCTTTACTATCTCCTATGTTAATTGCTCTTTTTACAAATTCTGCCCCTTTAATTCTTTACTGTTACTAGCTTTCAATCTTCGCTGATTACATGAAACTATTCTTCATATTTCATCCCTTTCTGATTGTTTCTTATATTAAAACGACCTGCACCGTTTGGTTACTTGGAGTGAGTCCCTTGGTCTCTCAATGAAAAATGCTCAGTCTTCACATTCTCTCATTCCTGAAAGCCATTAATCTATCCTTACCACATTCATAATGTGCCTATCAAGCGAGCTGGTGAGATTCAATATGCGAACTTGGATTTACCCTCACTCTTACTCTCTCTCCTATTAAACACATTGAAATTGTTTGTTACCAGGCCTTCAAGTTCTTGGGTTTCATCCTCCATACTTCCTGTAGCTTTTTTCATACTCCAGTTGTCATATCACTCTACTGCGCTCTAGTCCCATAATAATAAATACATAATATAATATAATAAATTTATTTTTATTTTTAGTTTGATTTATCTAATTAAAAATGTAGTGAAAATATAGGTGTAAATTAAGTCAGAAAATTAACCAGGTTCTATAGAAGTATATAGGTTCTGTATAGCCAGTAAAATTAGGTACCTAAACTTCAATATAAACAAATTTTTTAAATATTAAAACAATTTTAAAAAGCATTCGAGATCGGAGACTACAGAGAACTATCACTAATAAATAGAAACATTTATGATTAATCAACAAATATATTCTTGTCGTCTTCTGTTGTATTGATCCCTAAGGTTAGCATTGTTTCATATTCTCTCTACTCTTCTCTATTATTGTCCAATCTCTTCAGGTTCCTATACTATAGGACCTATAATAGCTTTAATGACTCTGTTGATTAGTGTTATTCTTGGACATCTTCTATAGCTATTGATTTTAACTTGTCCTAACTATTTTATGATGTAATTCATCTTCATGTCTTAAAGTATGTCCAATTATTAGTTTCTATCTTTTTTCTTTGATTTATCTTAATAATCCTCTAGGTTTACCTACTATATTAAATACAATGAGTTACATTAAGTTCTAAGTTCAGTAGTCCTGAATTCCATCCTGTTAACTATCAGTATCCTCCATCAGCACCACATTTTGAAACTGTTTACATATATTTCTCCTGCTTAGTTTATCTCTTTATTAAGTTTCTGATTCATATAAGGCCACGTTCCACACAAACACTTTAATCAATTGTTTAATTAATAGTTGCCATCATGGGTGATTAGACTTCTAAGATATTTATTTCTGTATACTTGTTCTAAATAGTTGTTTCCAATTTGAATTTGGAGTTTGTATCTTCGTTTATTATTTGCATACCATAACTTTAGCAGTTTGTCAGTTTATCTTCAGATCACATTCTTCAAAGCATTTCTTCATCTTTCTTATTACAATCTCTACATATTTTTCGTTATTGATTAAGGCAATATCGTCTGCGAGCCTGAGCATTTGTTTAAGTTCACATCCGACTAGCACTCCTATTTTTTGTCTATTGAGCTTTTTTTTATTTCTTTAATTGGTTGTTCCGATATAATTCGTATAAGTTAACCAACATCTGTAACCAGGGATATCTTTGTCTAATACCTTTCAGAATTTTTGCTTTTGCTGATTTGTACTCTTCTTATTTCTGCTGTCTGATGTCTGTAAATATAATATATCAATTATCTATTCTTAAAATCCATTCCTATTTCCTGTAAGATCTGGAATAGCTATATTATAGAGTCTCGAATCCTTATTAAAAAATTTTAAACATTTAAAAATTTTCTTATCTTATTAAAAGGAAATAGGTATTTACATTTTAGTTCCATAATTATGAACCAAGTTTTGAAAATTGTACTTCTTTAATTTTATATCATCTCTCGGGAAGATTCATTTTAGATTCTGATTGAAGCGAAGAATGTATTGGTTTTACAATCATGTTTATTTTTTTTCCTGTAAACAACATTACTTGAAATGCCTTTTTTTGAAAAAAATTTTTATCTAGGTGGTACTCTGGGGAGGTAATTTTATGATTTTTTCAAGTGGTTTTTCCAATGGGAAAATCCAAGAAAAGACCGGAAAATGTACAAAATTTATTATTTTCAATTTTGTGATTTGTTATGATTCAGTTAAAAATATTTGTAAAGACTTGACATTTAAACAGAAATATTTTATTTGCCTTTTAAAGACGTGGTAAAATATTTAAAACGTTTTAGCCATTTTTAAACTATTTAAGGACATTATAATTTCGCGTTTTTACGTAATTTTTATTCGGAAGGTGCTCTATTGACAATTTAACAGGAGGTTCATTTTAAGATGTACTTAGTGGCCAACAAGAAAAAATTGAGTGTAGTATAGAATTTATTTTATAAGAATTTAACAAAAATTTTGATGAAAATCATAAATACTAAATATAGTAATATGATTTTGAATTTTAATAAATATATCTGTATCTATTTCGATAACATAGACATTCAATTATTTCGATCATTACGTGGCGGTATTCTATACAAATAAACAAGCATGACACTAGAACAGTCAATTAAAGAAAAAAATGTAATAATAAATCAGATTAAGATAGTTAAAATGTATACTAAAAGCTTGAAGAGAAATTAATCGAAAAAAAAAACGTTAATTTATTATTAGTATATCTAGTAATTATCATAAAAACAAAACATAGGTATCTAGTACCTACTTACCGGTTAATATTCCAGTTGTAGCTAAGTTTAAAAGTTATTTTAAAAATATAGTAATGTTTATCACGATGAATTAATAAATAATGGAATATTATTATTATTAATATTTATTTGGACATTTTTCCTAACGTTTAATGAAGATATTAATTTGTTTCAATTTGAATGCTTTACATAAGTATTTCACTTTTAATAATTTGTATAGTTCCTATCACATTTTCACATATAATTTTCCAAATTCGGATACCAATTTCGATATTTTTACAACTTGCCTTTTTCATAATTTATATAGAGTCTGTTGTACAGCGTGATGAAAGATATCTATCGGAAATTGAAAAACGTATGTATAGTCCATAAAGAATGGAAGTTTTCTGGGTTAAAAGTTACAAAACTGAATTCGTTATTTGATTTCCAATACATCAATAACCGAGCAAATACCTCACATGAGGGCAAACACAAAATAACATATAGTGCCTATGTTTTCGATTGGGTTGGAATACATTTATTTTTCATAAGTTTTAAACCAATACGGTGGGAAATTAGACATACTTCCTAATATCCCAATATCGGTATGTATCTATACACTCCCTTAAATAATCAAATTGCATTTGTATTTATTTTGGATACACTTGCAAATTTTAAATAAAAAAATCTACTTTTTAAATAACCTTTCTCCCCTTTTCCAATAAATTCCACAAGACCGCGTTAGCAATTGCTTCACCGGGTCCGCCTACATTCCTAGGCGGTGCCATCAGTCAGGGTTTGAGGCAGACTAATCAGACAGATAAATTACCTAGATAATTTGTCATCAAATTAAAGTATGTATATGTCCACTATATAGCTAGCATATATATACAATAGTTATATATAATACATACTTTAAAAAGACGTCTTAAGATAATGGATACAGGTGGCTGCAACACTGCAGCCACTGTTACAGGTAATTTTATGTATATCTGTAAGCAACGATAAACCATTGATAACGAAAAAACGATTCTGAGCGCAGTCAGTTGATAGTGATACTTTGTCAAATATATATATATATATATATATGTGTCATATTGAGGTAAAATAATTAAATAGACATTATATATTTTCTTTAATAATATTTTTTTACGTGACCCCTAGGATGACAAAAGGTATGTACAACCATTAGATCACGATAAACATATTTAAAAAGACGATGTAGAATTATTCAATATAACATATAATATTCGCATAATATTAAAACTTTAAATAACTATAATACCGAAACTTAGTTAGTCTACTCAATTCTGACTTCACCATCGTTATAAAATCTGTAATATACATATGTTTAACATATTGACGAACACTTATAATATAATTTTTATTGTTTTATTTTGTAGTCTTATACCTACATCCAAAATGTATGTAAAGTGTCAGTCTGGACTGCCGTAATGTATTCTATGAGTTGATACCATTGAAAAGATTTCTGCTTCAGCAGTATTGACGAAATAAGACAATAAGACATTTTATATATTAATGCTATTGCAGTAATGTCCATCAATGAGTTAAAAAAAAAAAAATTGAAAAATTATATTTGTTCCACATAATTTTTTACTCAAAACGGTTTTCGTCAAAATTTGATATTAAAATTCTTATAAAAAAAATACACTACATTAAATTAATTTTTTTTGTTTTGAACGCAAAATACGACTTTTAATGAACCTCCTGTTAAATTTTCGCGCATTTCTGTTAAGCCTAACAATTTTACTACACAGTACCTATCAAATAAAAATTACGTATAAACTCGCAAAATTAAAATATTTATAAATAGTTCAAAAATGGCTTAAATTTTATTGAAATGTTTATCACGTCTAGAAAAGGCAAGAATAAGTTTTCTGTCCAAACTTCAAGTACCACGAATTTTTAACTGAATTACAACAAATAACAAAATTGAAAAATAATAAAAGTTTATTTTCGTAAATTTCCCGTTTTATCCTGGTTTTTTCCTAATATTATGAAAACGGCTTGGAAAATTAATTAACCTTCCTAAAAGTACTATCTGGACAACATTTTTATTTCAGAAATGGTGCCACGTGTACCTGTATATCTAAACAAGATTTCTGGTACAACAGTGGCACACCCATAAACAGTAACAACTCTTTTTTTTTTTTAATTGTTGGTTTTTGTTACTCCCTCTATTTTTAAACAACCTTTAAAAAATACATATTTGTTTACCTCAAATTGAAAAAGTGACTATTTAAGTATTATAAATAGATCCCTTACACATTATCTATATATTTTTTTTTATAAAAAATAGAAAAATTCGTATATACCAATTAGGTATACGTATACCTATAATCTATATACTATATTATACATAGGTTTTTATAAGGGACTATGCAGGTTACAAAATTAAAGACCTTTGAAAGTCAAATCAATATGAATGCAATACTATTAAAATCAAACTAAAAAAGGACCTGATATATATCCTGGGGACGGGGAAGGCCACTGTTGTATGTGAGTAGTTGGGAAGTTGGAATACATTATAAAGTTATTAAATATACACCTGTTACCAACGATAAATCAATGTAAACGAAAAACGATTCGGAGCGAATTTCGATTATACATGTTTTGAAAGGCCGTAATATTTACAATTTTCGTCCAACTTTGCTAGTAAAATTTTTATAAAAAAACAAAACTACTACAATACTATTTATACTCAACTTTTTCTGGTTGACCACTAAGTTCAACTTATTATGAACCTCCTGTTAAATTTCCATGCATTTCTATTGATTGTAACAATTTTATCCTTAGTGTACCTATACCGAATAAAAATTACGTAAAAAACTAGCAAAGTTAAAATGTCTATAAATAGCTAAAAATGGCAAAAATGTTTTGAAGATTTTACGACTCTTGAAAAAGCAAATAATATAAGTTTTCCGTCAAAATTTTAAGTCTCTATAAATATTTTTAACTGAGTGACAACAAAAGAATAGCATTTTAAATAATAAAATAATTATTATTATATATTTTCCCGTACTTTCTACATATTTTTGGAACTTGAATAATTATTCAAAAAACTACTTAAAAATTCAAAAAAATAACCATTTTAAGGTAGCAATTAGATAAAATTTCCTTTCAGAAAAGGGGCTATACTTGTAAAACAGAACAAGATTACTGGTAGAAATTTTGTTAACAATGTAAAAATTAAAAAAAATAAACAGCATTGTCAATCCAATACATGCCACGCTTCACTTAGAATCTAAAACTTGAAAATTTTTAAATAGCTATTAATAACTTAAAACATGCCAAAATATTTTGGAAACTATTGTAGTAATTGTACCTGCACATTTAGAAAAGGGTACGTTTTAGATCCCCGTGATTATTTTTCCAACTAGACAAAATTTACTAACAAAATGTTTTTAAAATTGATTTGTTACAGCATGATTTTAAGACAAAAAGGTTGTTACAGATATAACAATAAAAATTAGCAAAGCAAAGCTCAAACAATAGTATAAAACTAAATACTACAGACATATATATGTATATAGGTATAGTACACCATTGTTACACACAGAATATAAAAAAATCGTTATATTAAAGTCAATTTATAAAATAATATCGCCAATTATTTATTTGTTTGGTAATATATTATGGTAATAGTAATTTCGACCCTTTATACTGCATACATAATATAAAAAAAGTCCAAATCTACATTTATTTTTAACGATATAAAGTTGTAGGTGTATAAAATAATAGAAACTATAAATTGTTAAGTAAATGCTTAAAAAGAAAAAAGAAAATATAAATATTTTATGTGTACTTTTATTTATATTTACGTATTAAACGATATATATTATATACACATAAAATATAAATTACCTCCTAGACAAGCAATTCGATGAGCCATAGACACTATCCATTTGAACACAAGAGTGATTGGTATGACTAGCAATAACAATACCACTACCGGGAAACTGATGGCGAAATTGACAGTTTTCATAAAAGTCGTGAAAATAATTTCCCATATCTTCGAATATCTCTTGAACGATATTCTCAAAGAACTTTGTTTCTGTCTAATAGTGCCCCGTCGTAATTGATTGTACATGTGTGTGGCAATCCGACTACTCTGAAAAAATAAATTAAGTTATGTGTGGAAAATATGACAATATCTTGTAAAATTATATTATAAATGTAGTATAATAACATAATTAATAACACAACAATATTATGTAGTATTAAATAGTAGTTACAACTAATTATATAGTTAAAGTGTATAGAGATACCTTTTAAATATCATAAGTATGTTATACACATTTTATTCCTTGGTAGTTTCATTTAAAAACAAAAAAAAAAATCAATTTTTATCTTTGTATTAATTTTTTGAGATCAAATAAAGAATTAATATTACAAATAACAAGCATTGTAAAAGTAAAACACGTTTAAAATGGTAAGTATAAATAAGTGAAACTGCAATTGGTACCATAAACTGGGATTTATATTTTCAGAGAGGTTGCTTAAGTTGTATTTGTGTGTTTGTGATATGTTTATAATGTTTATGTTAAAATATTATGTGGGTAGTGAGCGTGTATATATTTTGTAAATAAGAAACTAGAATTTCAGTAGATTTCCTATATTATATTTTTCTTCTACTGTACTCATCTGACACGAAATCTGGGATCTGAGGTGTTAAGTAAAATATTTCGAGATACAATTTAATTTTTAACTAACGTGTCCAATGCTTGGAAAAAGTATTTATTTTTTGAATTTTTATTGGTTTAGACTATAGGTATATTAAGGTAAATGTCATTGATTTGTTAATTTTTATTATTATACCAAAAATGACACTTCAATCAGTTTTTAACTTTTCAATTTAATCACCCTCAATTTTCTTCATCTAATGTTTAAAACTAGTTGATGATGAAATTTTGAAACGGACAGATGCTGATGATAAAATTCGCATCGAAATATTTAAAATAATCACCAAAAAAAAAAGCGGACATACTTCTCATATGGGTGGGCCACTGTTGTAGGTGAGAAGTTGGAAAGATAGAAGAGAGAAAATTTAATATATACATTTGTACGCAACAATTAACTATATTCGGTTAATGATGTTACTTTGTCAATAATATACCTGTCATATTATGGTAAAATAATCACATATACACTATATATTTTCTCGAGGACGTTATATACGCATCTACTGTCTTAGTCCAACTACCAGGTAACATGCAAAAACAATGCTTACGCAGAATAAGTGAAGCTAGCTTAATTTTGATTTCAAAAAAAAGTACCTATTATGAAATTTATAGAGAACAATATTTTGGAGGGAATTTTATAAAGTTTTTGTATTATTCAAAATATGCAGCTTGACATAAAAGATACAAAAACCTTTTTTATTTTTGTTTGTTGATAACTGTAACTTTTTTAGTAGTTCATAGTTCAAAATACACCTATGACTTTCCCTCAAAAATATTGTTCTCTATACATTTCATAATAGATATTTTTACTCTAAAATTAAAATTAAGCTAGTTTCACTTATTCTGCGTAAGCATCATTTTTGCATATTACTCAGTAGTAAGACTGAGACAGTAGATGCGAATATAACGTCCTCTTAATAATATTTGTTTAATATTATAAAAACGTAGAAAATAGGTAGGTACAATTACCTACCTATTTTCTACGTTTTTTCACGGTTTTTCCTATATATTATAAAAACTCCTAGGAAATCAAAAAATGACCTCTCTAATAGTACCTCCTCAATCAGAATTCCTTTCAAAAAAAGTGCATGTAAATCAGAGCAAAATTGCTGGTAGAAAAGTTGTTCACAGATCAAAAAAAAAAAAAAATTAATTAATAAAATAATAAACATCGTTGTAAAACCAATATATTTCTCGCTCCACTAAGTATCTAAAATTACGAAAAAGTAAATACTGAATGCCTACTAAATTTGACGCCTGACGAATATAATCACTACAACAGTACTGCTGAAGTTGAATACACATTTTTTAGATATTTTATTTTTTTGACTAACATGGCCAAATAGTAAACCTATAACTACGATGATATAATGCAACATCGTAATTAATTTAATGGAGTGGTTTGTGCTATTTGTTAAGTATTTATATTTTGTTAAATCTAACCGTCTTTTTACAATTCCTTATCTTACGGTTCAAGTGGCCACCATTAGAATTTTGCCCACGTTATGATTAATGTTGACATCAAAGCATCAACCCGAAAACGTTTTAACGAAAAATGAAGAAAACAATAATGTATCGTTTTAAAGTCAAAAATTCTCCAAATTTCCAACGATTGAACAATATCCGCAAGTATTTAGAAACAATAAATAGAAGATTAATACTAGGGGACCTGAGGCGCAATGCCAAGGCGACTGCTCATTTCACGATTACAATTATTTAATTGTATATTGTGTGCGACCGAGGGCATTGACTATAGGAGTTAAATTTAGCAAGTTCTTCTGGATAATATAGTTGTATACTGTATGTATAAATGTAATAACCTGTAATATAGTACCTATCGGTTAAAGAATTTAAAAATAAATTAGAGATTTAATCTTTTCCTTCTTACGTCTAAAGATTCGTGTCTCGAATCTGCAAATAATAATGCCTACAAGATAAGATTAACGAAGCTGATGTAGAAGAATATAACATTATGTCATTCCAATAAAGAATTATAATCTTCAAAATATATTTAACTATGATCATATAATATAATTATAACATACGTACTACGTATAACGATATTTAATATTAAATTGATTAAAATGTAGTTGGGACCAATAAGGGCCAATAGTAAATCTGAACAATTTAAATTTTGTTCAACTAAAATTATATACAATGTAAAAATACATGTATTTATAAAATGTTTAATCTCTACAGGTTACGTCGAAAGGCTGCCATTTGAAAATCAAAAGATGGCAGTGGTTTAATCACCAAATTGTAAATGGGTAAACAATATAAGAACAATATGTAACATTTTAGAACTGCTGCGAGTATTTTAAATTGGCCTAAAAAGAAAATTCCGGAAAAAGTTAATAGTATATATATACCTACTTACCGAGACAATGATAGTGTCTTAAAGATCTGCACTCTGTAAACTCAAACCAGTTTGATATTTCAACACCATCACATCAATACCGTAATCTATTTTTTAATATAGATGATATGCATACCTACGTCATTTAATGTTAAAAATCGTAAACGTGAGTTTCGAAATAATACACGTTTTCCCTGTAAACTAAACGAATAATTTTCATAATAATATTTTCGTTTATAAAACGAAATCTATAATAAATGACCCTGAAAGATTATAACAATATAGTAGATGGCGGTAAGTATGTATCAAATTAAATAGCGTTAAAGTGGTAAACGATTAAAACTAATTAAAATCGTGTTTGAAAATTCGGGATTATCATGCATACGCCCATTTTACATTAATCTATAGAATTATAAACTATTATAATTACCTAATACTGTCCAATATTTTAAAATGTTCGAATTATTAATGATATAATGTAATATTTGTAATATCTAAATCTAAAATTTGCATTATATACCTTTACATGACAAAATACATTCTCACAGAAATTTCCAACACTCACCACTAATTATCAAGAGTGTTTTTGGCTTCATAAATACATCTCAAACATTTAACTATGATAACGCAGTCGTGTATATAAACCATAGACATATTAAGATATAATCTAATATATCATATCTTAATATGTCTATGATATAAACACAGACATCATATCGGCGCCACTGCGATTATAAACATTGATATATGAAACAGAATTCGATACTGCATTTGATATAGCAATAACTAGTAATAATATACAATAAACTGCGCCGGCAATTTAAGAAAAACAATATTTTAATAATAATTTGTACGTAGAAAAAAAAAATGTTCTGTATAATTACTATGAAATTATCGTATATTGTGATAATATACTTATAATGGCCGATTCGCACGCGTTGCGTATTGTAACGGAACACTATTATGTTAAATTGTACGTACAATAATGGCTGTGTAGTATAACAAGTTCAACGTTGTTCATCGTATGTGCGATAACTATAAGTTGTATAGATAAAAATACTTCGGTCGATGGGTGGGACAATGATATAAGTAAGAAGTCGGGGAGGTAGGATGTAGAAATAAATTGAATGTATATCTGTACTCAAAGATTAATCATTGCTAACGAAAAATGATTCTGAGCGGAGTTTGATTATACATGATTTAAAAAGCCGTCATATTTACAAGTTTCGTCAAAATTTGATATTAAAATTCTACATTAAACTCAATATTTATTTGTTTTAACCACAAAGTAGGTAAGACTTATAATAGACCTCCTATTAAATTTGCAAGAATTTCTGTTTGGTCTAACAATTTATCCACAGAGTACCTTCCGAAAAAAAATTACTTAATAACTCGCGAAATTAAAATATGTCCATAAATAGCTTTAAATGGTTAAAATGTTTTAAAAAATTGTATCACATCTAAAAAAGACAAATATAATATTTCTATAACTGCTTATAAAATCAAAAAATGATATACCTAAAGTACCACTTTATTTAAACACAAGAATACAAATTACACGGCTAAGCTACTTCGACACATTTATGTTAGATCGGTCAGATTCTGTACACCGTTGTAACGAAGTAAAATTATTAGGTTTCCAAAAACAGATTTGAATTCAGCGTGAAGCGTGATGCAATGTGATATCGATGGTCAGGCCACATTTTAGAAATCAAAAATTAAATTGAAAAATATGTGTCGTGATAACGATCTCATGTGTATATTTCATGATGAATTCAAAATTGTTTTCAGAATTATTAAACCGCTGCACTATACATCGATCTGCAGATTGATTTAAATTGCAATGCTGCATTATGTTTTTTAGACAGAGAAAAAAATATCGGTATCCTACAATTCCTACCTATTCGTGAGATGCGATAGATATTATAATTCGGTTAGTTAAACAGTTTGTAGATTTTGGTACTTTCCATCATCAGACCGTGATCAATACAATATCTAATTTTCATTTAACAAGATTCGATTTTCAAAAAAAAAAAAAAAACAGTAATCAATTATATTTATGCATATAATAGGCAAGATTATACAAGCAATTATATCCAAAAAGTGAATTTATTTCACGGTACACTAACGTTTTTAAGAAAACGTAATGTCAACATGTGCTGTCTTCATCTTATATAAACGTATGACAGACGATTTGAGATCATTATTAAAGACAATATTTTGCTAGTATATTTAAATATAAAATTCAAGTGACCGTTTACTTTTACCTTTTTTCGATATTTTAATTCTTAAGCAAGACATGAGTATGTGAAATATCGGGTGAGCCACTGTTGAAGGTGAGAGGTTAGGAAGGAAGGATAAAAATGAGAATTTAATTTATATCTATACGCAACGATATCCCATAGCTAATAAAAAACGACTCGGAGTGAAGTTTGGTTATACATGTTTTTAAAGGCCGGTAAATTTACATTATTCGTCAAAATTTGATATTAAAATTCGTATAAAAAGACGTCGTAGGATACTGAGGTCGGTTTTAGCCACTGCTATAGATAATTTAATGTATATCTGTAAGCTACGATAAATCATTGATAATGAAAAAACGATTCTGAGCGCAGTTCAGATGATAGTGATGCGTTGTCAATAATAAATGTCATATTATGGTAAAACAATTAAATAGGCAATATATATTTTCTTTAATAATATTTGTTTAATATTGTACCGATTTTCCCGGTTTTCCCTTGTTTTTTCCCGATTTTTCACATTTGCTGGCAAAACTCTTGGAAAATCGAAAAAAAACATCTCTAAAGTACCTCCCTCCCCAGTCAGATTTTCTTTTAAAAATGTGCTGTCATTGTAAATCGAAGCAAAATTAATGGTAGAAAAGTTGTCATTTGTTTTTTCTTTCTTTAGGTAAGAGGGAAAAAAAATACAAACAATTTTTTTCGAAATCACGAACCTTAGGATGAAAATAGGTATATGTAACATCCAACTACGACTAACATACTCTAGTAAAGACAATATTTAGTTATTTAACTTAACATATAATATCAGAACTTCAAAAAGCTATAATTTCAAAATTTAGTCAATCCGCTTAATTCTGACTTCACCGTAGTTCTTAAACCGGTATTATACATATATTCAAAAAAAAAAAAAATTGATTGAAAAATTAGATTTTTTTTCCATATAATTTTTAACTCAATGATTTTTATCAAAATTTGATATTAACATTCCTTCAAATAATAAAATACTACATTATACACATATATTCTTTTTTTGATTTCAAATTAAGACTCTTAATGAACCTCCTGTTCAATTTTCAAGTATTTCTGTCTAACAATTTAACGACAGAGTACCTACGAATACAAATTACGTACAAAACTCACAAAATTAAAATTTCTATAAATAGCTCAAAAATGGCTTAAATATTTTAAAATTTAAATCTTACCACGTCTAGAAAAGGCAAATATATGTTTTATGTCCAAATTTTGAATCTCTACGAATATTTTAAACTGAATTACAACAAATTACAAAATTGAAAAACAATAAAAGCATTATTTTCATAAATTTCCAGTTTTTTTTTTTACATTTTTTTCTGGTTTTTCCCAGATATTATGAAAACCACTTGGAAAATCAAAAATGACCTCCAAATGTACCATTTAGACAACATTCTCTTTCAGAAATGGTGTCGCGTGTGTATATCAGAGCAACATTTCTGGTAGAATTTTTATACACAGTAAAAAAACAAAAAATAAACATCTTAATAAAACCAATACATTCTTCGCTACATTCAGAATCTAAAAAATACTATACTAAACTCAATTTTTGACCCAAAAGTACGACTTATAAACCTGTTAAAATTACATGCATTTCGGTTAAGTCAAACAATTTTATCCACAGAATACCTACTAAATAAAAACCACGTAAAAGACCTCGGAAAATTAAAATGTCTATAAATAGATTAAAAATGGCACAGTTGTTTTTAAATTTGACCATGTTTAGAAAAGGCAAATATAATTTTTTTTGTCCAAATTTCAAGTCTATACGTATATTTTTAACTGAATTACAACAAAAAAACAAAATTGAAAATAATAAAAAAACACTATTTTCGTAAATTGTCCCGTTTTTCCCGATTTTCTCAATTATTATGAAAACCACTTGGAAAATAAAAAAATGACCATCTGAATAATCAAGTAGTTAAAATTTCCTTTCAGAAAATTATTTACTGCACTCGGTGCACCGGAGGAAGATTTTTGGTAGAAAAATTGTTCACAATATTACAAAAAATAATTAGAAAATTAACATACCTAATTATAAAACCAATAAATTGCTCGCTACACTACGAATCTAAAATGCTATTCCGCACAAACCACGAAGATAGATAGGTAATTCGTGGTATAAACACAGATAATGTTTTTACCTTTAAATTTTATTCTTATTATTACACTATAATAATAAGTCGATTTACCTTATATTAAAACTAAACGCACATAATTATATATATTATATTATTATATATTTACTATATCGTACGTTAGTAAGATGGAGACAGCACATGTGGGTATCACGTTTTTTAAAACAATAAAAAAGAAAAAACAAGAAGACATTATCTTTAATTGATCTTGGTACAAATTATAAAAGCGGAAATGATTATTATAAGTATACGGTACACCCATATCCGATTGTTTTTTTAGTAGTGAATACAATATTAAGTTCATTAACCTGTACTCATCAGTGTCCGTTATTATAGCCTCTAATAATTATTATCTTCCAAATTATCCTAATTATCAATTGAAAATCTGCAGTCATTTGAAAGTCATGCGTTAAGTGTGTTGATTTGAACTTTTTTTTTGCGGTGTATAGTTTTTTTTAAATTTAATGCAAGTAGGTTTACATAATAAACTAAATCATTATTAAATTATTATTATTATTATTATTAACAATAATTATTTACTTGGGTAAAATGTATATTATAATTACTGTGTTCAAATTTTATTACCTCTTACGTTTTGAATATGGATTTTATAGTGAAAAAATTCAAGAATTTATTTTCAGTTTGTTCGAATTTGTTTTCAGTTTTAAGTTAAGGTAGGAGCTGATATAAATTAGTACCTGGTAAGATGTTAAATGAGACTTTTTTTTATTATTTGTATTATTTTATACATTGTAGTTCTATAAGTATTGGTTATATAATATATATGATGATTCTTCGTAAGTATAAAGTATAAAATAGAGTATTTAGTAATACACACACACACACATATACACAGGTAGTTATTATTTTTATAGTTCATTAATTTTGTTGGTAAAAAAAAAATCACCCTGTGTTAAAATCTATTATTTATTATACTTACATAATATGAAATTCTGAGGACGATATTATAGCGACGGGTGAAACTGCGTGACCTATATAATCCATACAAAAGGGCATGGATTTTTCACGGAACAACGTTCAAAGCAACCAGGTCAACCGATCGTTCTTCCGAGCAGTTTCATATTTTTTTTTCTCAGTTTGCCCGCGGATCACGAGAGTTCAGACACTATACATCAAATTATATTTTATTATGTGTGTGTGTCTCTCCAGATTATAAGAAAATAATATTATTCTTCTCGATAATTTCTATGTTGTTTTATTCGATTCTACCGCCATACCAAATAGAATAATATGAATAATATCTCCATTTTGATAAAATTATTTCGATTTCTATGTTAATACGCGTATAATACGCTCAAATACCTAAATATATATTATGAGAAAATTCTAATATTATATAATGTTTGCATTTTTTTTTTTTTTTAGACAATAAACGAGAATAAATCGCCAACGTTATAGTCGTTATATTATAAAAAAAAAAAAAAAAATATACGCGGATACACAATATCATATATTACTTAAACATTTTTGCAATAGAGAATATTGAATTCGTTTACATAGAGACAGTTTTTATATTACGGGTAATACAGCGATAGCGTGTAATACGGTAATTCAATAACACAATTCATATTATACATGCCCATAGCTAGTACCAACCTATAGTTATTATAGGTATGAGATATCGAATATCGTAAAATTGAACATTATCACGATTATTGTTTTCGAAAAAAAAGAAAAAAAAGAACACATAAAGTTATTTAATTTTTATATACATATAAATGCAACGATAAATTAATGCTAACGAAATACGATTCTGTGCAAAACTCGGTTAAACCGTTATTTTCCTAAATTTACTCTTAGTCTTCCCCAGTTTTTAAGTAAACTACAAAAAAAATCAAAAAACAAAATTTTAATATTCTAGGAAAACAATATTTTCTTTCAGAGAAGCTGATACCCTTGAAATTTGGAACAAGTTTTGAAGAAAACAAGAACTAAACAGGTGTACTGTACTATTATATTGTACTCTCACCCCACCGCGGGCGTAAATTATTTAATAAATAAATAAATCAAAAATAATGAAACTTTTATTGAAGTAAATTTGTTTGTCCTATACGTTTTTTCCCCAATTATTACGAAACTACTTAGAAATTTACAAAACTACCTCCTCAAAATGCACCAACTAGATCCAAAATTGATTAAATCCAGATTTTCGATAGAAAAATTCAATGGCATAGGAGCTAACAAAGCCGTAATTGAAAATAAATTTTGGGGGTAAGAGAGTCCAAATTAGTTTTAATATACATGACATTTATAACTTTTTTAAATTTTTAATAATGTCATCTACCCGGTTTGATGGTGATTCACCTCGAAATGTTGAGACAAAAATGTTTAATAATCTGATCTCCAAAATTTTTCTTTGTATATCTACAAATAATTTGAATAAATTAATCTAAAACTAGGGAGATGATCGATACGTCACCCCTTATTGAAAATTATACATTATTGTCATTTTTCATTCTTCCCTGGGACCAAAGATGTATCGATTTAAAGCTTAAACTTGTATACTTACATTTTTCAAATATGCCTAGAAAATCTATGTATACATAACTAATAGTGTTATATTATTTTATAGGTACTCATCTACTATGTCAGCTTAATTTGGTATAAGCCATCACGGTGACTTTTTTTTAATAACGACGATGGAACTGATTTTACGACAAGTAATATTATATATTTTATTATTAATTGAAATTTACGAACCGTGATATGCGCATCAATTATATGTCCGACTATAGGTATGCTATTATAGTGTCGGAGGTACCCGCGAGAGGCAATTCTGAAATGAGATCAATATTACTGGGCCCAGACTGCCGTTGAATATATATACATGACCCACAATCACGCTGTATTACGTATATCTATACAATAATATTACCTGCACAGTTATAATTCAAAATTCAAATTGCATAAATACATGTTATACATGTATACATTTTCTCAACGACTTTTGAACAAAACACTACAATATTCAGTGGTGAATGCGCAGGAAGCTATTGCAGTGGGAAGTTGCAAAAAATATCTATCGCATTTGACCTTTATACTACTGTAAATCTATTTATTAGTTCAAATTTAAATACAAATTAAAAGGTAGGTATAATAAATATTTCGAAATGCGTTTGAACCCCGAAACCACCCTTAGGTTCATTTTGTAATAAGTAATCAATCGGCATTAGTTTTAAAAATATAATATTATCAAACGCGGTCCAATACGGGATTTATATATGAAAAAAACGGGCACACTTTGCACGTGGGTGGGCCACTGTTGTAGGTAAGAAGTTGAAAAGGTAATAGAGGAGGAATTTAATGTTTATCTGTACACAACGATTAATCTTGTTAACGAGAAAACGATTCTGAGCGGAGTTAGGTTAATAGTGTTGTTTTATCAACAATGTATACGTCATAAAATTATGGTAAAATAATTACATATTGTAAAACTAATTCAGAATCTAAAACGTTAGTCCCTCACTACATATATTGGCTGCGTGTAAAAATATTTAAAAAAATATACATATGATACCAACTATTCGACATTTTTTTTTCAATAAAATAATAATCGTTGCCCATTAACACTAGATTTACGAGCAGGTACAGTAGAAGTCCTATAAGTAAACAGTGTATCGTATTTAAAAAAAAAATCTTAATAAAAATATTTAAAATTATAACTGATGCTTGTATAAACATATTTGGTTTGCCCTCCTCCCTACAACGTGAAATCCTAAGTACGCCATTGATAATTGAAAAAAAAACTGCGATAAATAGGAATTAATACGTCAAGTTTCGCGTTTCACATTTTACAGAATCGAAATATTACTATACTGTATACGCGTTAAACTGTAACTATGTGTACACTAAACAATATTTTAAAGTATTTAAACAACAAGCTTAGTGACGAATATTAAATAACAATTCGTCTAGGTAACCTATAAAAATTCCATACCTATATTAACTATATGTACAAATACAAATAATACAATAATTATAAATAATGATAATTTTAGATTCTGAGCGGAGCGAGGAATATATTGGTATCACAATGTTAATTATTTTTCTTTTTTTCTGTGTACAACTTTTCTACCAGAAATTCTGTTCCAATTTCCAAGTGAAGCACTTTTTTTGAAAGGAAATTGTTGTGGGGTAGGACCTGTCAGGTCATTTTTTAATTTTCTCAAGGATTTCCATAATAAATGGAAAAACTGGGGAAAAACGTTACAAAACGGGAAAATTTATTTTTTTAAATTCGTAAATATTACGGCATTTTAAAACATGTAAAACCGAATTTCGGTCAGAATCATTTTTCGTTGGCAATGTTTAATCGTATCGTACAGTTATACATTCAATTTCCCCCTACCTTCCTTCCTAACTTCTCACCCTTCGTGCAAAGTATGTTCGTTTATTTTTTAAATGTATACTATACCTATACCTAAGTGACGTACGTCACTGGAGGCTAAAATAGCAATGGTCGTGTTAAAATACAAACAATTAATATTTAGTATCATTAAAAACTCATAAGATATAAGTTTTAGGCTGAGAATGTAAAGTCCCGTAAACTACAAAAATGCTCTAAAAAAATAAAATTAAATACACGTTCAGCCCAAACAATTCAAAATATCGTACCAAAAATATAAAAAATAACTTTAAAATAAAAAAAAAAAGAGCTAATACTGAGGATGGGAATGGCCACTGTTATAGGTGAGAATATAGAAAGTTAGGATACATTATGTTATTTCATTTATATCTGTAAGCAACGATAAACCATTGCTTGCCGAAAAACGACTCCAAGCGCAGTTCGGTAATACATAATTTAAAGTGCCGTAATTTTGTTTGCTATTTTCGTTTAAATTTGACTTCAAAACGCTTATTAAGAAAAAAGGCGTCCGATGATTATGGAAATTTTACCACGTCTAGGTAAGTTCAATTTAAGTATTATTACCAAGTTTCAAATCTCTACGTGTATTTATAACCGAATTACAGCAAAAAACTCCCAAAAATTAAAATTTTTTTAAAAGTTCAAAATTGGTTTAAAATTTTTGACGGCGACACCGTAAGAAAGTAAATCAAAAAGGCAACAAAATAGGTTCCTTGTGATTTATCGATTAAATCATTTTTCACACGTCGTCTGTGTTTTTATACGTTTTTCCCCACTTAAGTTCTTTTATTTAAAAAATGGCGTCAAAAATCACAAAAAAGATTAAATACCATAGAAAATAAAAGTACCATCTAAACAACTTGAGCTTTCAGAAAAGTTGCTATACATAAAAATCGGAGCAAGTTTACTAGGAAAAAACACAGACTAGAATAAAGAACACAGAAAAAAAGAAATAAACAGCATTATAAAACCAATAGCTCCCTCGCCACGCACGGAATTTCAAACTGACAACAATTGAAAAATTAAATTTCCTATACTCATCATTCAAAAATACGTTAAACAAATTTG